AGGCTTAATATATACATGATTTAGAACCAATATATTCTAACCCTGAAGTTCTCTGAGTGTTAGAGAGAATTCATTTAGGTGCATAATTTGACACATCCTCCGTATCATTGATCGCACCAGTAATGCACCCTGTTATAGTATTGTTTAATTTAAATAACCGGAGTTATAAAGATTGATTGATTCAATTCAATTTGTCTACGTCCTATCTTTTACTACCCCAATAGCATATTATTTTACATTTGGGGCAGTTTTAGGATGTAATTAATTGTTAATGGTACAATTTGAACTCTATTACACTGATTTACCTAGTAGTGGAACAAGAAGATGCCGCACCTAGTTGAAAATTACCTAAGACTCAGTTGAATATGCATGGTCATAATTGAACAAATAAATACATATAAATTTGAAGTTGATTAAATAAATAAAATGAGAATTACATACTACAGACATTTAAAAACAGGGCAAAATGTTACCACTTGCCATAATTGTCATAGATGCTGACTGCTGAACTATGAATGCCGAACACCATGCACGAAAAAGTTGGAGACTATAATTAACAATATGTCACCGCTTGTGGTAACACAAAAATCCTGAAAAACACTTTTAATTTTCATTTCATCTTTATTTTGATCAAACACCCACACATCCATTACCCAGCAGCCTCAAGATTATGAAATATGACAAAAAGCAGGTTAAGATCCAGGGAGTTAAAAATGATATAATTGATTTCCCAGAATCTGTTAAGAGTGCCCGTTTATCATCCAACACTTATCCAATGTTCCTTTTACTATGAATAAACCACTTGATACTCTACCATACTTGAGACCTCAGCAAAGATAACAACATTCATATAGACAATAAATGAAAAGATAATAAAGAAATTTTTAAGATTTCTGACACTTTTTATAGGTGCAACGCTGTTTGAATGGATGTTTGGTGTTAGAAATAGGAGTATAAAGGTGGCTAAGTGTCACATATATCATATGTAGACAGATCAGGCAATAATAGAGATAACCTAATTGTAAGCTCTAATCTTATGCCATATGTCTCTCTTATTCCAAGGAAAACAAGCCATGGCTTAGAGATGGAGATTAACACAGCAAAACATAAATTAATCAAAAATTCAGAAAATAATTACTTGAAAACATAATATCACAAATTGACTCGACCTTTCAACTCAGTCTCTTTTTTCATACCACCAGAGTGTCATCTTAGCATTTGTTTAACATAAAAGCTTTATCAACTTTACATTTGATTGTATGAATTACTGAATCACCCTGTATAAGCAAAATAGGTTATCTTAAAATACTTTGAAGTATATCCACTATCACAACAAGAAACAGAACATCCAAAGAGCATTTACAGTAAATAAATGGACAAATCTGGAGAATTTAGCTAGATCCTTATCCTGAAGGTTATTTGTTCAATATCAGAAAGGAACACATACTCTTCGAAATCCTTGGTTGTTTTGCAATAAGTGATTGTTATTATTCAGCCTTCCAGATACTGATTAATATACATCTATGCCCTAATACCAATCTTTTTAGATTTCCAGGACTGTATAAATGGTATACCCCTGGGGAAATATATTTTTGTGCTAAACATAATGGAATTGTTTAATAACATGCCATCACTTGGAAAAGTGTAACAATTGTTACAACTGCAAATGCCAACATCAATGCCAAACACAACAAGGCATTAACATGACAACATGCCACCACTTGGAAAAGTGTAACAATTGTTACAACTGCAAATGCCAACATCAATGCCAAACACAACAAGGCACTAACATGACAATATGCCATCACTTGGAAAAGTGTCACAATTGTTACAATTGCAAATGCCAACATCAATGCCAAATGGTTATCAAAATATGTCACAACTACATGGTGATATAATTCAGTTACAAGTTACATCTCTAGAAAAAATATGTTTTGGAATGATGAATACTGAAAAACAGACCACATATCAGTCAATATAACTTCTAAACTGCCTTCCTGCTTTGTTAAGGTCAAATTGACCTAACTATCAGTTTTTCATACATATGTTCCAGTGGTTTAAAATAGAAAGCTATTAAACCAATGTAAATGTAGCTTCTGATATACAGCTGATTAAAATGTTAAGCTTGAGGTTAAAGTCCACAAACGGATTTTCATTCATCTCAAAATTATCTTGATGATTAACACAATTACTTTGTTCAATAGAGATATCAAAAATACACCTCTGATGATTTATATTTCAAATCAAATATTGAGATAGAAAATCAACTTAAGATTATTATGAATTAGTTATATGTTTGTTTGTTTGTTGTTTGTTTATTTGTTTGTTTGTTTGTTCATTCATTTATTTGTTTTTGTTGGTTTACAAATGTAATGATATGGTCACAATTGATTAAATTCAGATTTTCTCAAGAAAAGAGAAAAATACTGCAAAACTCCCGGGTTCACTGTTATCTTTTATTCCATAGACTTAGAAGTACGCCTATATCTGTTCCTATTCATAGAGTTATAAGCCAGCAATCTTAGAAATACAGACCCGAAACGTTGAAAACTGTGTAGGAGATGATTGAAAAACTACAGACCTGTTGTTTATTTTTTAGAGATGAGCCCAAGAATTTTGTTATGGCATGGAGTATACAGGCAAAGGTTTAGCTGAGTATTTTACTTGTTCATATGAATTCATGGTTGTAAACTGGAAAAAACAAAGGGGGGAGGGGGAGTATTTGTTGTATTTGAGTAAACCCTAACAGTAGTAACATGTACCTTGTGAGCATGAGTTGATGTGCAAAACTTAGATTCAAAATAACCTTTCTTAACTTTTCTGCACACAAACTTGATCCCCAGGTCTGACAGAAAAATGTAATATTAGAAATCTACATGAAAACAACTAGGCCTGTCCGAAGGGGAGGGCGTTGGGTGCCGACTTTTTTAAGAATCTTTTTAGGATAAATAGATCAGATATGCCCCCAGACCCCCTATCTTGCAATGCTCCGCACTGTCAAGGCTTTGTGTGTTAGTCATATAAATCTGACCCTCGTATGATGTTATTTGTTGTTATTTTTTTCTGATTTGGATATTTATTTTTCTAATTTTCTTGCATACGAGGGTCATAAACACTAGCGCTTCTATATTGCAGGAATTGCTTTCCTTGCATGTCTACCCAACCAAACTCACACAAATGATAAATTAATTTCTTTGCTTCAACTATAAAGTATTTAATCTTACCTTAGGCACGTAAAACGCTTGGTAATTGAAGAAATATAAGCACGCTGCTAAATTTTTAAATTTTCTCATTTTGCCTACCAAGGTCACTTCCGGGTTAATCTGATAGTCTAGATGTAAAACTATATCACACGAAATCATAAGTTTTTGTTACACAAATATTCAGTTGAAAGGTCGTTGAGAAGGGAAGTTATTTGGAAAAGTTATTGTTTCAAAATGATAAGTAATAAGTGGCAGCATGGGCTTTCAACTAGTTGAAAGCCCATGGTGGCAGAGAACGGCTTTGGAATCAATCTCTGTATAATAAATAATTATGATTCCGTTTCGATACATGTTATACATTTAGACTACCGGAAACAACATTCAGCAACATGGTGGGCGATAATGAAAATATAATTCAATTGATTATATTTCGTCAATTATCAAGCGTTTTACATGTCTAAGGTAAGATTTAACACTTTGATGTTGGAGCTAAATAATTAGGTGATAATTTGTGTAACTTTGGTTAGTATGGTAACTATGGTTACCAAGACAGGCCAGAAAAGCGTTTACCACAATTTGTTCCATATAATATCTACGACCGTGTATGCAAAGAAAATGATAAAAAATAAATATCCAAATAAGAACAAGGAATATCGAAAAACAGCATACAACGGTCGGATTTATATGACTATTGCGTGTGTGTGTGTAGGCGGCATAACCCATCAATAGGTAAAAGTTGCCCTGGAGGTCTACCTTTAGGTTAGGTCTAACTTTTTCAATGAACTCTATAACTTAATAAGCTTAGCCTTAGGCCTAGAAGTTAGATCATGGGCTCTACCACTGATAGAGCCCTAGTTCAACGTCGTTAAACTCAATAACGGCGTTATTTATTATTAAGAATTTTCTTGGGGCCATTATTGAGTTTAACCTCCTTACTATTCTTTCCATTGATGCAAGTTTTGGATCCACCGAAACCATTTTTCCGCGATAACATGCAACTGATACTTGACAACAATATAAAAACACATAACATCAAGCGATTAAACACAATATTATTGTATTAAATGGTCATTTATACAAGTAAAATGAGGTTAAACTTACCAATCTCTAAAATGACATTTCCGCATGTCCGCCATTGTGTCTGTTCGTCCCGGGTTAAAATTTAAACTATTGAAACGAAATTGTTGTCAAATAGATTGATAATTATCACGCGATTACTCGGGATAAAATAACTATTTTTGAGGATAGCAGGTATCTTTGATTGATTTATATAGCGCTTGTATACACAAAAAATAGTTATTAATTGCAAACCTACTGTTCGTTGATGCAGTGTCGCAATGACGGTTAATTCCTGATACGATTTGCAATTTCGATGTTACCGGAGTTGACCGATATTTTCGTAAAATTCCAAACCTGTCTCCAATATTTTCGTAATTATGCATCAATATGGTCTAAGGGGGGTACGGGATGGTGTGTATGTATTTATAAGGTATGTATGCATGCTTGAATCACATTCTTTATGTAACTTGATATTACCATGTTTTCGGAGTTTAATTAGTTCCGCATGTCGGAACCTGCTGAACGACTAAATTAACACATCAAGGGCAAAATGGTCATGGAGGTTAGACCTAGCCGGGCCATAAGACATGTCAGATAAGAAAAGAGGCCCAGGCTAGGTCTAATGTTGTTGGACTAATAGAGCCCATGGTTAGAAAATAGAAAATTGGCACCAAAATTAAAAATTTTTATGATACTTTTACTAGTTTTTACAACCTTCCCACTATGCCTTGTGCCTCATCAATGCAATCTAATGCATAATAATATATGATTTTTATGATAAAATAAGATCGTAAGGAACGGTAATACTCACGCTAATTGTATAATTCTGGAGAAACTTCAGAAAAACTTTTTTCCAATTTGGCTGAGAATGACGTCATTTGGCTCAGTCTATTTTTGGGTGTAAGGGGTGTAGGATTGAACATTGGATTTTCAAAGATTTAGGTTGCTTTATAATTTTATATAGGAATTTGATGAAGGTATAAGTATCGATAACAATTATTGTAAGGGTCCTGAAGAAATGTTATGACAAGAGCGTGCTAACCAATATTCACGAACCAGCTCTTTTATCCTGTCAAGAACTTAAACTCTTTTAGAACATAAGTGGCTTTAGCCAAAAGATAAGTGAAGGAATTATAGATGTCAGTCTAGTATGTAAGGTCTAGAAGGCCTTATCCAAAGTATTGATTTATCAGCTTACAGTAAACACACTGCACCAAAACATGTATAATGTAGCTGATATCTACACTAACGAGTACACATACACACTACACAGTGTTACCACTATACACTGAATGTTAACATCATGTAAAGTTATACACTAGAAAGTCTGGAATTCAACTCATACAAAGATCTGAAAGTAGAGTACCAAACATTAACAAGGGTAAATAAATGAGGATCTAAATGTACTGTACATATAAAAAGGAAAGGAGAAAACACCTTTAATCACCTTTACATGACTTGCATGTCTAACAGTGAATTACTGTCAAGCTTGAGTTTATAGATATCAACAGCATACAAGAAGAGTTATGGGTAACACTCCAACCCCCTTGAGGGAGACTGTAAGAGCTGATGATGTGAATAGAGCTGAGAGAATGCTTAGCAACAAGACAAGTGAGAGTAGAGCTAAGCTGATCAATGAGGACTACAGCCCAGACTGTATTCTGGACTCTTGTAAGAGAGTTGATGGCAATGCTCTTTACTATGCTGTTGAGAGGTAATGTACTCTCTTTCCGTGATATTATAAGCATCCATGTGAATTTTGATAGATTAGACACCTCAAATGGAGGGTAGGTCAGAATGATCAAAAGATGTATAGTAAATCCACCTGTTTATTATTATGTCACCCCCAGAAGTGGTGACATATTGTTATAATCTCCAACTTTTTAGTGGACAGTGTTTGGCGGTTAGTGGTTGATGGTTGGCATCTATAACAAATGCCACAACTATTGATAATTAGACACCATTCCTAACAATCAGGTATTATTCATGACCAAGGCAGGGGATGTAAGATTTGGCAAATTGAAAAAACTTTGAAAATGTTAAATAGATGGCTCTCACTTTAAAGGTTTCTCCACTTTACCCACAAAATATGTAGCATGGGTATCTACATGCACTGGGAAATATGTTATTACATTGCAACCTTTTAAGATTTAAGTTACAACAATGCCACCTCTGTCATAATTGGAATAATCCAACCATTGTCACCACTGAAAGAATATCGGCTACCACCGAGACCACTTTAATAATCCTGTATTAACAAGACTAATTTATTATATATTTATTTCATTCAAAATTTAAAAATTGTTTATTCCATCAGTTCATACATATTTAAATACTGTGTTGTATATTCTAAAATAAAGGACAAAAATTAATCCAAACATTTTACACAAATAAAATTTGAACACATAAAAAAGTTTAAAAATGTTAAAGGCCCCATGTAAAGTAAACCATTTTTGCCTTCATTGTAGTCTTGTAAAATGTTAAAAATGTTAAAAAGTGATAGGTGATGCAAATTTAAATTGAAAGTATAAACTAAATAATATTCACCGCTATTCTTATTCCAACAATATGATTTCAGGAATAGGGTCAAGATGGTAGAACTATTCCTGAAACACGGAGGAGATATTCACTCTCTTGGGAGATATGATGAGACTTTATTACACTGCTGTGGACGTGTGCATGGCAATGTTAAACTTGCAAAAATACTTATAGAGCATGGAGCTGATCTAAAGGCAACTGATGACCTTGGGAGATATCCAATACACAGCGCTTCCTCATCAGGATTTTTCAACAAAACACCATTCATTGAATATCTCCTGTCGACAATGAATGAAGCCGATGCACGTGATTACTTAAACATTAAGGATTTTTATGGTAATACACCCTTGATGACTGCTGTTAATGCTGAGAATATACCCGTCACTCAGTCACTTCAGTTGCTAGGAGCTGATGACACTATTGTCAATAACAATGGACAGACAGCCTTTGATATAGCAAAAGAAAGGAAAGCTGAAATGATGGAAATTCTAGAATCTAAACAAAGATTGACAGATAACAGTAATTGAATAATTGAACCAATAGAGCTATTACATGTCAACTTCTGAGTTGTATTATTTTATAAGATTTTATAATTTTTTTATTCAATGATAATGCAACTTTCAGCGATCTAATGGAGTGAGGAAATATATCCTGTATTTTCACACCATAGAAAACATAATTTGTCTTATGCTCCGACACCAACATTCACTAAAAATGTGTGAAACAGTTTTCTTTTGAAAAGCCATTCACAACTCCATACTTATGTCAATTGAATATAAAATATTATTCAATGATTTTCTATGCAAACATTTTGATAACAATGTTTTACTTTACTAGTGTAGTAGTTTACAACCTACAAATACATGATACTGACTGAATAATGTGTTCTGTTAAGAATCCTTTTTGATGTTGAAGAAAACACGATGTACATATTATTGAGATCATCAACTAAGGTACCTTAATATACACCCATGGGCTTTTATTTAGAAATTATCACTTTTTCTGTCACAAATGTTTTCGCTGAGACATCTTTTTAAACAGTTTCGCAAAAAAGTCATAAAGAGGATCAATACAAATGAGGCCAATGTACTATTCAACATTCCTCCTACTGTCTTTTATCATTGTCGGTTCCCATGCTCAATCACAATGTTCTATCAAGGACACATCCTACATTTGATGAAGCAAGATGGTCTAGTCATAATTTAGCTTTCATTGAATGAGAATCTTATCTGAGGTATTCATCAATAGTTCCAATAAGTTTCAGGTTTTCAAAGACGTTTTCACAAGGTCTTTTATATCCATCTCTAAACTCATCACTTTAGTTCTGATTTCCTCCTTATGTTTTAGTGTAAATATGACTTTCCTCATTGTCCTCCTGTATGCATTGTTCACAAGACGTTTACACTGGTGGAATACTTCTCTCTCTATGCTCTCACATAACTGTTTTTTCTCCTGGAAATACAAGCACGAATATTTTTTTTTTTAATTTACAGTGAAACCTGTAAAGCGGAACACCTCTAGAAATGAAACACCTCTGTAAGTGGCCGTCCCTAGACCAACTGACACAATGTTAAATGAACCTCTAGAACACTACTTAGAGGTAGCAAAATGTTCCACCAAGACAGTGTTTACTATACTCATTTATCTAATTTTCCACTGAAAGTGCAACATCATAAAACAATACAACATAGTACAGTAAAACCTGTAAAGTGGAAAACCTCTGTATTTGAAACACTTCAGAGTCCCATGACCAGGTGACTTAACATTAAATGAATTTCTGTCAGACTAGTAGAACAGCTTGCAAGTGGAACATTTTTTCGTTTAAGGTTTACCAAAGGTGTCCTACTTTCACAGGTTTTACTTTGCCCAAGAATTTCACATCATTTTACATCAGTTTCCCCTATTATATACAACAATAGTAAAGGCAAAAAGCACTGAAGCCCAAGTATTGTTCTTGAGCCAGCAAAATTAAAATCTACAAAACTGCAATAGTTCAATCAAAGTCTTTCAGAGTTTAAAGTCTAGTAAATCAAGGTGATTTCATTCTGAAAACAAGTGACAACATCTTTTGAAAAGTTCCAACTACAAATATACAATGGACAGTTTTCATCCTTTAAATAAGTTCCCACTGATTTAAACAATCCAACAACTTACAGTGGAACCGAGGGCATCTGCAATCAAATTGCGTCCAGATTTCCTTAATTTTTCTGTCTTCTTATCCTGTTTTACTTCAATTTGTGGTCGGTCTAGTTTACTCTCAAAGTGTGCCTTCCATTTATTTATAAGTGCTGTAGCTTGACGGGAAACCTCATTGTTGGAATGTTTGCTCACTTTCTTCAGTGTATGGCCTGTAATTCACAATTATACATTTAAAATTTATAAAAAATTAAAAAATAATCGAAAGGAAAAGCTGTTCAATCTTATTCCTACTTTTAGACTAGTTTATATAGAAATAAGGCTTAAGGCCATTCAAGGTTTAACATACTGGGTGCCCCAGAAAAAGTGAACTGCATTTTGACATGTATTTTCTCAGCAATAGATTAACCAAAAGAATTTCTGTTTGGAAAAACAGCTTTGTTCAATTGTAGGGGTAAAGAGACCAGATTGAGCATAGTTTGAAATGTATACATTGGTACAACTGTATCTCACCTATTTTTGTTTTCTGTAGCAGGTCCCTTGGTGGAATCTTTTTGTCCAGTTCAGTTAAAGCTTGAAGTAGGTTTTCATCACTCTGGCCCTCAAGACGCAAGACTGACTTTAATCGCCATAAATCTTCCACAATAACCACTCCCTGGGGAATATAAAAGCCAGACTATAGACCCATAAGTTTTTTGTTTCATATTTTTGGTTACAAAGGAAAAATTCATCATCCTACAAAAACCTTTTCATATTGATATATCAGCAACAATTTGAAATAGCAAAAATGTTTTTAACAAAATCATTTAGATTTAGGGCACACAGTATGAATTTGTCTTCCTCATCAGAGAAACATGTACAATAAAGCCTCAGTCACATTTGCTCAATTATAGGTGTACGTACAATATCAGCGATGCAATGTAGCGATGCTCAGTGGCAAATAATTAATTTTATAATATATTCTGCAGGCCCGTAGCCAGGGGGGGTTCGGAGGGTTCGGGCGAACCCCCCCCCTGGCCAAAAATTCTTTCAAAATCATGCAGTTTTTCACCATTTTGAGCACTTCTCAAGTGATTTTAGCCATATTTGGGCCAAAATCGTCAAATGTGAACCCCCCTGGAATTTTTTGAAAAATGAACCCCCCCTTGGCAAATCCTGGCTACGGGCCTGTTCTGTTTTTACATTTGTCTTTCCAAATTTAGATTATTGACAATGACAAAAATAACAATACATAGAATTTCTCATTTTAATTACTGCCATTTTTATTTCTTGGGAGAAAATATGTATAAATGAGTGATAAAAGGAGCTCTTTTTCTAGTATACATGTATGACCAATTATTTCAAATAATTTAGAAACATTTGGAACAGGCTTGGTTAGTGGTGAATTTTAGTGTTTTAGTTTCAGGGGGAGTGAGACACCCCCCTAATATTCTCTATACACAGGGTGGGCCAAAAAAGCGCCACTTTTTTCAAGACACTGTAACTTTTTCATATTCCAACCTAAATACACAAAATTTTGCAGTTATATAGTGCCAGGGGTCCTCAGTAATTAAATAATTTAACAAGTCCTTCAACTCTGATTGTTTTTGATCTAAAAAAGGAGTTCAATTGGCATGCCACACTCTTTGATGATTAAGTCTTAGTCGCCATACTGATATGGCAGTATCAATGTATGTTGAATAAGTTTCTTTCAGCTTAAACTCTTAAGGTATGAGGTTCCATATCCATCCGCCAAAAGGTATGACCCCTATATAGTCCATTTAAAAACTTGTGTTTTTATTCTAAATAACACCAAAGTTGGCTTCTAGGGTACCTAGCATGTCACTATTTGGTATCAAAATAAAGAGGAGGAGTTCATAGCGGGATAAATAGTGTAAAGTAATCGCCGTTTGCGGAACAAATCGTGAAACTTTCCTCAAATGATCACTGATTGCTACTCTTCAAATAAAGCAACTGTGCCAAAAAATCGCTCCATAGGAACTACCCTAATTTTACAATTCTTACCCCCCCATGGTCACGGAGGGGGGGGTCTAAAAAAAAATTTGACACAAAATTATGCTCATACTTCAAATTTAATATTACCTTATCATGTTAAGAAGTTAATGTTGAAGTAAAAATATGAAATACCATTGATTTTCGATTGCTATGTTAAAGGGTGGTGATGGGCGACGCCCACTTTTCTTGTATTGAATATTTTGCACCATATCAGAGTAGCAGGAGTAAATCAAATAAGTGATATATGATTTTAAAATTACATCTATATCTAATGCTTCACATGACTATTATTTTTCACTTTTTTCACTGTTAAAGGCTTGTTTTGAGTCACACCCATCTTTTAGATATTCAGAAAAAATGGTCGAAATGGGTTGACTTGTGGTTTCTTTTGGCTTCTGAGTGCAGTTAGACTCCATATATCAACTATCTATATCTGTTTCATAGTTCCTTTAGTTTCACTTTGCACACATTTTTAAATCATAGTTTTATTAATCTTATCATGGGCCCATGATCTTATTGAAGGATTTATACTAGTGTCTATCAGTATCATAGTTACTTTTTGGTATGTTGCAGTGTCCTTATGAAGAACAATTGCTATCACACACACATAATGCTGTACAAACAAGATTTCCTTTCAGGCACTTGCATCGTGTTGATATGCATTGGTTTTTGCAGCTACATTTATGAGAGCCTGGTAAGTGTCTGATGCTTGGGGTAAGGTTGTCCACCTTGGTATCCATTTGGTGTCTTCAAATATCCAGCCTCACTCAGCTGGGGAAGGAACTTGAGGATTCGCTGTAAGTGGTTGCCCCCAAATAAATACAGCTTGGTATATGACTCTCTTCATATGCTGTAAAAAGGCATCTGATGTTGGACGAATGTGTGATATTATTGAAGTTCTCTTTGTGAACATCTCCTTCCTCGCAGTATTGATTGATGTTTCATTGCTTGTTTTAAGTTGGAGACCAGAATAATGAACAGCTCTAAAATAGGCATCAAGCAGGGTATTGGGTCATATTGAGATTTCTGTTAATACTGTAGTCAATTCAGGGTAGGTACTCCATTGGTTCCAGGCTGATGTCTTAGACTTTCCATTAAAGCCTGATGTGGTGTCACACCCAGTCATAGCATGGAATATTGGGAAACAAATGGCTTTCTGAGGAGTCATCTCATGGGCAATTTCGTGGGCTGGAAGGTATCTATAGGACTTTCCCTTGCCAAAGGTGAGTCAGCTTTGAATGTTAAGTTGTACTAACTGACAGAACAACATTGTCTGAATCAACTGTTCTAATCGTCATTTTTGTGAAGCCTTTTTTCATTGCATCATATATGTGCAGATCGAAAGATTCGGGAATCTACCTCTTCATGGGATGATGGTGAAATCTCAGAAACATGCTGCTTAGGATATGCCTCTGCAGTATTCCCAATTGTTGTAATCAGGATTTTATTCTCTGGTGCTGGAATGGCTGAGACATTTGATGCAAGGAAGGTAAAGAGATCACTTTTCTTGTCATCAGAGCGTAGAAATTCTGGCCAATTCCCTGGCAATTTGTTTTCTGGATAAACTATTTGACGCTTTCCAGATCCATGCTTTTTTCTTGTTGAAGATTTGACACTATTTGGTATATATTGATCCCATACAATATTAAGTCTTTGTACTCTATTAAGTTGATCTGCAGTATACTTATTAAATAAATATGTCATTTGAGTATTGTAGGAAGGTTCTTGCTTCTTGAGTTTTCAGCAGGTGGACTATTACGGCACCATCAAGAAACAGGGCTTCAACATCTGGTGTATTGATCTCTCTATTTGGAAGGTCTTCCACTGGTTTTAAGATATTTGCTTTGAGTCCAGTCTTGATTGTGCCATCTTGTGAAAGGGATGGAGGGAATGCCTGGTTCTCATGTCGGAAAAGTTCATCTAAGTTGCCGTCTCTATTCTGGCACATTATGTCTAGTTGTGAAAATAGGGCAGTGTCATTTTTCAAGCTTGCTAGCTTTGAACTTGACTTAGATTTGTTGGAAGATCTTGAAATTGTTTCTCTTGATAGGGTCTAGTGATGGCTTTTGATCTTTCAATAATTCTCTCCTTATTATATATACTTCACATTGACTTTTGCCCCTTTTCTCAATTGTGTTCAATGTGTCAACTGCACTGCTTGACATTACATCTCTAGTATCAAGTGTTGCAATAAAGGGGTTTCCTAAATCATTGATAACTTAAGTAAGGGAATTGACATATTTGTTGAAACTGGTTTGATAACTAACACTGTGCTCATGGTTTGCAAGGACCATCATTATTCTTCATCTCATCCTCAAACTCAGTTAACAATCTTGCGATCTCTGGACCATCGACCATCCACTTCTGTAATGCGGTTGGATTGTCGAACAACCCCACAGCTCCACCCTCACTTTTGATCACACTATTATTTTGCTCATGGGCTTGGTCTATTGACATGGAGGAGAAGCTTTTTCTTGACTTGCTGACAGTGAAATGCCCCTTCATGAAACCATTATGAACTTCAGGTTGGGTTTCTTTGAGCTGAACCATATCACTTACATGGACAGGTACCTAGCGGGCATAATTGGTATGATCCAGGGAGACAAACCATGGCATGATTTCCATGATAGTTTCTTTGTAGAGCTTGAAGTCCCCAAGTCTCACAGCTCTAACATTTGTTAGACCCAGAACTTGTAATTGGAGAACCATGTACCAGAATTTGAATATAGGCGACCCTGTTTCTTCACTCTGCTGTGTATCTATCAAAGATTCAAAATCAAGAGGCAAAATTGTACTGATTGGTAATCTACCTGAAATCTACCCAAGTAACAAGACCCCCTCCCAATACACATAACACTCATTCTTAATTCAAAACTGCCCTTATTAGACCAACAATATCATATTTTAAAACATAACAGTTAAAGATGCATTATGCCATAGGTTTCTCCCCCAGACAATCAATGATGTCCTATTGTTATTGCTCATATAATATCTCACATACCATAGATATATCTTGAGAATAACTTTTGGGTATATCATTGCCGAAATATCGGAAATAATCAACAGAACAACCAAACTCCAGAATTAAACACAATCGATTCCTCAGCTAGCGAGAGGAATCCCCATTGAGTCACACAAGTGCCCACAAGTGCCTTGAACCAGGCAGCCAATCAGGTTTATGATTAACAAATTCAACGACCAATCAGATAACAGGACAACTTTCCTGGTATATTCACACTTCAGATTGAATTAATTTCTTCGAAAATAATTGGATCGGCCAGCACAATCCCGAAATTAACACTGAAAGAGGGGGATTTGGGACTTCTTCTTTGGTAAGTAGATGGGTATATGTGTGGTGAAACTCAATATGCAAAAAGTCCAGAGGAGTCTTGATTTTGCTATCCTATGGCATAGAGCCTCTTTAATCAAAATAAGCAGAACAACTTCTTGATTATTTTTATTAATCATGTAGGTCAAAATCATACTTACAAAAACTGATCTAGATCCTATCACAAACGTTGATGCTCATTGTCACTTAAGCATGACCTTGTCAAAAACAAGAAGTGATTTTGGTAGTTGTTTAAGAAAGATACACTTCTTGCTAGATTATTCTGTATTGCATTCAAGTCACTCATCAGATGTCACATAGTTTGTCAAACTTTATTTTCAATTAAAATTACGTTGTTTATCATGTCGAAGTACATGCCACTATGGAAAAGAGATAAAAGGAATTAATTAAAGATAAAAAAATATTCATTTTGCTAAAAATCTCACTCATTATCATGTGTATCATGGTAAAAGGTCCCAACATTGAAATTATGATACTATTTAATGATAATTATAAAATGTTATGGATGGTCATTAAGCCTACCCCTATAAATTTTAGGGGTAGGGGTAAAAATTGCGAAAAGTATATAAAAAATGGAGGAAATTTTCGGCACAGTTGCTTTTTACACCCAGGAAGGTTGTCTGGTCATATATGGAAAGTTCCACGATTTGTTCCGTTTTCAGCGCTTTCACCCTTTTTATGTCACTATTTATCTCGCTATCAAATTTCATTTGAATTACGAAAATAGCGATGTATAGTCTAGTAGGTCAAAATAGTTCCGACGTGATCATGTTTACTACGCGTTTGCCCGTCTTCTCAGAATTGAGGAAATGGTAGCAAAAGCGAGTTACAATAAATGGACGCTGATATCTCAAAAAGTAACCTGACTCACTATAATTTGATGTAGATCAATCGAACCCCTATATGAACAGGTACATTTTGATATATAGCACTATGAGGGGTAAGCGTTTTAAAGTTGATCACGAATGCCATATGTGCAAAGTATTGTTGTGAATTTTCCAATTTGGTGTTGGATCACGGTACTCATACCTTAAGGTATGAGGTTCCATATCCATCCGCCAAAAGGTATGACCCCTATATAGTCCATTTAAAAACCTGTGGTTTTGTTCTAAATAACGCCATAGTTGGCTTCTAGGGTACCTAGTATGCCATTATTTGGTATCAAAATAAAGAGGAGAAGTTCAACTTTCATTTGAATAACGAAAATAGCGATGTAGGTCATAATAGTTCCGACGTGAGCATGTTTACTACGCGTTTGGGATTTGGGCGAGGATTTGAGGAAATGGTAGCAAACGCGAGTTACAATAAATGGACGCTGATATCTCAAAAAGTAACCTGACTCCCTATGATTTGATGTAGATCAATCGAACCCCTATATGAACAGGTACATTTTGATATATAACACTATGGGGGGTAAGCGTTTTATAGTTGATCAAGAACGCCATATGTGCAAAGTATTGTTCTGAATTTTCGAATTTGGCGTTGGATTACGGTACTCATACCCTAATGAATTTTTTTGTCAAATTAGTGGGCGATAATACAGTGAACTTACTTGTAACGAGTGGATAGTAGCTTGAACAAATTGCTTCTCTGAAACTTTTTCCGTTGAGCCACTACAAGAAGTTCTTTTTGTTTTAATGATATATTTATCCATACTGCTGCATGCCCTAATAGCAGCGTAAAGAAGAAGAACGATTGTAATTTTTCATTTATTATTGAACCAAAATTCGTGAAGATTGCGTCAAAATAATCACGAAATAATAATAGAAACTTGTTAACAGATCTATATTTTACATTATGCAACGGCCTGTAAATCATTTGTTTTTCTTAAAAATCAATCATTAGATTATGCACTATTTTTTTAACCAAAATCATAAAATGTTTCGAGGTTACACGATTTACTCGAAGTAATTTAATAGTAAATTGTGATACAACTAACGCCGTCACAAATTGATATTGAATCATTTCCGGGTTATTTCCTGGTTGACAGCAGAAAAGTGAGGAGCAGAATAAGTCTTTTAAAGTGGTTATAAGTAAATCATCTGCCGAGGTAAGTTGTTATTGATTAAATTGAATTTATTCTCAATGCTTGTTTTGATTTCCACTTCATTTTATATGGGATTATGGCAGTTTTGATGGACCTAAATCTTAGGCAGAAAAACAATATTTTTTCATTCATTTTTTGAAGAGCTTTAGCACTGATTTACTCTTCCGATATGAGTCATCGTTCAGATTTGACTAACGACAGCTGTAGTAAGCAAAAAATACATTCATGAACATATTGCAATTATGAAATACTTAGAGGTCATGTTACTATGACCTGAAATATGCACAAGTGCCCCCTGGGTAATAAGTGTTGGGCTTCTCTGGAACTAAGAAATCACCTTTTGAAATATGCCTGAGTTCTGTACCTGTAGACCGACCTTTGGAGTCTCTATGTTTGGGCAATAACGGAGGCATATTTCACGTCATAGTGACGTAACTGATGTATTAATACCAGACATTAATTGGTAAAATCCGGGCATTTAAAAACTCAAAAAATCTGGCCCCTATAACCAAAAATTAGGCCCATATCAAACCCAAATTTTGCCCTAAAGGCCTATTTTGAGACCCTACAAAATTTTGAGATTTTTGGGGCCCCAAAGTTTTTTCTCTGCAAAGATTTTCAGGGCAGTTTCAGAGGAGGTGCACCCCCATGCATGTTTGTCTTCTGCGATTGATTGTTACCTTTTATTACCCTACTGAATACTGAGACCATCAATTAGAATTTTTTAAAAAGACTATGACTATGCTGTGTTTAGTAGCATGTATGATACATTTGTCTATGGTTACCTTATTTTATTTCTTCACATTCGCTGCAAAACAACTTGCTATATCTTATTATGAAATGTCACATGACATGCATGTGCATGTAACGGACACTGCACAGTACACATGCACAAGGAATTCAAAATACTGACGACAAACACTATATTTTTCAACTTTAACTTCAAATAACACAATAAATAGTCCACATTGTTATCAGGGGGTATGCAAAAGTCATATTCATTTCTCTTTTTCAATACTTTTTCTTATCCTGCTGCGCTGGCTAGAAGAAAGAAAAAAACACTCCTAAAATTGTTTATGGTTCCTCAACTGGTTCTAGACAGGAGTGTTCAATAAGTTACCTTTGTTTAATCCAAGCTGACGAGATCGGACCTAAACAATATGGTAACACTAACAGATGAGAAACAGTGACAAAAATTGACAATGAAAGACCAGCTGTAACTTTATTTTTGGAAGTAAACTTGATTGATCTCAAACTGCCTTGTAACTTGGTGTACTTATGGTATATACGTTGATTACGATCAAAGTATTCAAGAAAAAGTACTCTCGCAGTTCATTGTCCATTATGGCTCCAACCATGTTTATTAACTACAACTTTGGAGAGTAATAGGCTATTTGTGCATGAGTGATTGCCACTTTAATGGTATAGTGACAGTGTAAGGTAGCAATTATGAAGTACAATATTTACCATGGCAACAGATATAACAGTTTATCATTGTCATCCTGCAACTGTGCATTATCACCTTCAGTAGATATTATTATAGTCTACTGACAATTGCACATGTACCTTCTCTTTCACATCTTTTCCTATAATTTTATGGTTGCATAAACATTTTAGACAAATATCAAGTGATGTACATTTGAGAGTGTTAATAAAGAGCCATAAAGGAAATCTTGGTGTTTTTAATATTTTTTATTTTATATGTAAGTACAATGGTAGCCTTTCTCAAGTTGGTCTCTTTTACTTATCTTAATTTCTATTATGACCATGGTAATAATTCAAGATCAGGATACAGACTTGGGCAAGGCTAATGTACAGGTTAGATTAAAAATCAGAGGGAGAACAGTACAGATAGTCATATATACTTGCATTTGTTTTATTATGATTTGGTTGATGCCTGATATTTGGATTTGATATTTGGATAATAATCTTGCTATTTCATCATATGATAATAACAAAGGAGATACTGTAATAAAGCCATGTCCTGGTATAATATACCAGATTCACCTATATCTAAATGTATCTGAAATTACATTGCTGCACCTTGAATTATGTATTGTCATGATATTGATAAAGCACGTCCTGGCTAACGGATACAGTTGCAATAATGCTGCACAGTAATATTCTGGACATTATGCTTTCGCCACCTGAACCTGCATGTTAATTTGACATGTATGAGCTTATTGGCATTATTATATATTCCCTCTTGTCTTGTCTGTATAGTATCAGAATTTTTCAGAAATGCCATACATTTGAGTTAATCATTATATATCTTCAGCATTTCATTATTAGGACTCCTCTACTAATTGAAAATGATGTCCTCTAATATTCTATGACATAAAAAACAGTCAGGATCATAAATTGTAATGTGTTATTCACTTTTATGCTACAGTAGTACAAATAAGCGATGTGTATAATTCTTTCAAAAGTTATTTTTATTCATGAGAATTCTATAATATTTCAGAGCACAAACACAAATGAATTTCTTCATGCTACCATGTTCTCAAATCTGCAAAAAATATGTATTTTGTTCTCAAGGATAATTAACTGTTTACAAAATAGTTGATATGTAGAACATAGTAAACACTTTTTTGAGGCAACCCCCTATTCAGATAAAGTCGTTTAATACATGTATCTCTCACATATTTCCAGGCACACACTACTAATTAAAGAGATACAACACATTACATACAGTATACCAATTGATCTCAACCTCTACCCCTAAGTATGAGTACAACAGCAGAATTTGAGGACGTTGATGCATTTAAAGAGGCAATCGGAGCTGTACGTGATGACTCTAACAGTACTAACTACACTGTTGTTGGACATGTAAATGGGAGCCCTAATCTACTAGGTGTTGTTGCTACAGGGGAAAACATTGGGGACGTCCTTGATCTGTTCAGTCCCACTGAGATGATGTATGCTCTAGTAAGACTATCAACTAAAGTAGATATGAGTACAACAGTCAAGTTTGTCTATATTCACTGGTAAGTATATAATAGTACTCAATAGGAAATTGAAGGAGTTCTCTAGTATATAACTGTTATGTTGAATTATTATCACAATATATGTTACCATAGCGATTGATTATGGGACTTAAGCTTGTCATATCTGCAGTTCCTGTAATTTTGAATATAAATAATCCTTAATATTTGAATTCATATGATATGATCGTAGTTAAGCACTGTTCTGTGTTAAACACATGACATTTTCTTTCTGAAAATCTCAAAGCTTTGAAATTGATTACGAATACACAAAAATTCCATAAAGAAAAATCAACTTGCACTTTTCAATTTTAAAAGGTGATTAAGTTCATTTTATATACAAACAATAATTACAGAAAAGAAGGGTAACATCCATTATGTACATGAAATTATTTGTAATCTGATATATTTTTGTTTTATTTATATTGTGATTTATAGCATAAATATTTCTGTATTGTATGGTATGAGTTATATATGTCTTCTTAGATGTAAACGCTGTTAATTGTTAATAATGATGGCCTGCTTCAGACCTTATTAAGTCACTTTTCATGTTACTAAATCTTTCAGGATGGGAGATCAGATTCCATTTGCAAAGAGAGGTCGAATGGGAGTGGTACATGGGTCAATTAAGGAACTCTTTCAGCCTAGTCATGTAGAAATAGAAACATCAATTCTAGCTGATCTCGAAGAAGAAAACATTATGGCATTGGTAAGTATGCACTAAATACCATTTACTGTAGAAACCTAATATAAAACAATGCAAGATGTCACTACCTACCATTTGTTACATATGCTGAACACCAGATACCGGATGCAAACCACCGTCACAAAAAATGGAGACCATAGCAATATGTCACCACTTTTGGAGGTGAAATAATGATCTTGTTTATTTTGAACCTTTTTCAAAAACAGTTGTGCAACCTCTGATGCGTAATTTTAATGTTTCAGTTGGCCAATGTTGAGGGAACGAAAGACAAAAGCATAGAAGCTGCAAGAGTTGACCCTAAACATGAACGTAGCTTTATTGGAAGGGGGACATCTAGGGCTGTAGAAGAGTCTCCAAAAAAGATCGCACCAAAAGGTTTGTTCTAATTATAAGTTGTGACAGAATTTATAGTTGCTCCAAAAATAGTCACAAAGTGTTTACATATGTACTTTAAAAAGAGGTTCTTATCAAGAGGTTCTTAAAGTTCGTACAAATTTTACATTTTCACCATATTCAGCGAATAGCTCAAATTGATGCAGCACCTCCTTGCTTAAATGCTTAGGAGAACATTATACATACATCACAAAATATGAATGAAATTAATAGCAGAATCCCTTACTCAAAATTGACAGCAAATCAAAAATATCAGCATGGCATGAATATTACTGCATAAAACTTGTCATAGGATTGATAAATGTCAAGACTGTTTTATTGAACAAAATAACATTTTTTTGAATGCATAATGTTAGAATGTGACTTATACATGTTATAGGTGTTGCCATAGAAACAGGAGAAGGGGTTGTCGAGGCGATAGCTGATGTACGTAATGATGAATCTCCTTGTAATTGGTGCTTAGTAGGCTATGAGGGAGGTAACCCTAAAGCACCACTAAAACTTTTTGGTAAGTATTCTATTTTTTAAGGTCATTTTATTTCCATCTAATATGAATCATTTAACATACAAAAATACAATAATACATAAATATTCTATTTGTAATTACGTGTATGGTTTCATATTTTGTGTTTGCGGTGTAGAGGTGAATATAAATGGAAAATATGGCTTACTTTATAAATAGATAGTATAGTGTTTTGTCTCTGGGCTCTTGCTTTTGCCTCAGTTTTAAAAAAGATGAAAAGTCGTGGAGTCTGAAGGAAGTTTTCAAAAAGTTTATGTTCATACATTCTAAATTGGTGGTAAATTGTGAATGAAGGAATAATTAAAGGGAAATCACAATATGAGCCAACCAAATGGTGCCATTTTATCAATCAACCTTTTTTCCCATATATGTGTTTATAACTCCCTTGCTTTTGTTGCAGGTTCTGGAGATGAAGGGGTCGGGGGACTCATTGACCTGTTAGATGACAGTGAGGTCCTTTATGGGATGTGCCGTGTCACAGATGTTGTTGATGACATCACAACAGTAAAGTTTGTCTATATAAACTGGTAAGTGGATAAAGAAATGTTCAGAAGCATATTTTACAACTTCAAGGGTACATTTTTTAGCTCACATGTTGAGCCTATGAAACGCCCAAATGTTTATCTGTCTGCCCATCCTTCCATCAACAATTTTCTGACAAGTGCTGTCAATTTACTGAATTCCTCCGAGCTGCTTCTTTTACGTTGTTTTGGAGAAATCAGCTTTTTCACCATGTGATCCCACTGAATGGTGCCAGTTTTGAGAGTTGATATTTTTTTTGTATTTGTTTTTAATTTCGTAAAGAAAAGACAATTCTTGCTTTACACCATAACTCTCTTCTTTCATGTTCAGGATCGGAGAAACTGTGAAACCCATGACAAAAGCAAAGACATCCACATATAAGGCCAGTATAGAAGAACTCTTCTCACCCCACCATGCGTCCATATTTGGCTGTGATAGGTCAGAGGTCACGGAGAAAAGAATAATGGATGTGGTAAGTCATCAACCAACATTGCTTCACTAAGAGAAATACTAGTAGTCAAAAATAACAACAAGACACAACATGATAAATATTGCACTACTGTTCAAGCCGAAAACCTTATTAGGTGCGGGCATTAGTGTAAGTGCAATAAAAAGGGAATGTAATCAGTGTATACCAACAGGGTAAATAATTTATTATACATGAATATGTACACATTATTAGTTTGGTGTAGTGGTACACATACAATACTTTTTATCTTATTTGAAAAGTGCTATATTGTCACTTTTTTAAATTAAATATCTACAGATGCAGGCACAGACTTTTGTGCCAAGGTTTTGGCCATGCACAAAGATCTGATTAGTTTTAGGGCATGCTGTGTAATTTATAAGATTGTCATTTTGAAATTATCATGTGTAATATTTCTGTATTTATCTCTGTGTGTCTTGTTCTGTTATAAAATATAAGGCCACAATTTGTCAGAATTATAAAATTATTAAGTTGCAAACTCCCACTGATCAAAAACATCTGGTCAACTAAAGATTGATAAAAGTTTCAAAAGAGCAGCTTCACTGAACATGAACCCAAAGCTACTGTACTTGCCTAATGTATATTTTCTCATATTTCAGGTGACAGCATCCAGTGGCTCAAAGTCATTTGTAATGTAATAGGTTGCTATAGAAAGGATATTATCCAAGGTGCAGTATTAAGTGCATTTCAACAAGACACTAGGCCATTATGCAGGGATCTCCCAAGATTATTTTTCAACAGGGCACTAAATTCTCAATTTACCTCTTTTAGTCATAAAATCTCAATATTTCATCCTAAGTGCAAATAGATTTTCAACAGGGTGGTAAATAATTTTTGAATTCTCAAAAAAGCAGGACCCATAGGCCAGCTGCTGTAGTGCAGATGAGAGATCACTTTGTAATGTGTTGTACATTGTGTTTGCAACATATGCAGATGGTCCCTCTTGTTTCATATTATGGTCTTCAACAGGCTTCAATACGCTGACTTAGATGACCAAAATGTTGATAATAGCACACCAAATTCTTAACAGATTAGTTTTGTTTAACTTTATATATGAGGCAAAATAGAGCAGGAGCAAACTAGATTGAGGTGCTTAGATAACATATTAGATAACATATGCTGATTATCTGAAATCATGTAATTTAATTGGTAAACTAGCTTTGATAATATATAGGTTTATTTATTCACTACATAACTTGTCCATCATACTCCTGTTATGAATATTTAACATTGTTGTATTGGAATGAGTAGAGCTTTACGTATACATGTAGTGATGCACTATTATATTGCAGTGTATTAGTAGTATATCCAAGGTATTGCACTTTATACTATATTCATTCATTTTTATGTTGATATTTCTTCATATGTAATATGTAATATGTGCAATTCAAGAATTCCGATTTGTTATAAAAGTGGATATTTTTTAGATATGATATTGTGGTGAATTCACTTGATATTATGGTATCGTTAAAGTATTACAGAACTGAAGTAACTGTATAACAAACTTCGTCTTTATTAAGAATTAAAACTAATCTAATAAATAACTATAGTATTTATTAGTTAGCTACAAAAATGTTTTAGTTATTTCGTTAAGATTCAACAGACTTGAGTTCTTAAGTAGGTTGAGTATCTATACTGCATATATGCTTATTGCAAATCATTATGTTATTTATTAATTAATAAAAACATGTTTTAGTTATTTCATTACTTTGGGTTAAACAAACTTTGAGTTCTTGAGTACAAGTTGCGTACTTAGTGCATGTATGCTAATTGCAAAACATTATGTTATATTATTTATTAATACATACAAACATGTTTTACCTATTTCATTAGTTTTGGTTTAACAGACTTGAGTTCTTGAGTACACATTGAGTACCTGTAGTACATGTAGTTCATATGTGCAAAACATTATGTTATTTTCTTGCCAACTTTCTAATGCAAAACATGATTACTTTTCAATACATATATGTACATGTATAGTTGTCAAGGGAACTTTCATGTTGAAATAGATTTTGTAGAACAAAACATTCCACACTGAATATTTATATAGATTGTTCTGATATTTGTATTTTGTTAGCTTATTTTTTTATTAGATTGAAGTGACGGCAGAGAGAGAGTGTAAAATGTTAGAGGGACTACTTTCAATTAACATTCAAATGCCTTTGTGACAATCTTATGAAAGTCTAGGAACACATCTGAAGTATCTGATTGAATTTTGAATGTTTACCTTAAATTTGTTTACTCTCAATATGTCGATTTCTTTTGCTGTACATTTAATTCAGGATTTGGATGAATGTCAAAGGATAGTCTGGAAAATGTGATTCAAATGTATACTAATAAATATAGTATCTTTATTGTGTAGGCTTATTTTTTATGTAAACCTTTTCAGACCATTTCATATATTTTCCATTCCATATTTTCTATTCCATGTTTTTTATGTGCTTTTTTATATTATGCAATAATATTAATGCGCAAATTACTTTTCCTTTTGCCTGAGTGACATTTCCTCTAAATCATCAGCCGGTGCCCAGCAGCCGATTGAATATTTGATCAAAACTGAATACAATTTTGAACAAAATACTCAATCGGTCAGGCACCAGACAATGAATCCAGCAAGTGATACTCGGGCATTACAATGCCATTTCGTATATTTCCAACTATTTTCATTCAATGAAAAACAAACCATGACGCTTTATTATATCTTGTCTAATGCTCGAATTAAATAAAAGTATTTATATTTGTAAAAATATGTTATGTTTGTTTATTATTGATAATTACACCTCTCCAAAGAAACAAAATTAAGATTCAAACATTGACATGGTTTGATATTATGCTTTCCAATAAAACCTATGAAGGGGAGTATACACTGTATATGTACTGGTGACAAGGATTTCAAATTGTAAAATATGAACTTAAACCTCTCCCAACTCATGTAATGTTAAAGGTGTCACTACTTGAACAATCAAAATTACATCAATACTGATATTGTATATTATTTGTTATTTTCATCAATATTCAGCTTACAGGCAACTGACACCAATACGGGTGCACACGTATAATGTTACAAATGATTTCTATAGGCCATTCAATGTTAAATACATGTCGAAACTCCTCTGGTGGCACATTATCAGATTTCAGCATTTCAAAATTAATATTTATTTGACATCTGCTCCTTCCTGATATTGAGGCAAAAAGTTTTCAGTGTTGTCTTCATTAAAAAGTTTAAGTGAACTCGAAGGATACTAGTACGTGCGTCATTTTATGCGTCAAGTTTAATGGATCTTTTTATTTCATTGAATACTAAAATCCATATGTACTTAGCTATCACATACATTTCTGAGAAAAATCGTATTGTTAAGTATGCATCCGTAAGTAGATTAAAGATGTCATTAAGATCCACCAACTAGCTAGAGTGAAGTAATTAGATTAAGCCAACCTTCCAATCCGGTTAACTCGATAAAGGATCAAGACGTCCAGCCCTATTTTCAAATTTCCCGATACAGACACTGGCCAAGTCCTCTCAATGCTCTAGATGTTGTACAGTTAGATTTATCTTAAAGGCCCACTTTGGGAATTTTCAACATTTTGGGGCAAAATAAAGACTTACATTTAAATTTTATAGTATTTCATTTGACACCAACAGCTCAAATTGACCACACGAAAGCTTACAATAAATTATCAAAAAATATTTTTAATCTGTCAAGCTTTATATATCAAGTTTTTATCAATGTCATTGAAAGATGGCAAAGTTGTTTGTATTACATGATACATTTATTTCTATAGAAGTGTCGCCATCTTTTAAATAAATAGTAATTTAAAACGTGCACTTTGTTTAACATGTGCATGTATGTCTAATGATCTCTGAACTTCAAATGCTTTTTCCTATGTGAGTAAATTTTTTTCTTGGTTCAATATTAAAGCAAATCAAACTTTGTGTCATATTTGATCAAGTGTGTGAGTAACATGTTTCAATGATTTTTGTTCTTCTTAATTAAGGAAAGTGTGCCTTTAAATATGTCTGTGATAGAAAAAGTTTTGATAGAATATGATTTGATAGGATATGAATGCTTCAAGACGAACATTCAATCTCGAGAAATAAATCATAGTTTTAATTTGCTAAAGAATAGATATCATCTAGACAAAAAGTTATGCAACATTATGTGGACTCTCTTGGACTGTTTATCGTTCAACCACAGCAAGGTTGTTACACCATAAACAATTTGCAGATGATTTCAATTTGAACATGTACTTGGCATATACTAGTATTTCAGTAAAAGCACTTCAAGATATATCTCTTTATTGTACTATATGCCCATTATTGTACAGCTATTGTCTCAAGATAAGACAGTGCAACAGAACGTCCCTTGCAAATATCAAGCTCACTTCAATCGGTATCACTTAGTACAATTTCTCCTTGTGTGTTCCCTTTAACAATTACATCATTTGTTGGCCTCATACAGTCATAGTTTATTTCACCGTTGCCGTCCAATGGTTCCTGAGGGAACCGATGTAGATAATTCGAAGTTGCCATTGTATCATTCATTCAAGGGATCAAGGGAGTCTTGCGAATTCTCCCACCGATAGTTTAAATCCACAAACAAGCACTTAAAACGTATCACACTATAACATACATGGATGCTAAGGTAAACTTTAACACTTAACAATGTAACAGTTTAATATTTGAAAACAAAACTAGGGATAGAAAATACCTAAATAACAAAAATATATGTTTGCCTTGAACTGTCGTGGCTTGGTCCAGTTCGAAAACATAGCTGAACATCGTGGAGTAATTGAAGAAGTACATGTAACTTGGGTCTACATCAGACTTCAGAACTAACATGTAACATGTAATTCATGCATCTAGATTCGTGGTTATTGAAGAACTGTACGTTCAGCGAACTTTCGATTTTTCAGATTTCCGAATTCCGGGTACATGGGTTGTGTGCTGCCACATTTACTCCTCTCAAGGACGATGGGCAAGTAAAATAAAATAATTGAAGTAAAATAAAATTTTCTACCATCAATTCAAAATAATCATTTCAATTTATTAAATAACTTGTGCACCCGGTTTATATTAAGATTAAATCAATTATATTTGTTTTAGGGAGTTAAATTTGGACTACATCGGTGTCTATTGTGATCACTTAGTTTCCCAGGGTGTCATGAATATATTTGGTAAGTTTATACTAGTTTATTCAAGTATATAGGGTGTCTCAAAAAATGTACCCAAAAGTATATCAACAGCATAGACAAACCAATCAATATTTTCAGACATTTTTTGCATGGTCTTGTAGATAAAAGATGAAAGTTTTTTCCCCTAAACACAGTTTTTAATTCAGTTTTGCCTTTTTGATACTTTAACCTGTTACCTTTTACACCACAAATTCAATGTAACCTCATATTTCGATGACAGTCTGCATCCTTACTACTGCATTGTTCATCACATCTGATATTTCTAGTGGAATGTTTTGATTTCTGTTCGGATGCTGGTCTTAAGTTGTTCTAGGTCTCTTAGCTTGGGTTAAGCATAAAAATGGTCCTTCAAAAAGGCCCAGAGAAAAAAGTATGGGCCGTCAAATATGGTGAATAGGGAGGCCCTCACAATGTCTTATAGCCCCCTTATACAGAGAGGTCAGAGTTTTAAGAAACTGCATTGGTTGGGATTCTAGTGTATCCTTTGTTGTGTGTATCAATTTGAGACCACTGTGTTTTCATTTGAATATCATTTGGTCTCCAGGCTAGCCTGCATAACTCTAGAAGGTTAATCCTGAATCATTTGCTGATAATTGACCTGAATATCTGTGTTTGTTCTGCCATTGTCATCCTCAAACATTTTTCTCTGTGGCTATTTGAAGGAGTGTTTTAATGCTCATTCCAAGCAAAAAGACCTGGAACAACTTAGAGCAACATCCAAAGAGAAATCCAAAACATTCCACTGGAATTATTATCAAAATGTGATGAACAATGTAGCAGTAAGGATACAGGCTGTCATCGAAATATGAGGTTACATCGATTATGTGGTGTAAAAGGTAAAGGGTTAAAGCATCAAAAAGACAAGACTGAAATTATAATGGTGTATTGGGGAGAAAACTTTCAAGTTTTGGCTACATGACCATGCAAAAAATGTTTAAAAATATTGATTGGTTTATATGTGCTCTTGATATACTTTTGGGTACATTTTTTTGAGACACCCTGTATACTATATTGAGGCATCACCATATCTAATCTTCACGTATCTATGGTATACACTACCCTTTGCATTCGTTTGACTTCACTTCTTAAAAGAGAGCTTCGTCTTCAGTTTAACTAGACTCTGCAGGCAGGGTAGGTATACGTATACACCGATGTCACAACAATTGCAATCCAGAAGTTTAAGGGCCGATATAAAGATGGCAGCAGAGGTAAAATTTTATCTATCTTGGCCAGATATACAAACCAAATTGATTGCAATGCCATTCAAATTATTTTCGCCCAGTAGCCTATTTTCCAACTCAAATTAGACAAATTCAGAGAAAAACATGTCGGTAAATGAGTGAAATCATTAATAAAGAGGCAAATTAAATGTACACCAAAATTGTTTTAGTGAACGGCACAACTGGAGAAGGTCCGCTACTGACTCTTGACGAAAGGAAACTAGTCGCTGAAGCCTGGGTCAAAGCAGGAAGAGGCAAGTAAGAATGACTTTTTAGATGAGGTACCATTTATCAGTTTATAATGACGTTTACGAATAGATCGATGTAAGTGCGCATTCAAAATAGTTAGTATGTGTTCACGATTTGTAAACAGATAGATCTAGAGAGCGTTAGATATGTTCCATTGATGCTATACTTGATTGATATTCATCATTGATGCATTCCAGTAATATACTTTCAGATTAGATAAAATAATCATACATGTTGGCACAACCAATCTAAAAGATACACAATGTTTGGTAAGTAAATAATGCGTTAAAATAGTAACGGTCCCAAAATGACCCCATGCAGAACGCTTACATTTCAATAAACACCTTAGAAATTCAACACTAGCGTTCAAAAAATTATTACAATTTATCATTTTCAAATAATCTTTTAGGCTCAACACGCCGAGAAAATTGGAGCTCACGCGATATCAACAATTCCACCCACATTCTTCAAGCCTAAGAGTGTAGGTAAGTCGATTGCAGCTTATATCAGCTACCGATCAATGAACGAATGCATTTTTCTGAGAACAAAGTAAAAATAAAGATATTTTTATGAAATAACATTTCCAAATCATTTTTTCAGATTATGAAAGTGCTGAAATACATTAAACTCCCTGGGAGATTGCATATCTATTGGTTTTTCGACATTTTGGTTTTGTCAATGACTTTTCGTTCAAGAATAAGTAACGCATTTGTGCCATATAAATATAGCTTTATACAATGCATTAATGATGAAGAATAAACAAAACCAAAACTTGAAAATTCTTGATCGTTATTTTTGTGTTATATTGGTACCTCTAGCAAAATTGAATTATTGCAGGTTCCTTAGTGAAATATTGCAAGGATGTCGCCGGTGCCGCTCCCACACTACCCTTCTTTTACTATCATATACCACAGATTACAGGCGTTGAATGTAAGTAAAGAACTCCTCTCATTAATGATGTGGCAACGAATGATCCAATCAACGACATGATCAACATTGAATACAATCAAAAACGCGATCAAAATATAACCAACAACATAAATGTTGACACAATCAAAACTCCAACACAATCAACGTCACAACTAAAAACGGCAACTACATAAAGTAGCAACTCTCATGTTCAATATGTATATGGATGTTTGAAATACGATCATTTTGTGATCTTTTCAATCTCACACCTTAATTAACTACAATATCTAAGATCGACAATTTCCATTGTTCAACTCCAATGCTGGATATGAATTTAGTTATGATGCTGGATTTCCTGAAAGCTGCGAAGAGTGAGATTGCTACTTTAAGAGGCATCAAGTACTCATGGTTGGACCTGGTAGACGCTGCACATTGTCTGAGGTTTAACGATGGGAAGTACCAGATCATGTGGGGGAGAGACGAGGTATGTGCACATACAAGATAGCATCAACCTTCTACTAGCTGGACTTCTAAACACTTTTTACACACAAAACGATAATAAGTTAAGAAATAACCACAGGAATTAGTCTATGACATCCTGAATGAAATGTCGATATGATATAGCATTCTAGTCAAGACCCCCTTGTTTGCGAGTAACTTTGGAAAGATCAAGACAAAGGGGTAAATCGAGTGAATCCCTTCTATCAGAGACATTCAAAATCAATGTCAGACTTGCATACTTGTACGTACAGTGTACATCCAGGATGAAAATGTGTGAACATGTATTTGGTCCTATGAAATATGTTGATTTATAATGTAACCTAAATACAAATATTTCCCTCGTGTACTAGAATACTCAATCAATGGCACTTTGGAAAAGAGACCGTAATCCTGTTCGGTCCCGTGCGTTCGGTAGTCGTCACTATGAACTAACTAAATGCTATACTAGTATTTATTTTATCTTGTCGAACAGTGTCATTAATTATGCATATGACTCAAAACATAGTTGCCTCCTTATGCTGTTTTCAGCAACTTCTGACTGCCCTTGTACTGGGTATAGATTCAGCAGTTGGCAGCACCTACAACTTCATGCCACGCTTATATCAGAGAATGATCGAGGCGTTCGAAAAAGGCGACATATGGGTGGCTCAGAAAGAGATGTATAGGATACAAGATGCTGTACTGGCGTTGTTCAAACACGGTAAGAAGGCAGGCTGGTTTGGACATGCTATTGATACTTTTGGGTATTGGGTCATGCAATGTATGCTAGAGCTGTCTGAGCCTCATTCTCATGAATCATTAACTTATACTGTTCAAATGGGTATGGAAAGGAGCGCGAGCCCTCAATAATTTAGTTTGGACATGCTACTGACACTTACGAGTATTGGGTCATATGATATGCTAGAGAGGTTTGATTCCTCATTGTCAGTAGTTCTTCTCAACGGAACTGTTCATCAGATGGGAATGAATAGGACCCCTTGATGGAATATCACGGATGTTCATTGCAGTTTGGTTTGGACGTGTTATTGTCAATATGAATAATACGTTTAGTTCGACCCTCATTGTCATTAATTATTCTAAATTGAACTTTTCAGGATTCGCTGGTGTCGGGCCTCAGAAAGCTATATGTAAACATATAGGTCTAAATCTTGGTCCAGCTAGGTCACCGATAGAAACCCCATCCGATGATAAAATGGATGATATTGCTAAGGACTTGTCCGATATGGGATTTAACGAATGGATAGAACAATAGGATCTTCTCGTGTTTGAAATCATTCCAATAGAGAAACAATGATTTGACAGTAAAATGAATCAAAAAACATCATGTACATTTTCAGAGTCTGGTATTGGGCCGTTGAAGGCAATAACACAATCAGTTGCACTCTCAGATCTTGGACCAGTCAGATCTCCCATCGACGTACCACGAAATGAGAACATGGACGGCGTTTTAAAGGACCTTCATGATATGGGTTTCAACGAATGGATTAAATAAAATGGTGTTGGAATCAAGCAATTAACTGAGAATCAGCCTTTGTGAGATATCATGGTGATTCATAAGAAAGAACTACGATGTACATCCAATTTAGAGTACGTCACGTGAGCATCCCTAAATTCCAATGGACTGCGTAATTTATGGTTGTGACAGACATCTACAAGATGTGATTCAAGTTCATAATACACATGCAGCTGAAAGCTTGAATGAAATGATGAAATGATCAATTATTAAATACAATGGTACACCAGACACTTCTATTTGTATTTATGTCCGACAGAATGGCTCAGCTTCATTAAAACGACATCAATCAGGCAGAAGCTTCAAGTATTGACACTTAGTATTGTTCTATGGACAAGTAGCAATGGGTCTACCTTGCCTGAATTAAAACAATGCACATCAATATATTTGCAGCCTTAAGTTTTTCATTTTCTAATTTGATATTGTAAAGTCTTACTGAAACGACAATAAGTAATTTCTTGGCTTTTCATAACTGAGTTTTGAAAACACGCAGATTGTATCCAATCTCACTTAAAATGAGTTTAACATAACTGGTCATCTCATATCAATTAAATTGATATTTTTAACACTTTAAGGTCAATGTTATCCGGACAAGATGCTTCAGTGAATTAGCATTTATTTTTTGACAAGATGAGACCAACTCCCATAATTCCCATTCATCATGTGATACATCACGTGACACATTGCCGCCATACTGTTATATTCATATCTTGTATTCGAGACTGAATGTAGCTTGTTTGCAATTTTGAGTATTCGGTGTAACTAGAACAAATAGTACATTGATTTTCTGAACAAAAGAGAAATCAACATATAATTAATGGATGGTAACTTTCATTGAAAGTGATTTTTGTAAATAATCATCAGGAAGTGTTGATAAAAAAATAAGGTGAGTAATTTGTTATTGACTTTGAATCTTATTTATTTATTTTTTTAAATATCGATGGATAACATAAACATACTTATGCAAATCGTTGCTCGTGAATTAATGAAATTATATTTTAATCGTCGAAGATGAACTCATATCATATCTTGGAGAGTACCCTTTGCATTCGTTTGTCTTCTCTTCTAAACGAGACCTTCGTAGTCTTCGTCGTAGTTTATAACGAGACTCTGCACGAAGGGTACATCATCTTGGCTTGGGGAGATGCGATGGAATCCATTTTTAGTTGTTACAATTAAATCTATTTGATTAACCCTTTATTCCAGCATGCGTCTCATCATTATACTGCTGTTGGCGTTATATGCTATCAGTAAGTTGGCTTAAAACTCATTTGATGGAACATGGGCTTTCAACTAGAAGGGTATGCAACTCTATGTAATAACATGAGACCTTCAAAATGAGCAATGACATGCTTCCCTTTTATGGCAATATTTCAAAAAGTATTAGATAAATGTATATGTTTTAGTATTAATTTGAATAAAAATCAATTTTTAATATGATTTAAGCATAAAATATATTCAATATCATATAAAAGTAAACAAAAGAGACCAATAAGAATAAGAGTTATCAAGATGTTCTCTTTGAGTATTGCATTGTGGGTAATTATTCAAGAACACATTCCAATAAAAACATAATTTGTGGGAGAATGTTCACTTTCTGTATTGTCATAATTATGATGAATTCCAATTTTTATTAAATTATCAAGATGTATGTAGAAGATCATGTTTTTATTTTTGAGTTATTTCTTTTAATCATCAATAAAAAGTACAAAATAAGATTTTCTTGGAATGTGTACATTCTCCAATTTTGAAAACCCATGGCAATGTTTATGTATGAAATATGGGAAGTTGCCTACCCTTCTAGTTGAAAGCCCATGGATGGAACAAGTTCACTAAATCTAAAACCATTTTTGTAGATGTGACAATATATGTCTTAAATAATAATCCCGTTATTCAAATGCATGTACAGATAATACCGTAAGTTCAAAGTAATATTCTGTAGCATAAACATGAATATATAATTGGTGTGGAATCTCGGATATAGTGATGTAACGTAAAGGTCCTACATTTAAATGCCCTACATGTATGCTGGATAATACAGCTGCCAAAAAGTCATCAAGTCATACATGCAACAAGTAAGACGTTACCAAAATACAGTAAATCATATTTCTGCACTGAACTGTTTAAAAGAATGACATCATTACTAATAGATGACATGGTTGACAGGAATGGTATGTTCATTACATTATATATAACTTTATTTTACATTATAATGATTGTATTCCAGGTCTTTGTGACGCAGGAAAGAAAAGAGGAAAGGAAGGGAGAAAGGATAAAGTAGCAGGGAAGGCTGGGAAGCCTGGGAAACCCGGGAAGGGAGGTAGAGGGGGAAAGGAAGGGAAAATTAGAGGAAAGAAAAAGGGTTCTGGTATGTATGCTTTCCATTGATTCGAATGCTACTACACATTTTTGAAATAAAATCAATAATTAGGTTTTTATTTTAAAACAAGATAAAAGTAACATGCTTATTTGGTATGATATGCCTACATTTAAAGGTCCCATGTAAAGTTCATCAAATATTATTTTTGACCCAATTTCTCGCCATTCAAATACAACACTATACATTGTACAACACATTATTTTATCAACTTCATTTGATAATGGAGGTTGATATTGTTTCAACCGTTAAATTTTTATGTTTAAACTTGAAATATAAGCAAGACTGTTTGATTCTTTTTGAATAAAGCTAATCCTAGGTAAAAGATTCTAGGAAGTGTTGTACCTATAACCGAATTGGTTTAAACTTTGCATGGGGCCTTTACAGATTAAACAATAACAATAACTCCTCGAATAAGTCGTGAAACATTTTGCGCATTTGTTTCAGACTCATGTCCTTCAGACCCAGACCATCAAATATATCGTAAGTACAATACCATTTCTAATATTGATCTGGATTATGCGTCAGCTTTACCAAAGACAAATACATATAGTTATAAGTTACCACATCCAGACACTTAGTCTTGCTTGAAGACCCTGTTGTAGATACGGGGATGGGGGTCAAGGGTCTTAAAGCAAGACTTACACCTACTATTTATACTCCAGACCCTTCTTTCCAGAGACAACGAGCGAACGACAAATGTGTTGTCAAAATAATATCATATACATGGCAAGCGGAGGTCCTATGTACCAGTCGAAGGGACTGAACAGTGGAGATATGTGGAAGGACGGGGCTTGTGACAAAAGCGAGGATCATATATTCAAAGTCTACGGAATCAACTCATGCAGATGTGTCAAAGGAGGCAAGTATGAGCAATTGTTAACAAGGTCGACTTGAAAATCAATGTATCATATATGAAAAGGAATGCTAAGCATAGGAAAACAATACACAACCACTGCAACATGTATGTACTCTTAAAATGATGTGGTAATTAACTCACAATCCGTTTCATTTTAGATCTATGCCCAGCAGACGATTCTCCAAAGTACAGAGCAAACGGTAAGATTATGAACTGAAACTCACAGTTATAGAAAATATTACCGCAAACAGTACAATGTATGTACAGTGTAGATCTAGCAAATAGTGCACTGATTGTGTTTGGTGTTTGTAAAACTGAACATAATGAAGATGTCAAAAGGAGATAACAACGCTAATTGTTTTTTAAAACATTAATTTATATTTGATAGAGTGGCATAAATGTCCGTTATAATAGATTTTCTCACGACCTTATAGTTTTTACGTTTGGATTATAGGTTACCTACATGTATGTATCTGTATCTAATTATCTTTTAAGAATATATTCTCTATATAAAACTCATTAGAGTTCAGTCAACTATATGTTTTTTGAATTGTAATTGTAATTCACATTCAATTTAGTTTTTGAACAACAGGGTTTTCCTCATAAACAATCGGACATGTTTTTGACGTTTGATCAATATTCAACAGATACTAAGTATTGTACTTTGTTAAATACAATTATAGTAAAGGCATTTCCAAAGATGGAGAAAATATTAAAAGAGAAAGCTTTACTTAGCTATAGTTTCATGGTAGAACAATTAACAAGCAACGCGACTAGCTTTAAATTCATCTATGCATGCCTGGCAGCACCAGTCTCCACATACAAGTTTGACGTTCTTCCCCGACTCACAGTTTACACACACATGCTCTTTTAGTACATGAAATGCTTGCATAATTCGCTTCAGGCAAGGACTTTTTGCAGCAAGCCACATCCGAAAATAAAACTCATCACCAGCGGAGCTAGCGCCACTTCTAACCTTTCCCCGTAAAAGCTGCAAAAATGTTTTCCGCTGGGTCATTAAATGGTGGTAAAGGTAGTGAATACGCTCATTCTCCCTGTCCGGGTTGTACCAGGCTGCTATGGTATGTTGAAGTCGGGCTCCGTACGAACTGAAAATTGTCAAGATGAAGGTGACAATAAACCAACTAATTAACCATGTCATTTGTGAATCCCTGTAGAAAGGAGGGAGGGGATCTGGTAGACATGCTTCCGTTTTAATCTCCAAGGTGTAATTGAAGGTAGTTGTATTACTCGCGAAAAGGTTCGGGACTTCCTGATAAAACAACTGACGAATATTTTGACTAGTATCATTCAATTCGATGTGGAAACCGTTTGCGCCATCTATAACCATCGTTACATTCGCCTCTGCTTGTATGATCTCCAATATGCGGAACAAAACATAGTCAATCAAACACAGAAACGCTGCAGCTACAGCAAATGGTGTAAAAATGATGATTTCCCGAAGCATTCCGTAGATTTCCTGTTGAGATATACAACACGACGTATCAATTAAGTCTGATCGCTCTTTCCTTTTTAGCGGCAATAACGTTTCTTTGCTCATCGCCTTTCTTTTTGAATCTTTCTTTTTAAAAGACTTGGTTACGTAGATGTTTCTATAGTGAAGATGTCGATTGTATCCTCGATAATAGCAACATGCCTGTCCAAGAACAACAACAATAGATACATACGCTAAAATTCCGAGTCCACCTATGATTTTTTGAAGAAAGGCCGTCTTTTCATCAAAATCTGCATTAAGTTTTTCGCCTACATCGGAAAGCTTTTCTATTCCTTCAACTTGTGGAGGATCAAGAAAGCGAACAGCATTAATGTCATTGGTGTAGTTATTCACATCTGACCAAAATATGCTTACATTCCTAATCGTACCGAGCTGTGGATCTGGGTTGAATTTGGCAAAAGCTTTCAAACTGTTGGCAAGTTTGAATAATATACTTGAAAAGGATTTCATTGCTTCGATATGAAACCCAAAGAGTCGGTTTGTGGTTGTTTCAAATTCTTCGCTGTATTCTTGTACCCGTATAAACATAGCGTATTGTACTGCTTTGACTTCCTTTGTCAGCATTTCAACCTGACATGAAGTAGCTTCGGGGATTTTCTTTGCGTTGTCTAATGTATTGGCGAGTGGACCTGAAAACAGGAGTTTTAATATGACAGTCCATAATATGGCCTTCCCACGAGACGTAGAAAGGCCGGGAAGTGTCAAAAGTGCGATACATCGGGCTGTGCTTGACATCATTACAAATACTGATATAGAGATGGAAACTACAAGAAACACTATCATCAGTTCCACTGGAGGGTACTTGATTTTATTATACGATGTTACTTCTTCTACGTCAAGGGTTCTAGTATTATTTGAATCATAAAGGGTATTGTTTGTTTGAGGGAAGTAAATTTTAAGCAAATCCCAATGTTGTGTTTTGTTTGACGTTTTCAATTTGTTCATTATCGGTTCAAAGTATCCTTCCCTATAAAGCATCAGGGCAAAAATACCAATACTAAATGCAAATACAAATAGGGCTAAGGCCATTTTGCTATTGCAATATCTTGGTGCGCAATCATCATGAATTGTCCTGTTTCTTTCGATGCCGCCTTTGTGAACCTGATCAATCCCATCCGTTTCCCTGTCATTGCTGATTACGCTTAATCGAACATTGTCCATAATGCTGTCTTGCTGACGATACTCCGGGCGTGTTGATTTAACTGTCTGTCTGTTTCCTTCTAAAACTTGCATCTTTCATTTATTTTGTTCATCGTCAAACACTTTTTTGATGATGTTGATGATCAATGTCATATCTTCCGCAATGATGGACTTACTGAACATGGTGTCTTTCTCACAGGATCCCAAGTGGCACGATCTAAAAGGAAACGAGTCACATTAAAATAATTCTGAAAATATTTTCAAAACATAAAAATAAACTTGATACACATCTAGAAAAAATGCGAATAAAAATTAATTTTAAATTATTGCTTTCATTTTAATGTAATAATAACATACCTTTATGTTTGAGATGCTTATTAACACTTGACTCCAATTGCCATAATCCGTATCTGTGTAATTAGTTGTTTACTTGGTCAAAATAAATAAGATCGGGAAAAGCAGTTGATAACGTTGAAAGAGCGTCCGAGTGATTCCGTGTAGCCATTCTTATTGTAAATATGCAACATGAATTCCGACGTCTCTTGATTACTTCATGAGGGGTGGAACAAATACACGCCTAATACATCATTACCCCGAATCAAAATCGGATAGCTACACTTTGCCGTCCGATCTCATATGTGGGGTTTAAAGTGGTAGGTTTGATTTGTCGTAGTTTGACGATGAACTAAATACAAATGCTCAAGAAAGTGAAAATAGCATCGTCGCGTTGTTTTCAAACTACATTTTCGAATTGGAGAAATTCTACATAATTTACCCCAAAAAATTACACCAGCTGTATGCTAACATATAATGGATGGAAATCTGCCGCATCCAAATGGAAAGAACCATATACGTGCATATTAATAGCATATCCTATATATTCAAAATGTAGTTATACGCCCTCCATATGGTCCGTCATAAAGGGGAGGTTTACAATCTTTATAAGATAAAGGATCAGACAAATTATTGCACTGTGGCTTGTCTAAGGTACCAATACTTGTCACATTCAATAAAGCATATCTGCAATAGTAGCAGGAATAATAGAAATAATCCCCAACAGAATGTGCATCTTTGCCAAAACAGAGCCAATATCTTGATTTCAACGATAACGAATGGATAATTGCCCCATATGCCTTATATATTGAGGGATATACTCACTGATATAGGATGTATTCTTATTCTAAGTCATATAATGACATGAAGAAACGACCAGCAACTTTCGAAGCTAGGCTATAACGCTTTTCAATAGTTCAAAAATGTAAATTCAACTAAGTCTATAATCAGAAGGTGGCGATACCGTGGCAGTAGTGCTGCGAGTTCAACTCATTTTATGTTTTTTTTCTATAATTACAAGGTGACGATACAATTACCAGACGCTGCAAGTTCAACTCATTTTATGTTTTTTTCTATAATTACAAGGTGACGATACAATTACAATGCGCTGCAAGTTCAACTCATTTTATGTTTTTTCTATACTTACAAGGTGATGATACAGTTACCATGCGCTGCAAGTTCAACTCTTTTTATGTTTTTTCTAAACTTACAAGGTGATGATACAGTTACCATGCGCTGCAAGTTCAACTCTTTTTATGTTTTTTCTAAACTTACAAGGTGATGATACAGTTACCATGCGCTGCAAGTTCAACTAATTTTATGTTTTTTTTTCTATAATTACAAGGTGACGATACAGTTACCATGCGCTGCAAGTTCAACTCATTTTATGTTTTTTTTTCTATAATTACAAGGTGACGATACAATTACCAGACGCTGCAAGTTCAACTCATTTTATGTTTTTCTATAATTACAAGGCGACGATACAATTACCATGTGCTGCAAGTTCAACTCCCAGTACTATAGAGGTGAAGGTGCCAAATACAAGAAGCTGAAGTTAAGGCGAAATGGCGTCAAATACTTGGAGTGTCGTGAGGGGGAGATCTTTAAGATACGTGGGCCTCATGAATGCGGATGTGAAGGTTAGAAAATAATGCAAAGAATACTAAAAACTATAAAACCCTGAGTGATTACCAAAAAAGCATCTTTGATATAGAAACAGGACAAATGTGAAATACACTCAGGTATCTCAAACTAACACATTTGACAACTAGCACATTATGTATTACAGAGGATATCAAAGAGACCATTGCAGTGGACCAGGCAGGGGCGGATAACAAAATCGAAGACCCGGATGAAACAAGTACGATTTAAAATACACCATTAAATGTGACATCAATGTGATGCATCCATGGCACAACAACACATTAACGTTGAATTAATGAGCAAATTATCTTTAATTGCCAAGTAAAATATTTCGTCTGCAGAAAAATATTAATTCAACATTAGTATATTGAACATTGCGCAAATACGTTGATTAAGTAGGTAAAAGCTCGAGTTAGAATTTTATATAGTCTATTCAGTTGATGACGAAGTTTATAAAATGCGTCTCATTAACTAGATATTGTACTTTATCCATTTCAGTAATTCGGAGCAGCATGCGCTCTAAATGTGGAGGATCACTAAAGCACATCTCTCCCATTAGACTTGTTGCTCGGACTATCAATGGCAAGCGTTATCACGTTCCCCAAGCGTGTCTTGTAACCGATAGATGGTTCTACATATGCAACAAAGCTGAAGCGTATGCATCGGTAAGATATTCCAGCTCGTTGAAAAGAAAGAGAATATCATTTAGTTATTAGAACTGCGACCCACCTTCGCGATCAATAATAATATATCACAAACCAGGATTCCCCAAAAAATAAGTAACAATAAAGGGCTATCCCAAACGGTGCATACTCTTTATAGCATTCGCATAACTGAAACAACATACTCGAACATTGATCACAAAACAAATTAAAAACTATCATAATTACAGCAGCTATCGGTTCGCCAAAATATTCATTTAAGTATTTTGTAATTGCTTTAACATGTTTTTTCTTCTCTGAAATAAAAAATTTAATAAAAAAATATTCATTTAATTTCAATCTTGATATTTTAGGAAATATGTAAAGAGCTGAATCTTTGTCAGTCTAACATGCCTGGTCCGTTCGACTGTAGCAACGCTAAAGGTGAGTAAAGTGTCATTATATCATTCCATGCGTTAAACGTTATCAATCCTTTATGTTAATTTATTTATTTGTTTCCACCTCACACTCTAAATATATAAATTGCTCGTCTTAGCAATATATAAATAAATTACCCCTACATTAATTTTTATAATTATAACGTATGGTTTAAAAGTAAATTAGTATATACTACAGTATGTACATTTTTATGCTCTCCCAACACGGAGGAAATAGAGACATAAACATAGAAAACATAAACTCATGTAGATGGTGGAGCAGCCGGGAAGAATCTTGAACTGAATTGAATGAAATGGATTTCTTTGCTTTCACGTTCCAATGTCCACTTGAACAGCTAGCAACCTTTTCAAATTTTATATATTTGTTTCATATTACTAGAATCTTTATTCGATCCATTGTCATGTTCAATTCAATTCCAATAAACTATTCAAAGGGATTTTAACATATCTGTGTACTGATAAAAACAAATGTGAATATCCACTTAAATTATTTTTGACTTCTATAGCGGCGTATGCTAATCCCAATCAACATAATGATAAATCTTAAATGTTAGTTGCAATTTGCGCCCTTTCCCAATATCCCTGATGTTAGCTCTTCAAAAACTCGATCCATACTTTTGCTGATGACAACATTTAACGACTTCCAGGTGAGATAGTCAAGGCACTCCGGGGGTCGAATTGGCTTACATACAGGGTGAACATGCTACCATTTTTCCCTCTTGGTGAAGCATGTCAACAGGTTGACAACGTCCTGACAATTCAGTGTGAGTACACGTAAAATTCAATTCTAGAGGGCGCTGAGATATAACCGTAATATTAATGCAATTTACTCTGTTATCTTTCGGTAAAGTAAATAATTAAGCCTACTTTAATTACATACACAAGCTTTGAGTACAAGTCAGTGGTATGGTTGTCTGTTATCATAACATGGATGATGAGCTATTCCATCTTGTTGGGGGTTGAACAATGAACATGTATACGAAAGGCAGACAAGTCTCATTCTGATACCTATAACAACTTTCTACTTCAACTAAAAAAGCGTAAAGAAAGCCATAATTTCTCATGTTGGATAATGATGGGGATCACATGTAGTGTTATAATGAACGTAACTGACAAATTGACCTTGGTCTATTTCAGGCCCAATTCCATTCAATTTGGCAGCCAAAGACCAAATTTCAGATGGGACGTCAAACGACAACGAAGTATAGATGAACGATATGGAAAAGATTCAATAAACTGAGAATGAAGTCATAGTCAGACCAACTTCCACTGTTCATCATTCCAACGATGTGTCATTTCTTGCCTTGAAATAAAAAATATATCAATTTCCCAAAGCGTAAACTGGTTTCTAGTCTTTTTTGTTTATTTTGTTGCTTTTGTTGTTATCATGATCAAATGATCAAAAGGACGAATGGGGTTTTATTTATGGCAGGCCACAAAAATTAAAAATGCTTGGATAAATGAACGAATAAGTTGGATAAATTGACGATTTTTTCCTTACGTTTCCCTTTCGCTTATTTTTTATTGAAATTCAAGAAAGGTCTTGAAAAGTAAATCTCAGGTAGTTGGTTGACTTTGTCTGACTTTTTCAAATATATCAGCAGCCTTGAAAGGAGCTTTAAAACCATACAGCCATTGTGTCTGTTTATTCGTTAGAACGTCGATCAATCACCCAGAATGTAACATAACACCCGGCCTTAACACAATCTAACTATCTTTTCAAACTTACAAAAAGATTCACAATTTCAACGTCATTGCCATTAATATAAATATAATAGACTTTTGACTTTGTTTTGATAAGCGTCTGATCTTACGATTAGGGCCCAAGTAACAAGTTTTTAAGTTAAAATTTGAGAGGACGCAGCTATAGGGTAAGTAGGAATTTTACCTGTCTTTTTCAAAATTGTATTTCTAAGATTTGAGTACATATTTTCTTGATAATCGTAAATTTGTTTTTTTAATAGTTTATACTTTCATAATTGCATTTTATTCACTTGAAAACTGAATTGTACGTTTATGGCATCTTTTCAGAAATCGAAACCATGAAGGTTTTCGTTGTTGTTTTGGCGGTGTGTCTTCTTTTAGGCAAGTATATTACCTATTATTATTTAGCTTTCGATTACTTAGTACTACATGGAATATGTCTAAACTTTAAACAAAAATAACAACTTGACATATTGCTGATATAACTACAACTCTTTTTTAAGTATATGTTTTCTTTATTTTAAACTCATTCTTTGTCTATTGATGGTCAATCAGGGCCAATGCGGACCATGGATGCATGGACAGTCAATACTCGCTTGGGAACCGTAATCTATGTTCGCAGTCGACAACCCGCCATTAATCATTTCTTTTCAGAACCACTGGAGTAGTGAGCCATACAAAGGAGTAGAGTAACATGTCATGATTGTGTACACGAAAAAATTAGTCAAAACATAATTTGAAATCAACGGGTCACATCGTGTACGTCATAGTCAGCTTTAATGCGGCGTTTTAGAGTTATTCTATACCCTCTCTTATAGTTAATGATGCGATATTATGTTTTTTCTAGATCTGTTAAACGTTTATTAAGTGACTATGAAATGCGGACTGGAAACATCCAATAGCCTAACATTATTTTTAATACCCTTTCCATTTTGTTCGTCCCCGAAGAAGGCCATGCATTTTAATCACTTTATTATTCTTTATTATTGTTTGTGAAACCAGAGAATCTATTTCCATACGGCTAAATATTATACAAATATATTAAATTTTATAGATGTGTACCTTTGCATCTTTCGCAAGAGATATCATATTCAACGAAGCCCGAAGGTATTCTCCGAAAATAGAATTAAATATTTGTTTTATCATACCACTGTTAAGCAATATCTTCAATAAAACAAATATCAAATGTTAACATTGAAATACATGTACATTAACATTTTTAAATAAAACATATTGGATTAACTCAATCCCGGCGATTTATAAAATCGTAATTGACACTGGACTAAGTCGTAATACAGGGTGCCCCAAAAGAAATGCAACCTGGTCATGTTTTGATAACGTTTCCAATCAATGCGGTTGAACCTACAACTTAAAATTACAAATCGAGGGCGTTTCTCTTTTTATTATACATTTACATCAAGAAAAGTTGTGCAGTATGTAAAATTCAAAAACATTAACACTTGAACTCTACACAGGTCCAGTCATATTTTCATTTGTTAATGATATCTGAAATATTAATAAAAAATTGATCACTTTTGCAAAAATATATGAGGCAGATACCTCATCCATTATTCTTTAATAAGAATATATAGGGGTTATGCACTGGGAGGTTTTGGATACGGGGAATATCCCGAGGGATATACAATATATCTTCCCGAGGGACCGAAGGGACCGAGGGAAGATGTATTGTATATCCCAAGGGATATTCCATGTATCCAAACCGACCGTGCATAACTGGTGTATCTCATACTTGAGTGGCTTTAAGGTAGATATAACCTTTTCCACCTTTTTCAAATGACAAGATATTTATATTTAACATTTGCGTAATATTCTTTTTGTTCAATACAATGAAATTGTAACATTTAAACTTAAAAAAATTAAATTATAAAATTAAAACTTTTGATAATTAAACTTTTTTAAACTTTTGAAAAATTCCCGGGAGCGGGATGGATATATTATATCTGCCCGCATTTGGCCTGGAGCGGGACATATACAATATATCCTGCCCGCTCCTCAGATACGATATATATTCCCGGGTGATATCTACCGCAAACCCACTCAAGTATGAGATACATAGAGATTATCCTATATGAGGTTCAGGATATTGGGATTATCCCGAGGCCAATATAATATATCTGCCCGAGGGCCGTAGGTCCCGAGGGTAGATATATTATATTGGCCAAGGGATAATCCAAATATCCTGAACCGACTATAGGATGATCTGTTTATCCCATACCAATGACATTGTTCAATTGGCCAAAGTTCAGAAACTTTGCAACCAATCGTGGAATTATTTTAAAATATTCATGTCCAGTTTTGTATTCTTGTTTCTTTTCCTGCTCAAATCTTTGATTATTAACGGGGTATACTGCTCCTTCCCTTCTTTAAAGCATCAAACAGGTCGAGATTGTCTGCGTTTTTCTCCATTGTTACAGTATGCGAACGTTACAAAAAAAGAACCAATACGGGAACAGCGATTATGACGTAGCGGGCAGATATACTATATCTGCCCGCTCGGAGCGGGACGTAAAGCTATATCTGCCCGCTGATGAAAATATAAGTTTTTACAAACCGGCTTTATGTACCCGTAACACGTCCAAGTATGGGATAAAAGAGATTATCCCATATGAGGTTCGGGATTTTGGGATTATCCCGAGGCAAATATAATATATCTGCCCGAGGGCCGTTGGACCCGATGGAATATATGTTATATTGACCAAGGGATAATCCCAATCCTGAACCGACTATAGGAACCAACGAGCCGTATCCATGTCCAGTTTCGTATGCGAACGGCGATTATGATATCTGCCCGCTGATGAAATATATAGAGATTATCCTATATGAGGTTCAGGATATTGGGATTATCCCGAGGCAAATATGATATTTTTGCCCGAGGGCCGCAGGTCCCGAGGGAAAATATATAATATTGGCAAAGGGATAATCCCAATATCCTGAACCGACTATAGGATGATATGTTTATCCCATACCATTCTTGTTCATCTGGTTCACATTGTTCAATCGTAAATTTTTTTTAGAATATTCATGTCCAGTTTTGTTTTCTTGGCCGTGGACGGATTTTCCTGTTCTCTCAAATATTCCCACATTTATTTTCTCGATTTTTTTTATTGATTAAGTGGATGCTCCTTCCCTTTTTTAAACCATCAAACAGATCCCGATTGTATGTGTTTTCTCCATTGTCGTTTACAGTCATTACGCGAACGTTACAAATTATGAACAAATATGCGAGCGGCGATTATGACGTAGCGGGCAGATACACTATATCTGCCCGCTCGGAGCGGGACGTAAAGCTATGTATCTCATACTTGAGTGGGTTTGGGGTAGATATCACCCGGGAATATATATCGTATCTGAGGAGCGGGCAGGATATATTGTATATGTCCCGCTCCAGGCCAAATGCGGGCAGATATAATATATCCATCCCGCTCCCGGGAATTTTTCCAAAGTTTAAAAAAGTTTAAATATCAAAAGTTTTAATTTTTTAATTTTAAAATTTAATTTTTTTAAGTTTAAATGTTACAATTTCATGGTATTGAACAAAAAGAATATTACGAAAATGTTAAATATAAATATCTTGTCATTTGAAAAAGGTGGAAAAGGTTATATCTACCCTAAACTCACTCAAGTATGAGATACACCAGTTATGCACGGTCGGTTTGGATACATGGAATATCCCTTGGGATATTGTCGCGCCGGGACGTTTCCAAGGAGTACCCTGTTTCTCAACTTCAGGGAAAGGCCAGGGACGATATAAGGGATCTTTGAGGTGTTGTATTTGGGTGCCGACCTAATTTGGTGGTACGGCAGTTACCTTTTAAGATGGCAAAATAACAATAGTATACAGGGATTTTATACTCTATTCCAATGTAAAATAATAATACAAATAAATTCAAAATGTCTATATAGAGCTGGAATGTCTCTGTAATTGTTCACTTCAGCTTCTTCCAGTCTTCTCTCTCTTCTAATAACACCTTGAATAATTGTAAGAGGAGGAGGATCTGCTCCTATGAACTATCTTCACCCTCTAGAAGGTCCTTCTGCTCCAACTGGTAAAATGGCCTGAGGAGGATCTGCTCCTCTGCAGCTTTCTTCACCTCTAAACTGGAATTTAACCTCGGGGGAGTTCCTTCTGCTCTAGGTATCGTCTCGTCTATATCACGGCTTCAATGTGATATCTATGGAGGAGGAATAACTCAGGAATGTCAATCAAAACTGAGATTAGACCCAAGTTATAAATGCTCCAAATAATCTTCACTGCGCTGTCCCTCAGAGTCGTCTCACCTCAGAGGAATCAGGGCTCCAGGAGTTTTGGTTCCGGAAGTGTAACCTTGGCTCAAGGAGTTATTTTGTCTCTATAAAACTGTCTCATGGAAGGGGTCCAGGCTCCGGGAGTATCTTCTGCTCGGGAAGTCGCCACTTCACAGGAGAAACCTCTTCTTTTGTACAAGACCCTAGCTATTGGAGTACCTTCCACTCCAGGAGTTGTCTCGTCTCAGGGGAAACCTCTGCTCCTGAACGCAACCCTGGCTATTGGGAGTACCTTCCGCACCGGGAGTCTTCTCGTCTCTATAATAACTTCTGTTCAACCTCTCTCACACTGTCTCTTGGAAGGAGTCCAGACTCCGGGAGTATCCTCTGCTCAGGGAGTCGCCACTTCACAGGAGAAACCTCTTCTTTTGTACAAGACCCTAGCTATTGGAATACCTTCCACTTCAGGAGTCTTCTCATCTCTATAAAACTGTCTCGTGGAAGGGGTCCAGGCTCCGGGAGTATCTTCTGCTCAGGGAGTCGCCACTTCACAGGAGAAACCTCTTCTCTCTCTACAGAGAAATAACACCTCTGGAATGTCAATCAGATGGTGAGATTAGACCAGAGCTGCTACTTCTCGATCGTAGAGTACCTTAGTTCCGGTAGAGTAACCTTGGCTCCAATGAGAGTAAACCTTGCAACACAGAAATACCTTGGTTCCGGTAGTGTAACCTCAATATCTAACTTCTGGAGGAGTCAAATCACCTCGGAGGGTACGTCAAGTTCAGCAACTTGTATCAATTTCGGATCATCAATAACTCGGAGGAGGAGAAGAAGCAACTCACGAATATCGATCATTAAACTGAGATTAGACGGAGTTGTATTCTCAACCCTCGGAGCAGATTCCACTCTAGAATAGATGGAGGAGTAAGCACTCTGAGCTAACAATCCTCAGAGCAGATATGGCTCTCGAATAGATGGAGGAGTAATCACTCGGAGCTGGCAATCCTCGGAGCAGATACAACTCTCGAATATCAATCACAACGGAGATTAGACAGAGCTGTAACTACTCGGACCAAATATAACTCGGAGGAGATATAACACTTAATAATTGGAGGAGTAATCACTCGGAGCAGTGAGTCCTCGGAGCAGATATGACTCTTGAATATCAATCAAACTGAGATTAGACAAGAGCCCTAATTACTCGGAGGAGGAATTACTTCTTAAAATGACGTCACTTCCGTAAAAATAAAGATGGCCGACCGCTAGGAATTCTGGGAAGAAGAAATCAAAATGGCGGACAGCAATATGGCGTCAAACTCAATAATCAAATTGCCAACTCACCCAAAACTGGCTGTAATCTTCTTGTATCTCGCACAGTCACAACGGACGCAAAAACTGCAGCAAATAATGTCAGCAAATAATCCAAATATCATGTAATATAGTTCTCTATTCAAATCGATCACGCTCTCACATAAAACGATACAAACTGACGAGGTGTTTCCTCTGCAAAGTATTGGTTTACTCTGATTTACAGGTCACTTTCTCACACTAAAATCCAGACACCTCAAGTTGCATCATGGGAAAACTACAACTTAAGTTGGCGGTAAATTCAAATGAAGCCATCTGATTGGTTGAGCTCTGTTGCTGGGTGCCTAATTATGCAAATTTATTCCAACCCAGCTTGCTGATCAAGTAAACATCCAAATTACAGGGACGGAACATTGAATAAACATGAAATAACATAAAATCCTGTAAAATAAACGTTTCACAGGCCCTAGTACTACTCAGGGGGAATTAAAAATTCCCACAATATACAATACATCTTCCCTCGGTCCCTTCGGTCCCTCAGGAAGATATATTGTATATCCCTCGGAATATTCCCTGTATCCAAAACCTCCCAGTGCATAACCCCTATATCTGCCCGTTGATGAAAATATAAGTTTTTACAAACCGGCTTTATGTACCTGTAACACGTCCAAGTATGGGATAAAAGTTGTTACAAACCTGCTTTATGTACCCGTAACACGTCCAAGTATGGGATAAAATCCATTTGTGGAAAAGGTAGCAAAATTAAAGTATATTGCACGGATACTGTATCTCAACAAAATCAATAAATTTCTAGTCTGTGTGCATGCCCAAAGAGAAAGAAAGAAAAACAAGGATGGCAGAGAAGGTGGGAAAAGGGGAGATAGAAGACCAGGCAAAGTGAAAAAGCCACGTATGTTTATAATGATTTTTCATTATTTCCACACGATATTAATATTGTACCATAATGATATACTATTCACCTTCATTCATAATGTTCCGAATATCATATCGTTGAATGCTTTATTCAAAAAACGTGTACATTTTGAACTGCAGCTTAAGTTCCATACTCTGCCACAAAGTCTTTAGTTTTTGTTTCAGGTCCAGGGACGGGTACTCCATGTCCAGATGCCAACAACGCTGCCTACGGTGAGTGAACAATACAAGCATTTTTTTTTATATAATCCATATATAATTTTGCTTCATGATTCTAAAACCTCAGTTACTTGATTTTAAGCAAGCATGCCAGGAACAACACCAAGGGGAGTTTCCACGTGCCAATCTTGACAGTAGCTAAAATATTTGCTCATGAATTTAAAGTTTTGATCTTGGTATCTATTTTATGATTTTTATAATCCTTATTTGCTAATTATTATGTTATGTTGTTAGTTTTTATCCGAATATTAAGTTCTCAATTGGACAGACAACATGTAAAATTCAATATATTCGAAGATATTTATATTTTAACAAAATATGCATGCATAGATAAAAAAGATATCCAAATGTGTATAAATGTATGAGGTAGTCACATAAATGAAAATGTATGAGGTAGTCACATGAATTGAAAATGTATGATTCACATAATTGATGGTTGACAAAGCAATAAGTCATCAATTATTCTGTTAAATAAGAATATAATACACTCCTTATATATTTTTCAGAGATTGAATGGAAGGGTAGAAAGGCATGTTGCAAAGATGGTATATGGAAATGGCCGACAGGGGGCCCTGTGTTAGTCGAACAACCAAACGGCCAAGATAAAGCTGAGCCAGTCGCCAAGAGGTGCAGAGGATCAGGCATATTTACAGTGACTGGGCCAAACAAGTGTGATTGCGTCAGATCTGGTAATTAATTTAATGATGAAAAACATTTTGTCCCAAAATATCTGACGCGGCTGTATCAAACGCTGACGTCTTTGTCATGATTTAGTTTTGTAACCTTGGCGCGTAGTAAGGGGTTCACTTTTCAAAAGATTCCTAGAGGGGATGGGGTTCAGATTTGACAATTTTGGAATAATCTTTGACCAGGGGAGAGGGTAAAACGTTATTTATTAGACTCTTGTAGTTACAGAACATATTATGCATGTGCCCTTGAGGCACATTTATTTTACTCATATTATTCCTAACTATTGAATGGCAAAAACAGTCTTGAGCAAAGCAAGGAAGAATATGGTCAACTACATTGTTAACCGCTCATCTTTAATGAATTCAAAACTGACATAAAGCACAATAATTTACCTAAATTTCAACTTATATGTATTGAAGTGACATATTCTTATTTCAAAATTGTAGATATCTGTCCAGAAGAAGGAGACCTGAGATATGGTATGTATTGAAGCTGGTTAAAGAAGCATACAGATAAAGGATATAAAAATACTAAATTGCGAAGTTGTTAAAATGTGGTGGTGTGGTGAGTGATGAATCATCGAGGGATGACGTTTGACCTAGGGTAAATCGGGAAGATAAGAATTTAGCCAAAGATAACTCATTTTGATTGTGACTCAAACATTCAAATTGTTAGAAATGTAAACGTCGGGGTATATGTATGTATGCACCTTTCAGAGAACTGGTGCTGTGTCGACAATGTATGGAAGTATCCGAATGGCAACGGGGAGACGTACTTCAGCAGATACATCCAAGACGACGCCAAGGAAATAGAACTGAGGTGCAAAGGAGGAAGAAGATTCCAAATCATGGGGCCCCGTGATTGCGGATGCTTACCATATAGTAAATAAATTCTTTTTTCAATAATGTAGAGCTAATTCTGTTCATTATAGGTAGTATCTAATCTAGCAAGTAGTTGTCAGATTACTCTTGACAAACCTAGCTTCAATTTTTGAATATGTTTGGCTAACATCATTCGTTGTCGTGTCTATTTTCAAATGTGTATTTAGTGGGGGAAAACTGAAAATTTTTACACTGGCTCCCATATTTAATATTTGGGAATTTGTTTGGCACTTTGAAACAACTTCACCAATCGATGATGTATCTCTTGGGAGGTATTATATTTGATATTGTAAGAAAATTATTGGTAGGTCACCTGTACACGTTTCCTGCGATTTCGTCACTCCCTAAAGCTGTGATTCTCCTTTTAATAATTAATTTCCGTTTCAAGATTAATGACCTTCTTGATTTCAGTATCTCAAGCAAATGTATATTTTCAAATCGATACTTGTACATTATTCAAAACATTTTCACCAAGGAAATATGCAGGTGTTTAGTCCACCCTGTATATATGAACTAATAAGGGTGAAAATATAAAAAGTAGAAAATATGTAATAACAATTGTCTGTTTAAAAATATGGTAATTCAAATGGATATATAAGATAATTTTTCGTTTGTAACTTTCAGCTTCACCTCGTCAAGGCCCAAACGTTGAACAAGCCGGGCTCAGTGTTCCTGATGGTACAGTAGCTACTTCATAGTACTAAGTTATAAAAACCAAGCAGTGTTCTCATTAAATTAACGTTTAACCAATACTGTATTGTAAAATGTACGTTTACCATGTAACTGTATTGTAATTGCTTTTTTTGCAATTGCTTTAACATGTTTTTTCTTTGAAATGAAATAAAAAACAAAAAACAAACTTAACTTGTGGCAGATACTGTACATACATGGAAAGCACAAGGCAAACTCAAAATACTAGTAACATGATATATATGTTTCTGTTCCACGATAAAATACATTTCATGCCAATACTACTTGATTGAAAAGCATTGTTTTAGTTATTATATTCAACAAATGTTTACTTTATTTGTCACATTGGTTATTATGTCTATGGCCCACGTTCCACCTTATATTTTTCTTAGACGACGATCCCAGCTTCAACCCCTCTCCCAAAATGACCCACAGTAAGTTTTAATATTTCAGAGGTTATAAGTTTGGGACGTTGCAAGAAAAGTGGCGATTTCATCTTAATAAACAGGAATTATAACGGTGATAACGGCGTTACCACAACGGATAGAAACATACCAGCTATGTGTACTCCCTCTCAGTCGGGACGTCCTACCTGGAATGTGCTATGCTGGCCTGATATGGAGGACCATCAATTCGCACAGGTACATACAGTATATCAAAGATAAGATCTGTATTTGTAAATGAAAAGAACAACAATTCAAGTGAAGTGATTTACAATCAAAAAGGGTACATTGAGGGTTACAAAAGGGTAAATCTGGAGTTTTTAATGAAATATCGGGATGTCTCGCTCATAAATCGGGAGTGAAATAAAACATAAAGAAATTTTACGAAAAATCTGGATTTTTTTCTCATAAATCTGGGATTTGAGTAAAAATCGTGATAAGCACTAAAAAAATCGGCATTTCTCCTGATATTCTCTTTGGATAACTGGAACCCCTGACGCAGGATTTTAGCCAAGTGTCATTGATAAACTTTTTATTTCCTAAGGCTGTGTGCGAGGGATTACGTGGTTGTAAACAAGGTGGGAGTGCAACACAGCGAGACTGTAAAAACGTCAAGGTTGTCCCCATCGCAGAGTTCCACACGAAGGACAGAGTTGATCAGCGAGTCCGACTCAAGTTTACATGCTCCGGACCAGCATCGTAAGTAAAAAGGTTGCGAGAAATAAAGTCATGGCATATGCTAATTTGAGTTTTATCTTACGTTAAATCCCACTTGGGTAGCAACACAATAGAATTACCCAAATGCGAGTAGGTAGTTACCAGTTTCACCACCAGGTGGCTGATTCGGGTCAATTAACATGGCAGGTATATAAGAAAGTTCCCTTAAACTTGAATATTATCAATTTAAGGGGCTCAACTTTCATATAACCCTTATGTGCCTGATACTTATACTAATGAAAATATGTCCAGTAAAGCAAAATATTATCTGTCTACTAAAAGAAGATATTTTATTTTTTGTGATTTTATAGCATGGGGTCTATGGGGAATCTCCCCGAGCTAGAAGTCACATTTTCAAAGAAAATTAATTTTTCAAAGTTGATAAACACTTTTTAAAACCACATTTCTAGATGTAATTTTACATGTAGATTTCAAATATGATATTACTTTGACTGAATTTTGAATTTTTAATGACGTAAATCAAGGTTATTTCTACTCGCATTTGGGTTATTTGCTGTGGTTTATTTTTAAGAATGTATGGTTTTATCAAAAGGAAAGTGCATTATTTTTCTATTGTTTTTAAAGAATGTACACTTGGCAAGCTATCAAAAACAAGTGAGACATAAATGACCATTGACAGTTTTTGATAGTTTTCATTCCCTAAAAACAATATACAAAAATACATGTACCCTTCTCTTGTTACTGTGCATTCTTTAGAATAAAACAATTTATCAATTTTTGTTGCTATCTACATCATTGATCTTATCTTACTTACAAATATTCTGCTGTATTCAAATTCAATGTTCTGGACTGGACAGTCACCTGTAGTGCACTGAAGCTAGACTAATTATAGCCCACTCAGTCACTTACATCAACTCACACTCGTGAGTTCAATGCAACCAACTCTTTTTGTTGTTACAATTAATTGGCTATATAACAACAAATTTTAACCAATAAGAGCCAGGGTCATTGTGAGCCTGGTTGAAGTTTGCAAAATTCCCAGTTTGAATAGTCAACACAAAAGAAATAAAATTTTCCAGATTAGATCATTGACCATTTACCTGCAATATACCATTAACCTGTAATAAGAATGTGTGTGATTTAAGTAAGATAAAGCATTCGGTGTATTATTTCTTATAAAATCTCATTCTTATGCTTTATCCAGTACTGAAAGCCATTCAAAGTGAAATTGAACTTACTGTGAAACATTATTTCAATTTTTGAAAGACACATGTAAGGTCCCAATTTGTACTGAAATGTCAACCAATCCTGTGCCACGGAATGGATCACTTGGATAGGGTTCGGATAGCCCTATTTCTTTCGCCCAATGCTGTACTTCACAAAATGTGCTTCAAATAACAAATGATTTTTTGTGCTGAATTCAAACTTGTTCAGCTATGTTGAAATTCCTTTTCGAAAGGAAGTCGTATGTCAAGAAGGCACCATTCTATAAAATATTAACACAATCTGACGACCAGTATTCGGAATGAATCGTCGACTATTTTGGATTACCACATGACCTTCGTTGACTAAATCAGTGGATTAATAAGTACAACCTACATCCAGTATGTTAATTTACTTCATAATCATCAGTTGAACCTAAAAAATAAGAAATGCAAAGACCATTGTTCACTAATAGATGGGAAACATATTCATACTGTACATGAATGACATTTGCATATCTTGGATTGCTTCTAAATTGGCTTATAAAGTCTGTAGCCACCTATATTTTGATGCTTTTTCGCCAAGTTCATTCTGAAAGAATTATGAAAAATTTACATGGCTGAAAGCCCTGAAATTATAAGAGGGCACAGGCTTATTGCACTTATTGCACTTATTGCACTAAATAATCTAATGTATACAAATATCATTCATGTTCAGTATGAATATGTTTTTCCATACATCATTGTGCAATGGTCTTTGAATTCCTTATTTTTTAAGTTAACAGACTTTATATCACCAGGTACTTCAGGTACTTTTTATTTGATCTTCCTATGATTTACAAAAGATGTGTTTTCCAGGTCAGTGGAAAATTGTCAACCTGAGTTAACTGCTGGCTGCAACAAGAAGATGTTCAGGATAGAGGGATGTTATCCTCCCGAGAAGCAATAGGCCATATGGTTCATATAGCCATATCAATGATTCTATGAAGATTATTACAGTGATTTAGAATTTGGACATACTGCTTTGAATTAACACATTAACATAAAACATCGAACCAATTAGTCTAACAAATGAAATAAAGAAAATATATGGAACATTGACACTTTTAGACACTTCTAGTATACAATTTTTGTAACATATCAATATACAGGGTGACCTTAAAACATGCTCTCTCATCAAGTTATTTTTATAAAAAAAGCTTTTGAAAAATACAGTTTATTTTATTTTGGCTTTACTTTCCAAAAGCACGTAATTTTTGGATTGCTTTCATGCACATTATACTCGAGGCAAAATGTAATGACACAAGCAAGGCAATATGGACAGTCACTCAGTTTGTTGATTTGGTGTCACAAATAATAAGTTTATTGAATGCTAAAACATCTGTAGCACGGTTGTTGAGATATAGTAAACGTTGCATTTTAATGTATATGTACTGAACATTCAGTCTAGACAGGTACAGACTGTAATTAATAATTGTATCATGTTTATGTGTATTACACAATGTATGTGAATTGAAGTCCTGGGTTTTATCAATCTGTTTCGCTTTTACTGGATCACCCTGCATTTATTGTGAATTGCATGCACTTTAAGAAATACAATGGAAAATTGACAACTCTATCAAATAAGCATAAATTTGAATATTGGAAATAGAAAAATGAGACTCATGTTTTTTACTTGTGTTCCGCTCTGATGAAAGAAATAGTGGGAACGTTTGTGACAGAGCATAGAGACTAGGATTCATGGAAGTCTAAATAATAATTTTTTTATTCATGAAGTTTTTCTTTTCCTTGTATAAAAAGTGATAACCCAAATAGCATGAAACCATAACATAAAGCATTAGTCTAGGCCACAATAGCACATGTACACTTTATCCTATACCACAAAAATATTAGCTCATGCCACAATAATAGATGTATATATATCCTAGACCACAAAAGTATTATCCCATGCCACAAAAGTAAATGTACACTATTATCCTATACCACAAACGTATTAGCTCATGCCACAATAGAAGTTGTACAGTGTTATCCTATACCACATGAGTATAAGGTCATGCCACAATGGAAGCTGTACACTATTATCCTTTACCAAAAAAATATTAGCTCATGCCACGATGGAAGATGTACAGTATTATCCCATACCACAAAAGTATGTGCCCATGTGATATTGAATAGGTCATTTCATTTTCTCACTGAATATGTTTTTAAAATGTGATTCTTATTTCAAATTAGCCACCATACTACCTCATAATCAGCATGCTCATTCTGTTCTCAGCCTACTAACTCATATCCCAGTTTACACTTCATACAGTTTATGAAAAGCAGATTATTATGATATTGTGCACCATATATCAGGGTTTCACTCAAATATTCCCAAAATGTAAATTTTTACCAGGAATGTATAATACTGTATAAAAATAAAAAATGAAATTTATTCTAGGGTGAGATCTACACGAATGTATATAGCAAAATCTAACATCTATTAAATTATCTTGACGTTGCACATAAACATCTTGCTTCGTCATGTTCGTGGAGCTTCGGAGCTATCCTCAGAACGTAGTGATTGAGCATGGGAACCGACGATGGCACATACATGTAAACACATATCTTTCAGTTTCATCTACATCGTATAATTGTTAGTACATAAAAGATGAGCTATTTTCCAGTAACAGCTTACCTATTGCAGCATCGTGCAGAACGATAGGTTCACTTAGAGGGAGTTCACCAAGGTCACCAATCTGATTAATGGTCGAGACCGCAGCCTTTACATCTTCTATTACTTTCCTGACGGGACCATGGTGGTCCAGATCAATTCCTGTGAGCAGGAAGACGACTCAAATAATTTTATCAAAACACTGACAGGGCGAATTGCGTGTATGGAGGGGGTAGATTTAAATTGAAATAGACACAAGGTTGGCTGGAGTATATGTTTGTTGGAGTAGATGTGGCCACACGATGGGGAATATCTGTTATGTAGTGTATTTGTATAATATGTATTGTGTGTGAGGTACATGTACAATGTGATAACTTACATGTACCTGATATTTGAAGTGTTCCAAAAGCGATCACACTCCCTGGAGCCAAGGCTCTAACCTGGATCCTGACCATTGGTACATTTGGCAGCTGGCCTATCGTCCTGGAAACCTTAAATACAAGAGGACATATTTATACATACATTGTCCAATCAAAAATGCCATTGTTGATCGCTTTTTTTTTATCTTGGGTGTACATGGATATTGCATTTTTTATTTAGGTTTCTGAAGATCTCTCAACCTTGAAAAACTCTTAAGTTTGGTATCTTTAATTAGTGGGCCTACTATATCTAGTATTACCTGGTCGTTCAAGGAAAACACAAACGTCCTGTATTCTGGAGACGACCTTAGTCTGTAACCAGGGAGATAAGGCCTGTTAATTGGAAACAACACAGGGAACCTAATTCTCCCTGGTGTTGAAACTAAAACAGAAATTGTAAAGGAGGGGAGAAAGTATCGCAACAGATTTCGAACAGTCATATGTAGGGTTTTGGCTATTTTCCGAGGATTTAAACAGGTGCATATGTTAGGACAATGCATTAAGTCCAGGAAAAGTACTCATAGAGATGGTAAAATATTTTCGACATTGGGACAGGGAAGATGCACACAACCAACTCACATGTTTTTCTGAAACTTTGTTCTGATTTTCAACCCCTTCCACCCCTGCTTTTTCAATTTTTGTTGCATCAATATCTTGCGTTTTTGACACACAGTTAATCCCTTAAAAGGAATAAGTAATTCCTTTTCGATTAAGTGGAAAACAATATTCCCCATGTTATTTTCCTATAAGGAAAACTCATGCAATCCATTGCTTTTAGCTCAATTTTGGTCACCCATAATTAAAATCTTTAAAATCCCCAAATGAATTACTTATTTCTTTAAAAGGGTTAACTGTGTGAAATCAAAATATATTGATGCAACAAGAATTGAAAAAGCAGGGATGGAAGGGATTAAAAATCAAAACAACATTTCAGAAAAACCATGTGGGTCGGTTGTTTGCATCTTCTCTGTCTCAAAGATAATTTATCTTTATCATCTCTATGAGTGCTTTTCCTCGAGGTTATATATTGGCCTAACATATGCACCTGTTTAAATCCTCAGAAAATAACCAAAATCCAACTATGACTGTCCGAAATCTGTTGCAATATATTCCCTCCTAATTTGGATGCACAAACCATGTATTTCATGAAAAATGTTTGATTATCCACTTACAAGTAAGAAATGAATAAATAATATACAAAATGAAAATACACGATTGAGCTTACAGGTACATAACTACTGAAAATAATTTGTTTGATTAGGAAATACTATTAGTACAAACCATTGAACTGACATAAGTTGCCATAGGTACCAGGGTTACATCTACAGCGAAAGAATCCGAAAAATGTCTCAATACACTCTGCATCGTTGAAGCAAGGCATTGTAGAACACGGACCCAAAACTATAGCAAAGAGGACAAAATCCTACATTCATTGTCATCATTAATCTGAATTCAATAAATGTAACTAAGAACTTGAAGTATAGAGAAATCAAATAATATTTCGAAGAGACATCTATTATTTGTACTGTACTGTATTAGAAAAATTAAAAGTTCTCATCTTCTGAATTGTCAAAATCTGAACTAACAGCATAGATATATTTTACCAAATGAAGGAAACAAAATAGATATTTACCCTCAGTCTGGCATCGTGACCCAGTGAATCCTTGGGTACATGCGCAATAGGCTGACCCACTCCTGGATACACGACACTCCCCACCATTCTCACAGGGGTTTGGATCACATAATGCACTCACTGTAACATATTATCCTGTTACCCTCTAACGTTACTACCATGATGTCACAACTACATTATAAGTTCTATCATATATTATGTATGTCTATGATTTACGTACAACTTAAATACAAAGCTTTTAGAATGCGCAGTGATCATGAATGAGAAAATGAGGTAATAACAATTAGATCGAAGCTAAAGTAAATGCACATGATAACATCACATTTCTTATGGTGCCTTCTGACTCCAATGTTAATCATACAATTAAGTGTCCCAAAGAACAGAGTCAACTATTCCCACCATTAGTTTGGCAGAAGACTCCTGTGAATCCGCTGGGACAAAGACAACAGACTTCCAGACGGCATCCACTCCAGTGCTGTAGACAGAGCCCATCATTCATACAAGGATCACTGGCACAACCTTCACCACCTTTGTCACAAAACACAAAACATTGGTCTGAATAAATGAAGCAATTTTTTAGTAACCATGTTTTGTTTGTACAGTAAAACCTTTATATAGTGAACATTTTTGCCGAGAAAAGGCGTTCGATGTTGGTACGTTTTTACTACAGAAATGGTAATATATACAGAAGTCAGTAGAGTTTATGCGGATGAAGGGTGTTCATTAGGTACAGGTTTTATATGACTAGTTTAACTGTTCAGCAGTTGTTCATTGGCAAAGATTGGCTTTATCTTTTAGCATAGGAGCAATGATGTGAAGTGTTCGGCTTTAGAACTTATTATATTCCGTTAAATTATACTTTTAAAACGTATGTTTGAGCGGGATCATTCATAGTCCTGTATAAAATTCATATTCAATATCTCCCTCTAAATAACTTGATACTAACCTTCGGGTTCTATTTCACAGTTATAACCTCTATAGCACCTCCGACACAGGCAGAAATAAAAAGGTGGCCAGAATCTCCTAACGCACAAACCATTTCCACGGCAGGTCTCAGGATCTGAACATGGATCTAGCACTGCGTGAAATATGGGATTCCAACTCTTGACACGTCTAGAAACTGGTCTTTACACGCCGGGTTTCTAGACGTGCCAATTATTTACACCTCTTGACACGCGATGAATTCAACTCTTTACACCTCTTTGCACTTCTTGGCACACGCAGTGCAAAGACGTGTAAAGACCATGTCAAAAAGTCTTTACACGCCCTGTGACAATTAATGGAATCTCTTGACACGCTCTTGGCACACTGAACAACATAATTATGTGTAAACAACTAACCTAATTACCAATAGCAATACATACAGTATTTTAACGATTGCAAGTATTTTCTCTGATACTTTTAATTGATATATTTTTTAATCATTCTTTCGCAGACTGTTTGGAACAAGTACATGTAGCAAATATTAAACAGACTATTTTGTATGTACGCTGACACATTGACTTATTTAAACATTTTGGCAATTTCATGCCGCCTTTTGAAAATATAAATCAGTTACAGGCAATGCTAATCGACGCATTGATCCTAAGTGAAGGAAATACATATCATAAGAAAAAGAAAGGCGTTTCAAGGATAAAACGTGCAATAAACTTTGAAAACACTGATACATCAGGCCTATTTATATATTTATTTTGTATTAGCTTAATATAAAGATAACCTTACTTTTCGATGAGTATTTGGATTTCGGAGTAATTTGTTTCAAGTTAAGTCAATACAAATTGTCGCCGACTTAACTTGTGACCATACATATGATAAATGAGGGGCATTTTAATACACAATTGGGCAAAACAAGCATATTCAATCGAATGTACCATTCTCTCTGCTGTTCTTTCCCAGCCTATCCATAAACAGACAGGTACAAGTTCCCATAGTTTTCGCAACATCTAATTCTATGATCAATTGCTAGACACAGCAAATATACTAATTAATTGTCTGATTGTGATTCGGGAACGTATGGTTTTTACATAAACAGGATACTTGGCTGTACATAGCCTGAGAACACCGGATTGACCCCCCCCCCAATCGACGCCTAGGCGCTGCTTATGTTTTAATAAGAAACATTCCCTTGTAAAGAATTATCGGGATATGAATTGATACAAGGTCAAGTATTCTGCCCCTTTTGTGTGATAAAAATATGTATTTAATTGGTGCTTTAACTTTTTGAACAAAGAAATGAAATAATCGCACTGAATGTCTCAACATAGATCAGTGATGTTTAATTAATAAATGACACTATTATGTCAGTCTACGCACTTCATGGACATGGACGGGGGGGGGGGGGTGTTACATTTTGTATTAACGAGTAATCAATAGGTCGTGAACTCCGATTGATAACCAACTGTAGCATACTACTTAATTTGTTTGACTATTGATATTAAAAAGGAGTGAATTTATGATATTCATAGAGGTACAGGTACATTGTATTGGTATTAATATAATAATGATATTGGGGACAATAAACCACTTTGTTTCGCAAGTAGCTTTAGGATCGCGGTTTTATCTTCACATGTTGCCATTTGTGCAATTCGAAAATGAAATATTTTAATCTATAATTTATATATCATTTGCAAAATAAATGTAATTAAGAGACATGGGGGAGGGGGGGGGGTTAACGGCTAGAAATTGGAATGAATTTGGGAATTTCAAGGATTGATTCACTTAATGTTGTTCACTGGAGTCGATACACACACCTGCATAACAATCGGAGACAAAACTGACTTAATCTGATATGATAACAAAATATTAATAACTTAGTCTATGTTTTTGTTTTTATAATTGCGGAAGTGTACCAAAACCACCTTGATTACAGAAGATATCGTCTAGGCTTTAGATTTAATGAATAGATTTTTTGCCCTAGTCTCATTTAATAAAACAGGCTATTTGCGTATTTAATTAATATTTGTGACAAAATATTTCAGTTAGACTCAAAATCAAAACGAATTTCTCCATTATAGCCCCCCTTGCAACTGTCCCGAGTCTGCATCTGTTTTTCATGCTTCCGATCCACCTTTGGGATAGAGAGAATAGATGTAGATTGTAGATTTGTAATTTGGGGGGGGGGGTGGCATTAAATGTGTTCTCATACAAACTAAAATAAACCCCAAAAAGCCATATCAAATGTCCAAACACAAGACCAATGCCATGTCAAACATCCAAATATAGAACCAATGCCATACCCCCGGGTACCAAATATCCAGAATATAAGACCAAGGCCATTCGAAATATCGAATGCCCCGAGAAGAAGGCAGATCTTTGAGTAAAATGATCATAAACAACCTCAAATGAAGGATATGTGTAACAACTAGACCAATGCCCCGGGACCAATGCCGTACCACAATTGAGGGGTAACATATTTTCCACACCGATTCTTATACCAGAAAATGGAAAAATCTGTCTTAAAATGTGGGTCCATTGGCTTGACATACCAAATGTAAAAAAGGTACCCCACCTGAGCCGAGTGTGAACCCCCGGGGTGAATGGTGAACACACGGGGCAAGGAATTCTTCGATTTTGATTCAAGTAATTTTTTTTATAAAATTCATACTCATGTTAATAGCGGACGCCTCGGCCAAATAATCTTTCAAATCATGCACTTTCCAAGTGATTTTGTAGCAAAATTGTGATAATATATGAACCCCTTGGAATTATTCAAAGACGGACCCCCGCCAGCCCATCCCCCATTCTTACCTATGCTAAACACTAAGATAAACATATAGAATGGTATCTAACACTTTTTTCTAAATGTTGATATCCAAAAAAACATATCTTTTTGGTTTATCAACACATACCGCTCACAATATAACAAGTATACAGATTGTAACATAGATAAGCGAATTGGGGAAAATTACAATCCCTTTGATCAAATTATTATAAGATTTAATCTCCAGCTGAGGTGCAATCAAAATGTTGATACACATAATTAGCAGTCAGAAAGATGCTCTTACCACTGTAGTTTTCAATATTCCCTTTGTTGTAACATCTTATTTCAAAAGAATGGATATTGATGGTTGTATGGAAGTATTCATATCAAACATTCACATTATAGTTTACAGTGGAATTCCCTCCATAAATGCAACATATTTACCATTTAAGATTTCATATTGGACTTTCCGCATAATGATAAAATGTTGACGATATAGTTTTCGATAAAACCCCAGGGCCGTAGCCAGCTTTCAGTCGGGGGGGGGGGGAGGGGTGATGCAATCACCAAAATATTTTAGGTTTTCAGTCGGGGGGTGCGATCGTGACATAAATGAGGAAAAAATATTTGTTTTGAATTTTTACGAAAATGATGCAACTTCCTTCAAACCTGAGCTAGAAGCTTCAAACAAAAATTCAATTTAATGCTCTTTTCTTCCTCTACCTTATGGTACCTTTTATTGCTTGTAGGAGGGGGTGCGAACCCACCGCTTCTCCTCGTTACGCTTATAAACCCAATAACGTATTCCCAAGGAATCGACTTTATTAATTTATATGTGAAAAATGAGCTTGCATGTACAAATTGCATCGTATGCAAACCTTCCCCTGACCGACCCGGTCATGTTTATGTCTTTTGAATGATGTCTACCCCTTGATGCATGCATCCTTTAATAAGTGGTGTTAAGAATATTGGTGTAGGCCCTGGTGAAGGGATATGTCATAAAGATTTCACGTTATCGCGATATACATGTAGCCGCGTCCCCTTTGTCTTTATCCTTCTAAACGCAAACGGCAGATAAGAGGGGTTCTTAGTGATTGATCTGATGCTTAATAAGCCACTTACAAGATACAGTTTTAAATATTGATATTGTGTAAAGTTTTAACACATAGGCGTAACCAGGGGGGGGGGTGCGATTCGTGAATGATCGCCCCCCCCCCCTGCTTAATCAATGGAGAAGGAAGAAGAAAGGAGCTTTGAATTGCTTTCATTTGAAACTTCTAGTTCAATTTTGAAGGAATTTGCAATGTCTGGTTCACATTTGCTCAAATTCATCGTCCGGCCTCCGGCCGATTGAGTATTTCGTTTAAAATTGTTTTCATGTTTGAAAAAACACTCAATCGGCCGGCCCCCGGAGCAAATATGACCCAGGCATATGAGGGGCAACATTTTAGATATAGTATTGTTTGAAATCCTGGGAAAATGCACTCCCCCAATTTTGCAAATCTGGTCTGCGGTGCTAATGAACCCTCTAATTTGTTTTCGTTTACATGAGCAACTAACAGATATGTTTATTCTCATTCTGTCTCAGCTTGATTTTAATTAAATTTTACCCCCACCCTTCGAACGTCTTTGTCTCCCTCATTTTTGCAACCCTACATTCAGTTTCTTTTTAAACCAAATCAAGAAATATCCGTCCACATATCAGATATTAAACCAATAGTTGTTCATTATAAGAACAACCATATCAGGGCCGTCAGATGGGGGGGTGCGATGGGTGCGACCGCACCCCCCTTTGTCACCCCCCCAAAATAAATTTGAAAGAAAAATTTTGAAAAAAATCTTTTTTTGAAAATTTTTTTTTTTGTAATTTTTTTTCATTGACTCATACACTTTGAAAGTACTCAGAAAGCACCAAATAGCATCTTAAAATTGTAAAATTTTCTAGGGGTATTGGCCACCCCTCACACCCCCCACAAAACAATGGAAAAGTTCTAAATGTATTTAGAGTTTTGTCTCAGACACTTTTAAAGTGCCCAGATATCATCAAATAGCTCCTTGATATACATGTAGTTAGTGTTTCTGGGAGACTTACTCCCCCTCTTGCATCTTGCACTTGCATAACAACCCCCCCCCCCCTCTGGCACCCCCCCCCCCCTTGACCCCCCCCCAAAAAAAAATTTGTGATTTTCTCAAATTCTTTAATTGACTCATACATTTTGAAAGTGCCGAGAAAGCACCAAATAGCGTCGTAAAATTGTACAATTTTCTAGGGGGAGTGGGCCACCCCTCACACCCCAAACAAAACAATGGAAAAGTTCTGAATTTGTTTTTTGTATTTATCTCAGACACTTTTAAATTGCCCAGACATCATCAAATAGCTCCTTGATAAAGTTAATGATTCTGGAAGACAAACACTTACTCGCCCTCTGGCACCCTTAACACCCCCCCCCAAAAAAAAATTGAGATTTTTCAAATTTTTTTTATTGACTCATACCCTTTGAAAGTGCTCAGAAAGCACCAAATACCATCTTAAAATTGTAAAATTTTCTTGGGAAATAGGCACTTTTAGGCACATACACTTTTAAAGTGCCCAAACTTCATCGAATAGCACCTTGATATTGTAAATTTTGATATGGGGGACAAACACTTGCTCCCCCTCTGGCACCCCAGCCCCACCTCCCCCTCTGGCACCCCTCCCCTTTGACACCCCCAAAGTTTGAGAAAAATTGTGATTGTTTTTCAATGTTTTTTATTCACTAATACACTTTAAAAGTGCCCAGAAGCACCAAATATCATCTTTAAATTGTAAAATATTCTGAATTTCATTTATTGTCTCAGACATTTTTTAAGTGCCCAGACATCATCAAATAGCACCTTGATATGGTCAATGTTTCTGGGGGACAACCCCTTGCTCCCCTACTGGCACCCCACCCCACTTCACCCTCTCATCCTCTTTGACACCCCCAAAAGAATTTGAAAAAAATTCACATTTTTCTTATTGACTCATAACGCACAGATGGTTGCAAATTCGCTCCAAATACAACCAAATTTCAAAATTTTCCTGGGGGACAACCCCCAGACCCCCCTGAATGTTCGGTTTTTTATTCACTCAACTCTTATTCCTGTGGTGGTGGTGTACTACTTAGAAACTTACACTTTGAAAGTGCCCAGAAAGCACCAAATAGCATCTCAAAACAGTAAAATTTTCTAGGGGGAGTGGACCACTCCTCACACCCCCCACAAAACAATTGGAACATTTGGAAGTTGCATGCATTTGTTAATTCCAAACCAATATAGGGGGTAACTGCCCCCCCCTCTGTCTTACGCGATTTGATTTACGCGGCAAAAAATGACAATTTTATATTATTAAGCTATAGATCATAAGCTATTTTTAATTTCAGCTATAAAATTAGCCCTCTCTCCCCTCCTCTATCTCTAGATACGCAGAGTTTCTAGACCGGCTAAGCACGTCTAAAAATTACTAGAAATTCCACAATTTATACAGTGATATGGATTTCATGTTTCTATTGAATCCCTTATTTTGAAGTCTAGCTGAATAATCGAGTTTGATTTTAAACGTTTCGGGGATCCGGGCAGAACTCAGGATATGGTACTTGAGTACATTTGCATTCAGAATAATTCAAAATTCAAAATTGCAAATATCATGGAAGTTGATTGCAATTATGTTCGATGATCGTCAACATGAAAGAACAATATGTCTGAATAATTAGCTATTAAACATCTTTATCAAAACTTTCCTACACTTTTAAATGTTGATCTTGTCAAAGAGTACTCTCCATCTGAGATTCAGATGTAGATCGAAAATCAAATTGATTTCAAAGGTATTTATAGATGGTTTACATGAGGGGTTCTGTCCATGTGGGTGGTGTATTCCTTTCATAACAAAGAGTTGTTTTGCTTCCGGGGTCCTAAATTATTCAATTTTAAATAGTAACTAATAAGATTAAACAGATCAAAAAGACTCGGGGCACTGCCGTCGCCCCATCATGATCAATACAGGTGACAATAAGCGACACATGTTTCAGCGTCATGATAGTAAACCATGACATCTCAAGCCCTTGATTTTTGAGATCTTTCATCCCAGCTCATATTTCATCTAATTGGGGTCATAAAACTTGTGTAACTGTGCCTGTTGCATCCTCGCTGGAAGGGTATTTTACAAGTATAAATGAAGTCCTTTGAAGAAGGATGTGCCTGTTGTTAAATACATGTACAGTGCCTTACTACATTATGTAATGTATTGACATTAAGGTAGATGATTACATGATAACAATCACACTTATTGACATTCATAACTCTTCCCATCTGATATGCTCAGATCACAGAATATGCCTCATTATATCAGAGCATGTTTCAGGCGTTTCAGACCCATAGCCAGGATTTGCCAAGGGGTGGGTTATTTTTTTAAGAAATTCCAGGGGAGTTTACTTTTGGCAATGTTAGTTCAAAAATGAGCAAAATAATTTAAAAGGTGCTCAGTATGGGGTAAAAAATGCAATTTTGGTCACGGAGGGGGGGGGGGGGTCGCTAGAACCAATCTATCCCCCCTGTATTCGGGCCTGCATGTGCTATCTACATATTTGACAATTTGATTGACACGGTTCAAAGTGGACTTTGTTAATTATTCAAACTGTTTTAATATCTAGGAATATGCGTCCAAGTTAAAATCACTCGAAATCAGGGTAGATAAACCTAAGAAAAACACATTTCTTGTTTTCATTTGATCTTTAACATGATCCTGTAAAAATGTCAGATTTAGCAAAATACATATGCGATCTCCATCTGCACACATCTACTCATTTCGACTAAGCTACTAGTATTGCCTATACTTACACGCACACGCATACTTTTAAATTAATTTTATTTTGATAATGATTTAAAAAACACAAATTATTATTAACACGAAATTAAAATGATTGTTATATTCCAATCCTAGTAAAGTATAATTAAGCGCGACTATAGGGCATAACAATAACAACATGTGGCCGGTCTAATTATACTGTTTGTTTTGATAAGGCTGTGCAAAGAGATATCAAAACTCTTAACACGCTCTTTACACGCGAGGTCTTTGCACCTCTTGACACGTCTTGGAATCTCTAGATACGCAGAGTTCCTAGACTATCTTTGCACGTCTAGAAATTGCTTGGAATTTCACATTTGACGCAGTGTAGTGAATGGTTGAAAACAATGTTACACAAGTGTGAGAGCATGTACAGCCAATATGTTCTAAAAAGCAGGAGCCCAATGTCAACAAGTACAATTCATGTGAGAGAGTATTGGTAGAATTCAATTTCAAAAATAAGAATAAGGCCTCTTAAATTGGACATTAAAGCTTAACTATGGCCTTTTTGAATTTTTTGATAAGCTCTATTATTTGTTTGAACATTTTAGATACTTGTGCGCGCCAAAGTTTAAAACTGCGCAGGCGCAGCACTCTCGCTAACCTATATAAAGAGATTACAAGGTACAGGCTTCAGAGGTAAGTCAGGAAGGTGAACAATCTTTGTCCCATGTTGATTTCCCGTATAATCGTAAACAGGCAAGTTTCACCATTGAAATTGAAAATTACTATTAGATATACTTTGTAGATGTTATTAATGAGCTATTAAGTGTATGCATCAATCAAATGGCTCATTTTGAACATATAAAAAGTATTTGTGTTTTGTTTCCCAGGGAATCGTATTCCCATGTAGTACGTACACACATAAATAGTGCACATTATGTAGTACTTGAATAGCCTGGTTTATAAGTTATTGAATGATTTGAAGTGCAATACAGGATATATTCTGTTCGAGAAATTCCGTATTGGAACGAAACGAAGTCGAGTGCCAATACAGAATATCGAGACAGAATATATCCTGTATTGCACTTCAAATCATTCAATAACGTTTTTATCGTGTTATCCTCTGTATTGCTACTGAGATTGTCTCCTCCGTACCAATATTTTCTGTATTGCGACGGAGATGATCAACGCGGACAATCTCAGTAGCAATACAGATTGGTACAGCACAAGAACTGACCAATCAGAGGGCTTCATTTTACAGATCATACGATAATATATAATATTGAAGGGCATGCTGATTGTACACACGAGTACATGCATGAAGGCCTAATATTGATATTGCTTGCATACCTAAATAAAAGTAAACTCTTCTAATCCCCTAATGTAAACACGGCGGTATACGTAGTCCGATTTATCGGAGACTTTAACTGAAAACTATATATGAACTTGTACATGTACATTGTACATCAAATAGTAATGGTTAAAAACCATAAAATGGTTTCACCTAAAGAAATTAAAAACCAAACTAAGCATCTCAAAGATTTTCTAAAAAGTATTAAGTTTTAAGGGAGTTCCTTTCACCTGAAGGATTGACTGTCACAGATGTTGTAGGTTCTATGGTAGTGGTTGTAGGTTCTGCTGTTGTCGTCGTAGCTTCAGTAGTAGTAGTTGGTTGGGTGGTAGTAGTTGTTGGTTCTGTGGTAGTAGTTGTTGGTTCTGTGGTAGTAGTTGTTGGTTCTGTGGTAGTAGTTGTTGGTTCTGTGGTAGTAGTTGTTGGTTCAATTGTTGTTGTTGTAAGGACTAAATCATTTGGAAAAAGAAGTTTTTTTTACATTTAAGTAAAATGACCTATTGAAAGATGGAACAAACATGATTCAATTCTTTTTCAATAAATACTGTCTACTGTAGCTGGAAAAGAGTCCGAGTACATATAATTCAACTATCTGATTGTTAATGACGAAATCCAGCATACTAGAATAATACTAATCTTTCTGAAATATTTTCAACAAATGAATTGCACGGCTAACATGTGCATCACTCACCACACAATTCAGGGTTGACCGTCTCCTTTCTCCAGTGTGTACAACATGGTGCAGTGCCATCTTCAAAGCCTCCACCAAGATTCAAGGGCGCCTCGTGTCTCCAGCAGTTTGTAAAATCATTGTTCCAGTCCACAGCAGCACACATAGGATCATTTAGGCACGACGCTTTACACAGTTCTTCGCTTGGTGCAGGACCAAGGTCTACAAACTGACCCCCATTTAAGTTGCTGTTTAGAAATGGTACTAAACATGGCAGTTCTAAAATACAACAACATTTTCTGAATATTATTCAATTGTTACGCTAAATATACCACATTAATATTCTTACCAGCATGTTTTACACTTCTCTTACATGTATCATGGGCTCTATGCATGTATATTCAACAAATTGTCCCTTTCCATATGTGCTTTGAATTCAGTGTCGGCAACCAAACCGTTTGTTCATTGTGTATTCACAACAGTTCAAAATTGACAGTAGAGTACAGTGAAGTTACTGACCTTGCCCCTGGGTAAAATATTGAAGCTGAGCCAGAAACAGAAAAACATGGAATATTCCAGAGATTTGGTAAATAAACAGCATTTTCTGATGTACAGGACAACGAGCCTCTACCTATAAGCAAGGATAATTGGGATATTTAAAATAATATGCAGCTGTGTTCTGTGAGAATGGAAGGACCTTGTTCAGATCGGTCTACGTTTATATAATGCTTCATGAAAAGCCGAAAAGCCCGTAATTGTGAATATTTGCATTCTACATTGCATTCTGTCTATTTCCATAAGATACATGTAAAAAGGCTATAATCTGCAAAAGGCCTTCATTTATTTGTGGTTTTGAAATTCCTCACTTTATCTTTGAATTTTCAAGTTCAAATGTTGTTTTTGTGATTTCTCATTTTAACTCCATTCACGATTGTCCAAAAATGTAAATCTCGATTTAAATCTTTCATCAACACTCATTACTGATCCAATTACTCACCATAATGTAATCATTGTTAATATATTGTTTGCTTTCATAGTATACCAGCGTATTCTATTGTCACTTCACTCTCCCATAAATCTACAGTTTAAAAGTTGAAGCTGATTTATATTGTTTTTATCACCTTTGTTTCCCTGAGTATACTTTACTATGAACACCTGAACACCAAGATCAATTATAAACAATTATATTAGGTTGGTAAACAACTTGTACTAAAGTACATCAAGCAATGCATCATATTTAATGCAATTCATCGACAAATAAATGTAAATTCCATGCCATGAGTTTGATCAAAATGAAATTGAATAAATAAACAAATTAAAGAAATTTAAACCTTGAAATGAAAAATTGTAGAATTCGTATTAGTCATCTTGCTTCAAATAGTTATGAAATAACTAATGATTATGCACCGTTCAAAGGTTTGTGTGATCCTGCCCAAACTTTACTTTGTCCAAATTCTGCACCTCTTCCCTTCCTGTATGGGGGGAGGGGGACTCATGCAACAATTTGAGTGGTGCGCATGTCATACTTGGTACATACATGTAGTTCATTCGGGTCAGAATCTGCATCAATTTGTGAGACAATGTTGCTTATGGTGCAAGTCACTCACATGATAATTCAAGTAACCCCCCCTCGCTATAATACTACTACATATTTCTCACCCCGATTAATTAAAGAAAAATAAAGTAATTTCTTGGTGCACATTAATACTTGTTTTATTTCGATTTTTTCATAATTATTGTACTTCATAAACAATTACATTTTGTCCACAAATTGCATTGCATGTAGGCCTACATGTAATTTATATCTGATACTATCAGTATGCTATTTTCAGCCATCTTGGATTTGTTATACTTGTATGTATGATTTCGGTTATGCTGAATCTTTTTCGAAATAAAATTTCTGTATACCTTTGATAAGTGTATAACTTGCATTGTCATTGTCACACCGGAATACCCTGACAACGGTAAAGTTACAGGTACCATTTTCACATTCACAGACGACAGACATACTGTAACCATCCCTTCAATTATTCAATCACTTGGTCCCCATTTCATGGGACTCTATCGTCGCTAATTCTGTGTCTAATCTCATCATTTGACAATCCGTATTTAGAAACCATTACAGTAGTTCTACTGTGCGTCATAAAAAACAATGGTCTCCTTTAACACTAGAAGCCCTAAGAGGGCTTTTCACATTCACAGACGACAGACATAACCATCCCTTCAATTATTCAATCACTTGGTCCCCGTTTCATGGGTTAGGTTTTTTCCCCATAAATTTTTATTGGCATCTGATAGGATCTTCAAATTTTCAGTAGCTGGAGCTACAGATAGATATAACAAATGTGTCCTGAAAAAATCAGCAAAATTGCATAGAGGGTAATTGTTGATTTATTATGATGTACATGTACAATGTAATCATCAGCTCCAATACACAAAATCGGAAAAAGCTAGCAGTATTTCTACCATACGTGTTATCTTTAGAATACAATTATGCAATTTTACATCATCATAGTTGTTTAAGTTACAACAATAAGTTGTAGATAATTGAAGGTTGAACATCCTAGCTTTACTAATTTTTTATTTATTCATTGTACAGGGTGTCCAAAACCGGGACCGAAGAAAAACTGGTTATTCTGGTCAATCTTGCATATTCTGCCTTGAACTTTCATTTGTAAATCACCTTGCTTCCAATGAATAATGAAATATATCAGAGTGGGAAAATAGGCTCACTAGGTTACTCCCCAATAATGAATTTTTTGAAACGAAATTCATGAAGCAGTGAATGGAGCATCATCGGGATTTGAGCACAGCGTTGTTCTCCGGGTTGTTGTACTTCAATTTGTTAAATCTTTCGTCTGGGAATAAAGTTCTGATCGTTTTTGTGTCTTTACAGGTATAGAGTCTCTCACTTCCTGAAGTTTTGTCAAATCTGAAAAAAAAATCAAAACGTTTAAACAATGACAATATTGTCTCATGTGGATCTATGTTTCTTACAATCTAGGGATAAACTTGATTTAGTTTGATATCAACGTTTCAATATCACTTAATAGTTTCGGGGTACAATACATGAACGGGTCATGTAATAATTATTTGGGAGTTTAAACTTGCAATCGCCCATATAAATGCATTGCTTAAATATTTTCTGTCCACGTTTACGTTATGAAAAACATTGCAAGCTTAAACTCCCTATATTACATGTATTAGATGATGTCAAAGTTTCTAGTGTGACATGACATTAATATAAGGTGTATTTCCATAGCATGATACTTACCTATATCAACATACAGATTGGTTTCTTCATGACTAGCCTTTGCTAATATTTCACCCCTAAAATATTCAAGAAAATTATTCTTGTCAAAATATTCAATTAATTGAATAACATGGTACATGTATGATTTTCTATATTTATTTTCATTATGTTATCAATGTAACCCTTTGTAAACTCTCTTTATTTACACATGTAATGATAACAAATAATCCATTATGTTATAAATGTAAACCTTTGTAAACTCTCTATATTTACACATGTAATAATATACAAATAGTGACTGCCATTGAGGGCAATAGTGTAAATTATTTCCCCGAGGGAATATCCTCTACAATGTACTATTCCCGAAGCCGCAGGCTGAGGGAATAGTACATTGTAGAGGATATTCCCAAGGGGAAATCATTTACACTATTGCTCGAAATTAGGCAGTCACTATTTGTTTTATTATATACCCTATACTGTCTCTTGTCCCGTTTCCTCTGCGAAGGCCAAAAAGGCTTAGAAAGCCCACAGATCCGGAGCCAGATCCAGCCCCTGTTGGTAGTAGGCTCAAGGGATATATATTGAGCCTAGACACAGAGGAGCTTATCTGGCAGAGGTCCGTGAGAAAGCCTCCTCCCCGGGTCCATTGTTAGCATTATAAGCTGTGACGTCATCAGATGCTCAACAGAAATTTTTGCCTCTGAGACTCTCACTTGACAAATCCAATCGCGTTTAACACGCTGAATAGATTATCATAACACTTGAAATTACGCAGACGTATTGAGCTTAGGGAACTTTATACACGTTGCTTATATTGTATCGTTCACGCACGTCTGTCATGGTGAACGGAGTTGATTTGTGTTTGTGCTCATCCTCCATTTTTCTGTTTTTCGTCTGCGCAGTGATGATGCGCAGACGTTTCCAAGGGTAATAGAAAGTGCAATCGTGACGTCAGCGGGCAATAGTTCAAATGTATATTCCCGCTGACGTCACATTTGAGGGAATATAACTTTCCGAGGGAAATAGTCAATCTATTTCGGAACACGTGACTAGGTATTGACCAATCAGGATTAGTGTTACATATTGGGTATATAATAATATACAAATAGTGACTGCCATTGAGGGCAATAGTGTAAATTATTTCCCCGAGGGAATATCCTCTACAATGTACTATTCCCGAAGCCACAGGCTTTTTATATACTCTCTATATTTACCATGGGCTTTCAACTAGAAGGGTATGCAACTCTATGTAATAACATGAGACCTTCAAAATGAGCAATGACATGCTTCCCTTTTATGGCAATATTTCAAAAAGTATTAGATAAATGTATATGTTTTAGTATTATTTTGAATAAAAATCAGTATTTAATATGATTTAAGCATAAAATATATTCAATATTATATAAAAGTAAACAAAAGAGACCAATAAGAATAAGAGTTATCAAGATGTTCTCTTTGAGTATTGCATTGTGGGTAATTATTCAAGAACACATTCCAATAAAAAGATAATTTGTGGGAGAATGTTCACTTTCTGTATTGTCATAATTAGGATGAATTCCAATTTTTATTAAATTATCAAGATGTATGTAGAAGATCATGTTTTTATTTTTGAGTTATTTCTTTTAATCATCAATAAAAAGTACAAAATAAGATTTTCTTGGAATGTGTACATTCTCCAATTTTGAAAACCCATGGCAATGTTTATGTATGAAATATGGGAAGTTGCCTACCCTTCTAGTTGAAAGCCCATGATATTTACACATGTAATAATAACAAATAATCCATTATGTTATAAATGTAACCCTTTGTAAACTCTCTATATATATACATGTAATAATAACAAATAATCTATAATGTTATAAATGTTACCCTTTGTAAACTCTCTATATATACACATGTAATAATAACAAATAATCCATTATGTTATAAATGTAACCCTTTGTAAACTCTCTATATACACATGTAATGATAACAAATAATCCATTATGTCGTAAATGTAACCCTTTGTAAACTCTCTATATACACACATGTAATAATAACAATTATTACCACCTTGCCGGGCCAGTTCTAGGGGTTTTAGTGCTAGTTTAGAAGGCATTCATTTTACTATATCCACCTGAGAAATGTGTGACGTCATAGTGGTGGTCCATATGGACCGGTCTAGAATATATTCTGGACCGGCAATTTTCCCCGGGAAATTAGATATCGTTCAATGCGTAAGATTTTCTTGCTGTTTCAGTCCTGGTCGTTAATGGAGGTAATAATACTAATAACGTCATTTCTGCGAGCAATATAGTGAAATATTTTACCTATTGCCCTTAGAAATGACGTTATTGTACTAATAATCCATTATGTTATAAATGTAACCCTTTGTAAACTCTCTATATTTAGGTGTTATGATAACAAATAATCCATTACAAAGCAGTGTGGCTTGCTCACCATGGATTGATGGCTGTGCTGTGCCCCCAAGCAACATAGGTGGCGCCTGTGTCTCTAGCAGGGGACACTGTAGCAACAAACAGCTGGTTGTCAACTGCCCGAGCTCTCTGAAGCAGTTCCCAATGTGCAGGCCCCGTGGTCATATTGAAGGCCCCTGGATACAACAGTAGACTACATCCTGCATAACAAAAAGTGTTAAAAGTGAGACTTTATTTGATGACTATGCTTAATTGCCCTTCAAATGTGTACACATAGCAATAAATTATCGGTTACATCAATTCTTAACTTTGCGCTGTATTTGAACCCTTAGTGTATTAAATGACAGCTCCTTATTAATTGAAAAAGTGGTAAGTCATTTAAGCATACTCATTTACGAGTATAATGGATGTTTATTCCATAAAAATATGTAAATAAATAATGAAACCCTGAACTTGTGAAAACTGACACTGTTCTTTCTATAGAAATTTTTTGGCAAAATAGTCTTACAAGATGTTCCAAAAACCTCTTTTCAAATGAATTTAATAATGACATAAACCTCTCAGACTAACTGATATTAGATAGCTCAGAATTAACATGGCAGGGTATTACAAAATTCCCTTAAACTTGAATATGCATCAGTTTTAGTGGTTCACTTTTCATATTACCCATTTGTATCTGACAGTTATACAAATTAACATATGTCAGTAAAGGAAAATATTATCTGCCCAACACAAGAAAAGATATTTCACTTTTTGTGGTTTTACAACACGGGGTCTATGGGGAATCTCCCCGACCTAGAAGTCACATTTTCAAAGAAAATTAAATTTTCAAAGTTGATAAACTCTTTTCAAAACCACATTTCTAAATGTAATTTTACATGTAGATTTCAAATATGACATCAGTTTTTAATGACGTAAATCAAGATTATTTCTACTCGCATCTGGGATATTGAGAAAATCTAAGATAATATTGATCAATTTCATTCACAGATCTGTTTCTAAACTGTCTTAAAGGATGAATAAATCAGCCTGACCGCATACTATTAACGAGAGGTGTCACGGATACCTTATCGTTCCATTCCGAAGCCAAATGTTTCGAACCGAACTGTTACGACTTTGTTTTATTCCGTGACACCTCATACTATTAACACAGGTCATAATTTTCACTTCTAGATATAAATCAAATGTTGTACAGTGAAAAGTTGTACTAGTGAGTATTTAGACTTACTACCAATCCTGATTTATCAGTTTTGAGAGTGACAATTATAATAAACATTGTGTACAAATTAAGAAAACTAAACAGGTCAGCGTGACCTGTCTGAAAAGAAATATTAGGCTTCACTGCAATGAATGAAATAAACAACTTGTCAAAATTAAAATTCAGGAATTTAAATAATTTAAAAGTTGATTAATAGAAAGAAAGAAATGCTGTTTTTCTATGAACTTTGATATTACCTATAAGAATAAATATATAATGTTCCATGTTCCAAAATGTTACTGACTCAATATGTGTAGTTCTTGATCTTTCTCAGAATTGTTCTGTAAATTGGGGTGCATGGTACCACATTTTCTTTTTTCAGTTTGTCTTCCCTCATAATAAAGACCAATGCAGTACAATCCCTATTTGAAGTGGTTTGGTAAAAAAAACTGCACATGGGCTTTATTTTGAAAGTACTTTCAATGAACCCTCGTTGACCGTATCAAAAAGGGGTCATATTCCAAGAAAATTTCGTACCTTAACTTCTATAATAGTACATTGCACCTGGACCCAGAAATGTAATTTGGCTGTACTCTATATGTACCCTAGCTTGAACATGGGGTAAACATTAATTTTACCTTTATCAGCATAAATCTGTGCCATTTCAGGGAACCTTATATCATAACATATTCCAATGCCCACTTTACATGCACCTACAATATACAGTAAATGAGGGTTGATCAATAAGTTATGAACACTTTCTATACAGACACTCCTTATGGACCAATTTCCAATCCATTCATAAATGATACTAAATTCGATTATCTTTAAACTTCAAAATTCTGGGTCTATCCGTGTTTTGACATATTTTTTCACTAACAAAAATTCTTGGGATAATGTCCTTAAAGCTGTCTCGTTTTGTTACTTGGATCATTGAGAAGGCGATCATGTACATGCTACATGTACTTCAATTTTAAATTATTTTCTTTTAGAAAATATTTTGACCCCACCCCTTGGTGCTCCAGCTTACCCATGTCAAATGTTGTAAAGTTGTTCCCTCCAGTGAGTACCTCTGATTCCTGGAATCTAATCTTCCCAGGAACGTCAATGTCAAACAGATGCATCTAGAATTATAAATTATATCACATGCATTGTCAAATAGATACATATAGATAAACCTTCAATTTTATTGAATGGATTGAATTAATTTGATCAATGCAAATATATTTAACCATATAAATTCCCTTTTCCTTGTTCTGCGTTTACTTCATAAAAAGTTTGTAATACACAGTCTTAGGAATGAATTATACTATATACACATAGCTAGGCAAGGTGTGTCTGATTCCAGCCAATCAAATTACAGTATTTCATATAACTGCAGTGCGTTATATTACCAATAACAGCATCCAAGGTTAGACCTTATGTGGTTGTCAAGGTGACAACTTGACTCTACACTCTACAGATTGCAATTCGCTTTGCCAACTTGACTCTTGCAAAAAGTTTCATTGAAAATATGTAAGTGCTTTTGTATCTTTTAAATGGCATGGTAGAAAATATTTTGTAATGTGTGAAAATAAATCAACCACAAGCTCAGGCATTATTTCCTAAAATTAACACTCGGTACTTTGCATAGCATGCAAATTTAAGAAAGCAACACCTCCAAGAAATGGGCATTCCACATTGCATTGCACACTCCCTTCATCCATGTCATTCACATTAATAGTCTTACCTTTCTGTGCTTAGCTATGATAGAGCCACATGGTCCAAAAATTGCACATGTATTGTAAATTTTACCATTGGCAGTCTCAGGTATAGACCCTGAAACAAGTCAAATCACATCATTAGTTTACATGGTTGGTCAATACATTGGTTGGTTTAGGTTAGGCCATGTAATGCAAAAGAAATAAATATAAACTATATAAAATTGTATCAATAATTTTCGATACAAGCACCATATACACCTAGAGATGGCATGACAGTGTATTTACCTCCTACTATATACACATTGTGCTCTTTGGCTACAGTCGCCAGAGCATCTGTGGTAGGGCCAGGTATAGTCTCTGCATAGTCAGCAAAATACTGTGTACCATAAGGGCAGTTGAAACACTCCTGAAATTATATAATTTTGCATCTCAGCATTTGCTTGGTGATACAGGGTGATCCAGAAGAAACATACATATTGGGTAACCATAGTAGCCATGAAATAAACTAATCAAACAGCAGAAGCTTTATTCTTGAGGTATCAACTCAATAATGTTCAAAGTTTCAAGAAAATTGGTCCAGGCGTTACTGAAATGGCAGCATACAGAATGCAGTACAGTAAAACCTGCAAAGTGGAACACCTCTAAAAGTGGAACACCTCAGACATGATAGTTTTGGAGTCCCAAGATCAAGTGACTTAATGTTAAATGACCTTCTTTAAATGGAACACCTCCATAATGGATCACATTTAAGAGTTTTCAAAGGTGCTCCACTTTGACAGATTTTACTGAATATAAAGCACTTACAGGTAATGCTATAAGTTTGGCACCTTGATCGACTGCTTCTTTCACCTTCTGTATTGCATTTTTGACATTCACAAGTTTCTGACTCCCTACTGCAAGCTGGATCAATCCCAGTCGTAATGCTATAAAACAGCATGATACATATTGGCAAACAATAATACAAACAATTACATTTAAAACAACTGAAAACAATTTACCTTGACTTAAATCTAAAATCAATCCTCATGGTGCAGCTGTCATTTAAACCTCACATCTAGTTTGTATCAACTGAATATTTTTCAGACTAATAGGATATTGTCTTCATATAATGATCATGAGCGTAGCGCTATTTTTTAACAACACCATGGGAATACTATTTGAGCGAAGCAAAAATGAGCATTCGGGGGGGGGTCTAGGTGGAGAAAATAAACTTCATAATCAGAACAACATACATGTACATGACAGCAGGTTACTGTTCTTCATCATGATGTTCTATCAAAATCTTTAAAGCATTGTATCTTCATGCAGCTATTCACATGTATTTCTGTATGTCCCATGCCTTGTGGGAGTTCCCAACCACATGACATGATTGACGCTGATTTACAGGGCTGTACATTTTCAAGTGTATTTAATTCATAAAGCTTGTATATGCACTGTAATCCAACGTAATTAGAGCTTTAACTGAAGTTACACACATGATATGATCATACATATTTATGAAGTGAGACAGCAAACATTCTGGAAAATTGAATACTAACTTTTTGACATTTTACTTTCGGATTGCGCTGGATTACGCTGCAGAATTTGGAGTTTTACGACATATATTCTTGGACGCAATTCGGTTGATTTGACATCGTTTGTGACATAAAATCACCTAAAATTACAAATAAATGCTTTATCATATGCATAAATGCGATTTAATATTGTATTTTAGCACGAAAACTGGCCTTATCTGAAGACCGGAAATGAACCAACAATTGGTATTTTGATATGTTAAAAACGTGAAATATTCGTAATCACAAATGGTAAGATATCTTGATTTATATAGCATTTCCATCGGTTATTACTCATAAGGTAAAACAATTTCAGTTTACACATGTTTTGTGGAAAATTAATTATGCTATTCCCACGATTTGCTCGCAAATTTAAATGCAGAACATTGTAATTCAATTTTCATAATAATTTTCAATGTTTTCATCTCTAACTAAAGTTTGGAACATAAATAAATGACTATACTCTAAAAAGTATGCTGTTCGACAATCAAAAAATCCGTTTTCTGAAAAAGTTCATGTATTCTTTCTAAATCATTCAGCCTACTTACATTTGATGAATCACGGAGTTTTATGGCCAAGTGTTATCTATTTCATAGCTAGGAACAGAAATACTCGAAAATCGATACGAACTTCGGATGACAGGTCAGTCATTTTCTACAAACAAATTCTCATTGCCCTTTGTTTGAGTGACGCCAGATTTTCAAATATTGGGCGAGTTTATCAAACAGGGGTGAAAAATGATATTTATCTTGACTTCGTTCAGTACAAAGACCAATTAAAGAACCAATTCTCGAAATCGTTGTTCCCTCTTCAAAAGAGGAGACGCGAAAATCTTTCCTTATAAGGTCAAAATATTTCCCATGATGCATTTCGCGGAGGAACAAATTTATACTTCCTTGTTTTCCCTCATAGGTTTAACATGGGGATTTTCACACCTATTTTTCAAACGATATATTCGTTCATATTCCCGTAAGAGAGTACAGAAAAAATATTATAAACGATTGATCTCTTATTAATCTTAATATAACAGCTATTTTTTTCATTGTATTGATTCATAGCGTGGTGTAAACGATTATTGAAAAGTGAGAAAATATTCCGGAAGAGAAGGTAACGTGATCAGTTGACTAGTCACCATATTGGAAAAGAACAATTCCATTCGACTTTCAATACTTTCATGCCAATCTTACCGCACTACAAACTGCAACATCGATGCAACAACTGAATAAAAGTATTCATCTTCAAATAACATTATAGAGTTACGTTGAAAACCCACAAACAACTGAGCAGTAGACCAAAGAAGACGCGTCGCTATTATCTAGGTCAATCTGTTCAGTGGTCCGAAAGAAAATCTATAGTACTCGTTTCCGAATTTTGTTGTTCATTGTACAATCTTTTATTGATTAAACTCGGTAAACTGACTATTAAAGCAATGACAAGGAAGAATACTTCCGATGGTGTCATTGTTTTATTTAGCGTGCGGGTGTAAAAACAAAATTGGGTAATTAGTTTGATTTAGAACTTTCGGGTCACGCACATAGCTACGCGAAATGCATAGTGGGAAAATATTGACCAATCAAATTTTGTCCTTTTTGAGTGCTTTTTCAGTACATATTTGCGAACGTTCTGATTCAAAGAGCGAACTGCGAAAGGGAGAATTAGTATAAATTTGTCAATCCCGGGAACTGTAGGGATCACATAACCAGTCACGTATCTGTAAAAAAATTATTTACGGCAGGGTGCCTGCTGAAAGAAAGATAGCAGCGTTTGATATATACATACCTTGTCCCCTACGTTTCGATGAGTCCATTTGTCGATGACGTCATTTTCTTGATTCTCTTCCATGTTGGAATTTGAGACGAATGCGAGGGAGAAATGATTTGCGTGATATGAGAGAAGGGGATTTCTATTCAATTTAATGTGATTAACTGACAAAAGGTAGGTGGCGCTAGATAAGGGATCGGGCAAACTTATTGTATATAGAGGGAAAATTTAAGAATAAGGCCAAATGAGAGAATAAATGGATTTTTTGATTGTCAAACACCAAGGTTTTTAGACTGTAGAATCAAAATGCAAATTGTGGTGAGCAGTTCATATAGTTAAAATAACGAAATAATGAAATGTTACCATGTGTCTACTTATCAGTTTGTTCTATGTCATCCATCCTGCTAGGTTACATTGTGGAACGCAGCCAAACACGACAATGAAGGCAACAACATATTGATATTGATCTTAGCAGAATTTTTGGAAATAAATGGATTTTCTATCAACTTTTCCAAACAATGGTGGTTTGAACGCCAAGAGTCTCTAATATTGTCTAGATACATATCCCTTAAAATTGTATATTTCACATTTTGTATACTCTCTGGCATGGCCTCTTGAAAAATTCAGCAAATTGATGAGTATGTTCCTAACTGTAGGCTTAAGGACTAGTCTAGGTACACACATACAGCTGTAGCATCTTCATAAATAAATATGATATCATATGGTCTGATGTTAGTCAAAACTCCAATAGTCTATAACTCATCAGAACTGTGGCATCCCCATCAAAGGCTGGTATACTGTATACTGTAACTCCAGATCATAGCACAGGAACACGTAGCGACATTTATCAGACATTGTTCTGAATGATGGAAATGTTGCTCACAAGGCAATGTTCCCATATTATAGTTCCATTTAGGTAGCATAGCCAGGATGAGGCACATTTTCCTTCCTGGGTACGCCACTTATAGTACATTTATATTTGTTTGTGTTATTAATGTTTATGTACTATGTGTTTTATAGAGTACTCTGTTCTTTGAAACAACCTAATTTGATGAGGCTGTGCTATCAGAGCCTGGCAAGACTTAATACTGAAGAAACCTGTAGTTTAAAACTTTATCTGAGTCAATAAAACGTACGACCGGAGGAATGGACCAAGAGACTGCACAGATTCTGTTTAGTGAAGGAGCAGTGTTAGTTCTGCTTGATGTACCGCCAGGTACAGAGTTTGGTATAGATTATAATGCCTGGAACACTGGGCCTAACTTCAAGGGAGTCAAGATGATTCCCCCTGGTATACACTTTGTTTATTACAGGTAAGACGAATGATTTATGTTCATCTACATAGTAGTCTCCACTAATAATTTTTTGTTCTTACAACTGTTTTTTTTTATTATTAAGGACCTTATTCAAGAACAGTTATCTAGTGAACATGTCAAAATAATGATTTTAAAAAAGATCGTTTTCGGTTGACCCCTGATTCATATACAGATTATAGGTGAATATAATTACATGTAATTTGATAAGAATGGTATCATGAGTGTCTCAATAACAAAAATATGTTTTAAATTTAAACATATAATTCTGCATTTAGGATGATATCTATTTTATATTTTGTTTATTTATTTACTCCAGTGCAAGAAGTGGGCGTGGCAGTGATGTGGCTCCAAGATCGGGCTTCTTCTACAACTTCAAAGCAAAAGAAGTGTTGGTGAAGAAGTGGGACAGACTACAAGAAGGTAAAAGCCTCGCATGCTACAAGTACATGTATAGTCAGTATACTGTATGCTGGCTCAAGAATAAAGTAACAACATTTTTACATGTATAGCCTTTTCATGAAGAAATTGCATTTTAAAAATTGATTGAAATGATGTGTTTTCAATAACGCCGTCCTTACATTACATACACGCAAAATATATCCCTTGGACCCGGAAATAAAAAGTGATTGCGTTTTGTGGACGCAGTGCAAGCCATACTCATACTATCAACTTTGGATGAATGATTTGAGAAAGATCTTCCCTTCAATCTTTTTATTTCGTCAGAATCCACTAAGTAATTGAAGGAAATTCTATTTCTAAAAGAAATAAAATTTTCTTTCGAAATTCACTTCCCGGAAGTTGATTTCTGATCGAAATAGTACAAGGCATGTGATAAGACAAAAAGTTATCCAATACTCAATTTCCGAGCAGTAATCAGTACGAATCCTACGATTGGCCGGTAGCTGAAGACCTGATTCAAACCATTTTCAATTGGTCAAGTGCGATCACGTGATCATTATTTGAGACTGCACATGCGTAAGAAACTGAACCAAAAAATTGAACCTCGCGCAGATTGCCCCTAAACTAAACATGCTAAAGCAAAATCAATAGCAAATTGCTTCGAAATTCGCAAATAAAATGTATTTTTAATGGGTGTATATAAGTTATACCTCACAAGTGAGGGCATCTGTATCATTCAATGACATACTAGACTCGCAAGAACGCTGATTGAGACCGATAAATAGCAAAAGCGGTGATACAAAATTTCATCAATTTATTACATCCAGTGTAAAAGCGCGACTTTGAATTCCCGGGAACATTTTTTCAAGGGACGCAGTTTTTTGAGGGGAGACGCATTTTTTGAAAATCATTACGTCCCAGGGACGCAATCTTGGACAAGCCTACTGAAAACACTGGAAATCATAATACGATAAAAGCCCCAATTTTCAAGGTGCCCTAATTTTCACTTGTTTCGCTGAAGAGGTTAGACTGTGAAATTAAAGGCAAAGTGAAAATTTGATTTAACATTGAATTCAATTGGATGTTTCTTCAAACAGTGGAATTTAATGCCCATGAAACATTTCAGATTGACAAAATAGTGAATTTTTTTGCCAGCGAAAATTTGGGCTTTTACAGTAGAACCTATTCCATGTCCTTGTAAATCTAATACTAGCTCTGAGACCCAGGAATTATTTTGATATAATGCACTGAAATGCTCAAAGCTGATTTGCTGAGATACAGCTACATGTACAGTTGGCATATTTGGATTATGTATCTTTACTGAAAAATCTGCTGCTTAAATCTTCAGAATTTTGTTTTGAGAAAATATTAAAATGATAATGCTTCAACTTAATGCTTTAACCAATGGTTAGTCTCCAATTATTTTGTAGATGGTATTCTGGGTTTGGCTGATGGTGGTTGGTGTTGAGCCGTTGGTGTTTGCCAAGTTTGGTGTAACAAATGGGAGGTGGTGACATTTTGCATGTTAATGCCTTGTTTTTGCCTTGCAGATATCACAAGTGGAGGTGTCTCACAGGAGGAGGTTGAGAGGATACAGAGCAACAAGAAAGAACTGGACAGATACCTTGGAGCTTACCCCTATGAAAGGTAAGCTTGTTCCAGTCATTGAAAATGCAATGTGTTTACATGCATATGATAACTAACAGGTCATATGGTTAATATATAGTAGAAAAGTAGTATATATGTCAAACTGTGTCCACAATTATGTTTATCTTCTCTACACCAAAACATCATTTGAAAGAGTGGGATTTGCTTACAATACTTATTGAAACAAGTACCCTATGAAATATAAATACCGTTCAAATGAAATAGAATTTCAATTTAATGGATGTAATAAAGGATAAAGAATTAATAGAACACTCAGGAAAACTTGGATAAACTGAGAATAAATTAGGATGAAATGCCAACTGGGAAATATGCTATCACCGGTGCTGGATGTGGACAGTGGAGAATATAAACATTCACATTTAGTCTTAAATTTTCAGCTATAAGAAATGGGTTTCAATGACTAACCACATCACCGAGCCAGTAATGGAGTCCCTTCAACCCATCAACAAAACCATCTGCTCTGTAGCCCAGTTTGTCTCCGAGAGGAGTGATACCAAGACGAGGAAAGAAGATGCAATTAAAACAACAGACAAAACTACAGTGTCACATGATGACGATGATCCAAGATTACCAAAAATGGACACGATTCCTGGTACTCAAATACGGTTCTCTGAAATTCCTAAAAAGAAATACCCGGAAGGTGCCACTCCAAGTGAAATCACTAAATATAGTATTGACTCAAGTTATGTGACAGTGAAGATCATTCAATCTAAGAACCTTCCAAGTAATCATATTCTAGGTGAAGTACAATTTGCTTTTATTTGTTTTCTAATTGGACAGACATATGACGCATTTGAACAATGGAAGCTTCTGGTACACATGTTGTGTACGAGTGAAGAGGCAATGGCTGACTATCCTGCCCTCTATAATGAATTCATATCAATGCTACACTTTCAAATCAAAGACATTCCCGAAGATTTTTTCATTGATATTGTCTCCAGGAACAACTTTCTTACATCTACTCTTCAGCTGTTTTTTTCTAATCTAGAAAGTTCTGGAATTTCTGAGAACGTTCTACAAAGAGGGTTGAAATTCAGAGATAACCTTACCAAGAGGTTTAAGTGGGATTTTACCACTGAGTTAGACGAGGATGCTCCAGTTGTAGTGGAATGATTGTGAAAATTTTGTTATCTCACAACCAGAAGCAGTCGGTGTCTGTTACAAATGGCAGTTGGTGACATTATGCATGTCAATGCCTTATTTTATGGTCATAATTTGAAAAAAAAGTCATCCTTAATTTTTTAACTCATTCATTAAGAGAATCAGCTTATTAAACAAATTAGCCAAAGTCAGAAAATATGATTTTTGAAGAAAAAAGCTTTCATTTTTTGTGTATTTTCTAACTACCTATGCTTCCGCAAAATATGTAACTGAAAAATATGCAGAGGTTTAGCTTCACATTCTTTTAGACCACAATAATTCTACACGTTCACGTTCAAGTTCTAGCAACATGTAGCTTAACTTTTCCAATGTCATATATTCTGGTGTCATAACAAACACTTGTCTTCAAGAATTTTAATATTTATTAGAGGAGTACATGCACGTTGTAAGCAAACACCAAGAAAATATGTTTCAATATGATGAGATATGAGACTATTTAGATAAATGAAGTGATCTTTACTGAAGAGTAGTATGAGTTAAAATAAGCTAAATGATTGTTGTGTAAAAGAGATCATCATATGTCAATCTGACTTTTAAATTTAAAGTTCAACATGTATTTGCCTATAGCAAGAATGTTTTATCATGATTTTAACATGATATGGTCATTCATCATCATAAATGATTGTAACTTCACCATGCATTGTTTGTCTTTGTTGAATTGTCTTGGTTGTCTTCACTGGCAAGATTGTTTCCGAGATCTACTTTATAATTGCCTGGAAAATAATTAAAGATTTAATAAAAAAAAAATTACAAATAGATCTTGCAAAAATAGTATTTTATTTAGTTAAGTGTACTATATCCAGCTGTTCTCCATGGGACAACGGAACATTGGTCAGCTGTGAGAAAGGGAAGCCGGGGTATTATCTTGCGAGCTAAGAAGGAATTTTGATATTTTAGCCAGTATGTCACGAGAGTGTATTACCATTTCTTGGACACTCCTCCCTACAAGATCTTTCTACTGACTTACGCGTATTCAATCTGCCAGTGCTGGTTAGTAGCGTTGCCATAGTCAAACATGATGATCTTGGCGTCTGGTTCTGTATCAGCTCCATCGATATCTAGCACTTTACCAGTGTCTGGGTTAAGGATTGTTGATCCTGCTATTGTCCACTTCTGTAGGGGGTTGTTGGGGTCATAGTGCCTCACCTCAAGGCGATCCTCTAAATAATGAAAAACATGAAACAGTTTTAAGAATAAATCCCTTATTACTGTAAATGGCAAACCAACAAGCACATTATTGAAGGATTTTGAGCCTTGGAATCAGTGTAATATGGACTGTATCATTCCTCTAAAATGTGTTATTTCAACCTTGCTCAAGATGCGCATCATCGAGTGTGAAGTTTAGGAAATAATGCCTGAGTGGAATGAATTCGCCACAATGCATCAAGTCTTAGGCTTAAATTATTTTAACACATTGCAATATTTTGTTTATGAAATCACCTAAAATATATAAAATCACTAAAGGAACATATGTTCAATGAATCTTTGAAAGGGTCATGTCGGCAAAGCATTAATTTCAATAGTTGTCACCTTGACAACCATTCAGCGAATGACCTTGGGTGAGTTATTGGTTATACTATGCTGTGCAGTGATATGAAATACTGTGTTAGGATTGGCTGGAATCGGACACTTCTTGCCTATGTACGTGCGAATCCATAATCAAATAGCTTGGTGGCTATCCCGATTACTTTCACATTTAAATATAGTTTATGAGGAGTGGTGAGGGGGAGGGGTGTTCAAGCGTGTTGAAAATTTTGAAGGTTCATTTTCTTCATCAATTTCAGTAGCATTTGAACTCATTGGTGGCCATCATACCTGCTGACATATCCAGGCAGTATCCAGTTAGAGCGGACCTAATTGTCTGGGACTCTACGTCCTCCCAGAAGAGTTGGTTAGCCCAGTCTTCCTTATCACCCTGGTCTGTCTTCTGTTCCCAGGTGACCACTTCTGTGCCAGAAGAGGTTGAGCTCCCAGAGACGTCCATTACCAGACCGTTTAGTTCACTCTTAATGAAGAACAATCCCCCGGCGGGTGCCCTGCAATGCCAAACCGTCATTAGAAACAAAGATGCAAATCAAAACCTTTGTAAAATAGATTTATGTTCCCTTGATGGAACATTCTTATTTATTATCAACAATATTTTACAAAGTCTGTTAGCAATAAGAGCCCATATGTTAAATTTCCCAATAACAAATATCAGTGTCAATTATTGTTAAACCGTTAATGAAATATTGAACTGAGGGTTTCAAGGTTCTGATGAACGAGACTGAATTACCATGTGTCGAATTCCCATTTTTGGTTTTGCCCTCCGTTGTAGTCATAGGCGACTACCTCGGCCCACTCATCGGGGTTGTTACCCTCAATGTCGAGGCAAAGATTAGTTTGATCGGTGTTCTGTACTGTCTGATCTACCAAGAGCCAACCTTGCATAGGACCTCCATTGTCCGGATTTACGCACAACTTTCCCTCACCTAGAAATAGTCAAATCCCTAGAGTCAAATTGAGGATGATTCTCCGTTGATTATGCTTAAACTATGATGCCAAAATACCTTTTAAACCCTATGCTTTTGCAAACTGCATATATCATTGTTAATTTTTATCAGTACTCGACTGCCTTTTTGCAAACACAAACTGCAATCTTATTCTTTGTGTTTTTTTGAAATTTTACACCTACTATGTTCGCTTTTTTTAATAGAGACAAATAGCCTGTTCTCTTACCATCAATATCCAGGCAAAATCCTGTGAGCAAAGACCTGATGGTTCCATTTTCCTCATAGAAGAGTTGGTTGTCGTTGTTGTACTTTTTCTGGTTGTACATGACGATCCTGGTGCCGGCGTCCTTACTGCCATGTTTTACGTCCATCACATTCTCGGGGTTCAACACGCTCTTAATGTAGAATAACCTGCGTCCGGCCATGATGAATGGCTACAAGGAAAACATTTTAACTTTCAAACTTCATTGCTTAAGTTACCTTTTCCTGAATTCCCTGGCCTCAAAATTGTGAAAATACTCGAGGGTCATTCTCGCCAGTTTTAAGGTGTAGTATTTCGTTCACGTACATGTACGTATATGATTCAATATTGACCACTAAATGTTAATGTCAAATTAAGCCACCTCCCCTTTTTTGAATCCATAAAATAATAATATAGAAATGTAATGACAAAAAGTTTATACCAAATCAAGACCAAAAAGACCCTTACGTAGAAGGGTGACAGTAATGACAGTAAATGAGCACAAAATGTATGGCATGGCACATTTTAGCCTCCGCCAGTGGTTGACTCGGTGACATACTGCAAACTGCGGTTTCCAAGTAACACGTACGCTCAATCACATACTCAAAATGTCTAATCAGTTTTTAGAGTTTTTAGAGGAAATAATTAAAGCCGGGGACTGGTCCATAGTTCAGAAAAACACTCACTATATCTATCCCTCATCGCCTGATATCAACGTGTTCTCGTTACCACTGGTATTAAAACTGATATCACAATTATTTTCTCCTAACTGTAGTAATAGTAAGTTTGATTAATTATGTTTATTAATATTTGATAAGGACTTTAGTCTCATCTAACGAGGGCGGTTTGCGGCCTGCACAAGGACAAGCGTTCGTTTTTGGCGCATTTTAGTGTGTTCTGGGTGTGATCGAATTGAGCCGGCAAAATGATATTGGTTTCCTTATGCGATAGCAGAATGGCGGGGTGTATTTTGAATCATTGATGTCATTAAAAATTCGTGACAACATTATTCCTGAAATATTTAATTTTAGAATAATTTCTATGAAGTAGATATAGTGTTGAAGATGGTAATTCATACCTGAGAAAATATTTATATTATTCGCCAATTGCAAGTTAATGGGATAAAAAGAATGAACAAAAGCTAAACAAGGAATTAATTTAAAAATCCTAAAATATCTCCTGGTTGAATTCAAATAAAATACTGTCTGTAATATACAATCAAGCAAAATTATTCAAGTAACAAGTTGTGAATATCAATAAAATTTATTTATTTACGTCCAACATGAAGTATTGTTCAATTCACAGCAAGCAGCAGTTCTACGTAGGGAGTATCACACATAGTATTCCATTTACGGTTCCACGTGGTATTTCCATATTTTGTTTTAAAAAAATTGAACAATTAAATACAAAAAGTTGTATCTAAATTGGCTAGGAAAAAATGAATAACAAGACAAATTCAAATCACTACTAGGCCGACCTGCATATTCCCTCCCTAAATTACCCAGAATATGATCAAAATTCGTAGTTTGTCAGTTCGTAGGCGTTTTTCGAGAATCTGACAATACGGTAAAATTATAGATAATATTTTGCATTGAAAAGCTGTTTTTAAATGTTAGTACTTACTTTTGTATTTTTGAGTATTTCGATTAATTCGTTTAGATGTGTACTCCTCTACTATTTCTGCCTTGAAGTGAAGCGACGAAACCAAATATCAATTTTTTAGTCAATGAATAACATCGACTTAAAATATATTTAGAGTTCAAAGCAAAGTTATGATAAGCTTGTCTATTTCAATTTATATTTTTATTAATTAGTGTGTAACTTTAGATATTCATCAAAACGGGTTAATAATTAATTAAGAATTATTTACTGAAATGATCCATCTGGTATAGTCCGTAACTGGTACCTGCGTTAACGCAATAGTTCATAAATTATAAAGACCTGATTAGCTAAGTAAATTAGAAAATTTGATTAATTAGTTCTCTAAAGATATTGACGCAATCCTATCCAAATAAGTAAATGACTGTCTTCTTAAAAATGAAGTCGTCCGTTTTTCATAACTTGTCCAGGTCGCCTTTCTGTATTGATGATTACTTATAGCAGACAATACGTTTTGAGACGCCCTAGTTATTTATTAAACCTTTGCTTCGGAGCTGTAATAGTTTCTTGTTATTGGTAAACCCGGTCATATCAAAGATACAGACCTCGTCAAAATTATACAGAAAAATTGTTTTCCGTTTTTTTCGCCATAAAAAATGTCACCAGTTGTATAAGTGTGTCTGGATCTTCCAATAAGTAACATTTTTCTACTAAGCAGCTAATATGTAGTTATCGGCATACATGTAATTTCAAGCTATAACTTCAACTGAACCAACTCTACATTTTCATCCATAGGTTCATTCAATGGCAAAACACAGTTGTTAGACCTTTCATGCTTGCAATTTTAAAGATTGCATTCGACTCAGGACTTATCCCTATCTCGTGTTGACAGGGAGTAGCTTGTTTAGTTTCAGTGAATATGTGAATGATGGTGTTTATAGATGGCGATGCTAATGATCCTGCTTAACATTTTCTCTAAGAGATTTTTACAAAAACTGAACAAGGCATTAACATGTTAAAATGTCACCACCTAGTTGATGCAAGATAAAAAAGACCTTTTTGACCTTGAGGAGGTCATTAAAGTTCAAATCTATTTTGACCTTGAGAATGTCATTTAAGGATCAAATCTTAGGTCAGATTTGAAATGTTAAGAACTTGGAGATGATTTTGAAAAAGAAGTGGGTCAATTTGAAGCAAGTTGAAAAATACCTTTTTGACCTTTTTAGACCCTGAAAAGGTCATTGAAGGTCAAATCTTAAATATAAAGTCAAATTTGAACTTCTGATCAAGGTGTAGATGATTTTGAAAACAATAATTGTAGTCAGTCTATGCAGTGTTTGTTAAATTATTGGAAGTTGTAAGAATTTGTTACCGACGCCGACCGCCGATCGCCAACCTCCAACCGCCAACCACTAACCGCCGACCTCCGTCAAAAAAACGGAGACCACCACAAAAAAACAAACGACAAAATGGACCACAATGTTATATAATATATAAAAAATGCATATCTGAGATATCAAATTTTTAATTTAGGGGAGGTCCAGCCATTTCAATTCTTTTGAGAAAATAATACATGTTTATTGTTATTAACAATAAAGGAATATTTAATCAAAAGCGAATGGATAGCAAAGTTTTACACTGGTCAGTAACAAGCGAAGGTAACGGTCGTAACCCCTCGCATCTAAGATGGCGGATGGTAAGTGTCGATTTCGATATTTTCTGTTTTTCATAGAATTAAACCACTTTTTAGTTGACGTAATGCTTTGATATTTGAACTATTTCCAGCTAATATAAATCGGAAACCCTGGAGTATGATCATTTGTTCATATAGCATGCGTAGGCACCACAGTTCAACGACATCTTCCACTGCTTATGGGAATGTAACTTTTTTACTGATGATAAGACAACTGATATGCTGCAACGTAACGTAAGATGTCCAGTAACCGCGTATTGAAAACTAACATGACCGTTACCGTATCGTACATTACCAGTTACCTTAGGTTAAGGTTCTACACATAAAAGCAATTGATTTATTATGTCATCAATAGAAGTCGTGGTGACATATTGATTGTCATAGTCACCAGCCTTTTGTGGACTGTGTTTGGCGTTTGGTGTTTGGTGGTAGGTGTTTGGCGCTAGGCGGTTTAGTTAGTGTTCTGCATCTGTAACAACAAATGGCAGGTGTTGATATTTTGATATTTTGCATATCAAAATGTTGCCCCAGCTTTGAGATATTAGTGTTCAGAAACTTAAAATTTTATTTTATGTTGTAAACCGTGTTGATTTTATCCGATTGTTATCTTTACTAAACACCCTCTGTCCTTTGTTCTTTTTGCTCAGCTATATTTTCAGTACCATCTCAATACTCCCTATTAAGGTCTCATTACAGAGATATTAGTGTTCAGAAACTTAAAAAGGTCGTTACAAAAATATGCAAGACGTAGATGTATCGTTTACTTGATGAATGGGGTCTTGCACTCATCAAAGGCTCTATTTTATTTTTTCTTTACATATTTGTTGTAGTTCAGTGATTATGTAGAAAAAATACGTATGAGCTAAAAAACGAAAAACCTTATAAACATCATCTTTTTTCATGTTTCAAATTTGGGTGAACAGCAAGCTCCGTGCAGAGGAGTGAATTCGAAACTATCGCATATCCAAGGATCATCGGTGATGTTTTAAGAAATAAAACGCAATTTTTTCATCGAACAGGTAAGGAATATACTACATGCTATATCTGCATTCTCGTAAAATGAAAGCATAGAATAAATTGTTCATTTTGAATTGACAATTTTTTTTAAAAAGTCAGGATTTTTCAATATAAAGATATTATTTATCTCTTTATTTTGCCTAGCATAGTATGATATAACAGATAAAATAGTTTTTAAAACTTGTACTTGTCTAAGTGAATATAATGTTAAAACACAATACGCAATTTTCAAACTTCCCAACATTCTGTTTAGAGAACTCAGTTAACATGAACATTAAAACAACCATACATATAGGTTTGCATGTCATCTATATTACAAAAATGATAACAAAATGTGACCGAGTTTCACTTATATTTCAAAATAAGAGTAAAAATTCCATTTGATGGCAACGCTACAGCTTTTCCTCATAAATATTATGGAGGCTAAGCTTCGCGTTTTTAAGAGAATTTGTAGGTGAACAAATATATAATAGGGAGTTTAAGATTAGCGAAAATAACCCATTTACCTATACCATACTAAGTTTGTTATTACACTAAGCGGTATTTTACCTAAGTTACAGGGTTTACGATACGTAATTACTTAAAATGGCCGAAGATAGGTAATTCGATCGAAAACGTATGCTTTTATCCAACAAATTATGTCATCTCTAAATCAAATATCATCCATTAAACTTTTAAAAAGTAACAACAAACAATATTCATTCGATCTGCAAGTGGTCGAACACATTCATTGATGCAATAAACGATGCCATGTGATGATGCACGAAATTGTTGAATTTACACATTCTTCATCAGTTTTGCTTATTGTAAATGTATGAAATCAGCCATTTTCTCGTGGTTTTAATTGTTTAACTTTACTATTTGGTCACTCTCATTGCTGGATCATGCTAGAAATTTAACATTTCGCCTAAAGTCACAGCCCCATTAGCGGGCCCACAAGCAACACCCCCTCCCAACTACAGTAGCTACACCACACTCTCTTTCAACAGTTCTTGGAGGTGACATGTACTCTCTAGTATATGCCATATAAGCCATCGCATGGTTTTCATTCTACAGGGTGGGCCAAAAAAAACCAATACCCAACTTCAAATCAGGATAAAAATAGTTACATTCAATATGGTACATTGACTTACATACCATTTTAAAGGTTATACAATTTCAAACAATTTGGTATATAACACCATGTCATGAAATCAATAGTAAAGTTTTATTATACTTATTTGGGAGGCCGGGTCGCTATTTAAGGTCTCCAGATTTAAGGGAGAAAATAGTAAATCTGCGGAATTATGTTAATTTTTTATTTATAGAATATCATTCTTTTGTTAGGTGAATACATGCTTGGATACTGATATTTTCATCATTGTGTGACTAAATTTATTGTTTATGAATTTCAGTGTTGTTTGATAACATTTTACACTTTATTTATTGAAACAATTTTCACAATTGCTCAATATACCCCACCCCCTCCCCTATGCATCAACAATAAGCTTCAAGTGGTAGCGCAATCTATCAATAACATTATTGAGAGATTTCTGTTGCAATTCATTTCAGCACTTTGGGATTCTGTTTCGGCACATCAAAGCTGTTTATTGGATGCTTTTGACTGTACCATTTCCTCGATATGGCTCCATGTATCGTAATCAAACAAATTACATGTAGCATTGGGGCTGTTGGGTGGCCAAGCATCGAGATCAATCAAATTGACACCTTGTTTGCAAAGGAATGCCAATGTCTCTTGAGATCTATGGTACGGGGCAATGTCTTGTTGGAAAATAAAATCCTCGTCACATACGTTTATTGTCTTTTAACAGACCCCCTTTGAGTACTTATTGATAATAAACAACACTAAAATTCATAAACAATAAGTTAAGTCACACAATATGCAAATATACAAGCATTTATTCCCCTAACAAAATGATATTCTATAAAAGAAAAATTAACATTATTCCGCAGATTTACTATTTTCTCCCTAAAATCTGGATATCTTAAATACTGACCCGGCCTCCCAAATAAGCATAATAAAACTTTAATATTGATTTCATGACATAGTGTTATATACCAAATTGTTCGAAATTGGATAACCTTTAAAATGATATATAAATCAGTGTATCATATTGAACATAGCTATTTTCAGTCTGATTTGAAGTTGGGTATTGGTTTTTTTTGGCCCACCCTGTATAATTAGGATGTTAATTTTATCATAAATTGTAGCATACACAGTTTCGTAGCATTTTACGTTAATCTTAAACTCATTTTGCAATACGCATTACCCATACGTATCCGTAACAAACATATGGATAGGGATAGGTACACGTATATTTTTACGCTAATCTTAACCTCCCTAATAGGGAAGTTAAAATATACATACGTGTATACGTACCTATAGTGCAACTATTTGTACTCAGAATTTCATTACTAGTTTTTGTACCTTTGTGTTCAATCGGGGATATAAATATTACAAAGAGGAGAACTTAACACGTCCACGTACAAATTCCTTTAAAACATGTAACTTGACTTCCATATTATTTTGTGGGAGTGCACAGGTAGGTTTGTTTCCTTCGTTTCTATTGGTTGAATATTGAAAAACTAGGTCTCATTTTGCAAAAAAATATCCTTGTTTTTCAAGGTCCCACTGTTTGAAAAACTAGCGTGGCTGGTGGTGTCTATCACTATGGTATGTTTTTATTTTGAATTCCTACTAGTATAGCCTAGCGATCTCCTTCAGAACTTGCCTTAAAACACAATCTCCATCCGTATAATAACAATAAAAGGCCACCATTTTCATTGATATGCTCTACTATATATTTCATATAATAGACCGAGAAGTGTCCATGAACTTATCAAGAGCCAACAGAAACCAACGTGCGATCTACCAATCGAATTATTAATTAGAAAACAATTCTCAATTGATTAACGGCCGGGAGATGTGTCCTCCATTTGAAAATTAGATTTGATGAAAGTACCAACTCAGCCTATATTTAATTTATCCCATAGGCTACCTTGCTATTGTTGCAGAAAATGGTATTATGTGGTATAATTCGGAAATCGAAGTGATGATGGTTTTGGTATTTCTTGGACGACTTGTATACCTACCACGTGTTTATAACAATGGTTCAATTCATTCCAGGGAGAATCAGTCCCATATCTACAGAGTTTATCATTATTTAATTATTCCTCATTGAGTGATTATTCATAAAAGTACTTGAAAAAATCAGAAGTTAAAAATTCAGTTGGTCACTTTTGGAATGATAAAACGAAGCGGCCACATGGCAGTGAATAAGGAGGGTGCGCATAATGAAGAACAATTCTGAGTCTGACATATTCATCATTAAAATAAAATTCTGCACGATTGTTTTTGTTTATGTTGCATGTTGCCTCGATCGTACTTTTGAAATAGATAGTCTCAGTATATTATCCAAGCGGCGTCTGCTTGGTATCACATATCCTATTGAGGCCTATTATATAGAAGTAGATTTGATATATTCTCTTTCGTCACAGAATATGGCTCGAGCACTTACACCCTATACGCCGACATGTTTATCATTTAGATTTAAAATCATATATGTCTATTTCAACACAGTTCTTCCGAATACAAAACAGTAACTAAACACAGCTCAAAGTCGAGTAGCGCTACTGAGTTTCAACAAAACATAATAAAAACGATCGTATTTTCGTGGGAGTTTTCATAAGCGATAGCTGTATCAGGATGAGCCGTCTTAGAAAACAACTTTCATCAGAGACATTTCGGGATGGCCTAGATGTGTTAAGTAGAAAAAGGTAAATCGATCGTACTTTTGGGTTTACATGTACATAAATTAGCAGAAATACAGAACCGTCAGGTATGTACTTCCAAAAAGAAAAAATACTCAAAGTACTCCAAATCAGAGCATAAGGTAAGGTCATAATTCACAGGCTTGCTATGTCATTCTGACAGTCAAAGCCCCATTCTGCCTTGTAAGTATGGGAGAAACTGGTAGAATAACATGATATCCTAGAGTATGAAATAAGTTCATGACTTACAAACGCATATTCGTAAACACCTTTCGTAAGTTAACTGTTTTCATCATCTTGTATCCAAGCGGAACAAAAAATAAATGCGAATGATTAAAAGTTAAAGTAAAAATACTATCATGATATGTCAAAATAAAACCAGTCAGACACATAATTCATGTCTCTGAATCAGTATATGGTCCACGTGACATGAACGATAAGGATGCCCCATCCGCAACGGGGTTCGATGATCAGGTAAGACGAGATCCGTCCAGTGCATGATTTACAATAAATCAGTAAAGTGTAATACATATATGCGATGTTGTTTCGATAGAGCAAGAATATGGCGAATGAAACTCCCAGCAGCAGTCGACCCCAATTGAAGAAAAGGCCGTCCTTTTCCATTCCTTCATCTTGGTAGGTATTACCCAGGGTAGGTATATTGCATTCATAAATTGCCTTGCGTGTGGGTCCTACATCTAGTATTAGGCTAGAGCTACCTAGCTAAAAGCTTCAATGTTTTCACCTGACATGACCTCATCCCTCAGGTAAAAATCAAGGTGAACTATTTATTGGCTTTGAATCAAACGTTAATTTCTATATCTCATTAGGCCAAATGCATTGAAATTGTATAGCTTTGACTATCTAATTAAAACATTTTGAACAGTTCCGGGCAATCTCAATTTTATGATACACCATTTAGATTTTACTGTTTATGTAGGGGTAAAAGCTTTAAACAATTTCGCCCAGTCCTATCATTAAAGCTTAAAATTTCATCATTCAAACTGTCTCTCAACATGCTCAAATAGTGCTTTAGCTCACATGCTAAAAAAACTTCAACCATGCTTTAAAAGAACCAGGGAGTTGTGTTGTTTATTCATTCAGTGGGTAATATGATCACACAATCTTTCGGTTCAACGTGAAAGATCGTAACCCAAAATCTAGAACTCTTGAACGAGAGAGGCTCAAATTCAAACCCTCTTGGCCCTAAATTATCTTCAAATACAAATATTACCTTTCAATTCCACAATATACAGAAATGGGTACCACCATCCCAAAAGGAGCCCGCAATGCAGTTTGCATAAGCTAGCCAAAAAAATGATCTCGATCTAATGTTTCCCTTTGGATTTTCCCTTCATAAAGAACCATCACTTTGGCTTTAGTCTATGATGACCACTGCTGACAAGGACAAATCAATGGCAAGCACTAAGAGAGAGAGAACCAAAAGCTTCCAAGACCTCATATCGGCAAATTGGTAGGTGTCTGAAAGTTGCACAAGAGACCGTTTGCACGTTTCACCCAATTGCAAGCTTGATGCACCTTTGCAAACTGCCAAGTCAATTAAACTGCATGCTCTACTTTTAACAAACCGATAGATAAAACGACAATCCAGTCGACTGGTATTGGAATTGATATACCATATACTTCACCAATCAACAATACCTAAGGAGATATCCAAACTTCTGCAAGCGTATTGCAAGAACTAGATTCAGTTTGCATGTTGAACTAAGTGATTTAGTTGGTTTGGCTTTTATCCAGTCGGTTATTTTAAATTGCTTGAACATCAAAATTAACTGACAAAGTTTCCCGGGCACATGCACAAAATGCTTTCGCTAAAATGTTCTTAATTCTAAACTGCAGGTTAATATTTCAGGAAATTTATGAAGTTATTATTTGCTGTAGATTCCTCTTTCTAACAATTACTGCTGGCCGTAGGATATATGGCATTTATGAAATACTCATGAGTATTTGGAATATGTTGCCCATATCTTCATGACCAGCCATATCTTCATGATCAGCCATTTCATCTTGCTATAATTAATAGTTTAGCCTAGACATGATATTTACACTTTACATGGTATCTAATTGTTTGTGTGTTCCCGCTTTGGTGATTGACAATTTAAATATGCAATGTAGTCTGTTAACGGTGCACTGTAAACTATGTCAGTAAGTGTGGCCCGTGTTGAATGTGAAATAGATTTGATGTAAAATGTTGTCCCTGTTGACTGTGTAATATATTTGATGTAAAATGTGACCCCTGTTGAATGTGTAAAAGATTTGATGTAAAGTGTTTTCCCTGTTGACTGTGTAATAGATTATGTAAAATGTGACACCTGTTGAATGTGTAATAAATTTGATGTTAAGTGTGGTAAGTGTGGCCCCTGTTGACTTTGTAATATATTTGATTAAAAGTGTGGCGCCTGTCGACAGTGTAATAGCTTTGTATAAAGTGTGGCCTTTATTCATGTTTATTGAATGTGTTTGGTCCATGTATGCTGTGTAATAGATCTGATGTGAAGTGTGACTCATGTTGACAGTGTAATAATTTTGTATATAAAGTGTGGCCTTTGTTGAATGTGTTTGGTCCATGTACACTGTGTAATAGATCTGATGTGAAGTGTGACCCTGGTTGACAGTGTAATAGCTTTGTATAAAGTGTGGCCTTTGTTGAATGTGTTTGGTCCATGTACACTGTGTAATAGATCTGATGTGAAGTGTGACCCCTGTTGACAGTGTACTAGCTTTGTATAAAGTGTGACTTTTGTTGAATATGTTTGGTCAATGTACACTGTGTAATAGATCTGATGTGAGTGTGACCCCTGTCGACAGTGTAATAGCTTTGTATAAAGTGTGGCCTTTGTTGAATGTGTTTGGTCCATGTACACTGTGTAATAGATCTGATGTGAGTGGGACCCCTGTCGACAGTGTAATAGCTTTGTATAATGTGTGGCTTTTGTTGAATATGTTTGGTCCATGTACACTGTGTAATAGATCTGATGTGAGTGTGAACCCTGTCGACAGTGTAATAGCTTTGTATAAAGTGTGGCCTTTGTTGAATGTGTTTGGTCCATGTACACTGTGTAATAGATCTAATGTGAGTGTGACCCCTGTCGACAGTGTAATAGCTTTGTATAAAGTGTGGCCTTTATTGAATGTGTTTGGTCCATGTATGCTGTGTAATAGATCTGATGTGAAGTGTGACCCATGTTGACAGTGTAATAGTTTTGTATAAAGTGTGGCCTTTGTTGAATGTGTTTGGTCCATGTACACTGTGTAATAGATCTGATGTGAAGTGTGACCCTGGTTGACCGTGTACTAGCTTTGTATAAAGTGTGGCCTTTGTTGAATGTGTTTGGTCCATGTACACTGTGTAATAGATCTGATGTGAAGTGTGACCCCGGTTGACAGTGTAATAGCTTTGTATAAAGTGTGGCCTTTGTTGAATATGTTTGGTCCATGTACACTGTTTAATAGATCTGATGTGAAGTGTGACCCTGGTTGACAGTGTAATAGCTTTGTATAAAGTGTGGCCTTTATTGAATATGTTTGGTCCATGTATGCTGTGTAATAGATCTGATGTGAAGTGTGACCCCTGTCGACAGTGTAATAGCTTTGTATAAAGTGTGGCCTTTATTCATGTTTATTGAATGTGTTTGGTCCATGTATGCTGTGTAATAGATCTGATGTGAAGTGTGACTCATGTTGACAGTGTAATAGTTTTGTATAAAGTGAGGCCTTTGTTGAATGTGTTTGGTCCATGTACACTGTGTAATAGATCTGATGTGAAGTGTGACCCCTATTGACAGTGCAATAGCTTTGTATAAAGTGTGGCCTTTGTTGAATATGTTTGGTCCATGTACACTGTGTAATAGATCTGATGTGAAGTGTGACCCCTATTGACAGTGCAATAGCTTTGTATAAAGTGTGGCCTTTGTTGAATATGTTTGGTCCATGTACACTGTGTAATAGATCTGATGTGAAGTGTGACCCCTGTTGACAGTGTAATAGCTTTGTATAAAGTGTGGCCTTTGTTGAATATGTTTCGTCCATGTAAACTGTGTAATAGATCTGCTGTGAAGTGTGACTCCTATTGAATGTGCAATATTCCTTAATATGTGCATTTTGGCCCCTGTTGACTGTGTAATATATTTGGTGTAAAGTGTCGCCCACGTTGACTGTAATACTTACGATGTAATGTGTGACCCATGTTGATAGTGTGGTAGGTTTGATATAACACAATATTTTTACAAAGAATTATCATTTGGAAACATTTCAACTGTTTGGTAAGTTATTCATTTTAATTTATGTTATTGTGAATATCTAGACTGTTTTGTTTAAATTAAAATATGAACCTTTAAGTAACGCATTATTTTGAAAAGAAATATGCACACATATTGTGAATAAGTAATATGATGTTTTTAAAGTATATAATTGTAAATTGTCGAATTTCTGGAAAGTAATTTCTCGAGTGTTACAAATGCATGTACATGTATAATGATGTTGATAAAATGAAATAGTTCAAACTGTTAATTGCAAAATCATGTCAGACTCTCAAACTGCAGGTAAAATTGTCACATACGAATTTGACAAATTGATTGATGATACGTTTCTTTGCTTTCAGTAATGTGGAAAATTGTTCATAGCATTAAATAATTCTTAACACTTTTTAGACATCATCTTGTGTGGTAGGGTGTGATCTCCGAAATAGTTACCAATGCATAAGACCTGATCCCATGTCAACTTCCAGTAATTATTTTGAGATGAAGGTCTCATCTGGAAATTGTAAATAGATTTATAAAATATGTGCAGTAATCTAAATGAACATGAAGAACACCTGGGAATATGATTGATACTTGGTATCAACATTAATTCGATCTTGATTTTTATTCATGTTCATTGGACCACTTTAATGGATCAATAGACCCTTTCAAATAATCACGACCCCTTTTCGTAAACTAAGGACACTAGGGTTTATTGACAATATTTATGATGTCATACTTTACAGGCACACTGTTTGGAAACAATTTAGTCTAAGTTTAATCCTATTTCTGCTCTGAAGCTGTAAGAATGACACCATGACCTAAAGATGGCAGGCTTTACTAAATTGGTCTATTCATGCATTTGTCAAGATCCATGATAAAATTATTAACATTCTGTCTATTAGCACCATTCCCAAAATCAGTCCTGGGGTAAAGAGAGATAGATGAAAACTATTATCTATATCATTATAAACTATTATCAATACTCATTCATTCATTTGCAGTGCAGAGCAGCTGAGTCGAGTTACCAAGCCCACAGACATTGAAGATGTTCTCTTCAATCTTCTCAAGAACGGAGATATGGTCAGCATCCAGAAATACTGGGCTGTAAGTTTGATAATTTTCTTGTATACTTTGGATTCAAGGTTTGCATGATATGATTCGCATAAGAATGCAAACTAAATTACGTTTCCCCACTAATATACAGAGTGTTTCATATGTTTGCACCCCCCATAAACTCAGACACGTAGCATTGCCACCCTATCATGTTATGTATCATTTTGTTTCGCTTAGAAAGTTAAATTCCCCTACATGGATTTGGCAACCTTAGCTCCCCCATTGAACTACGTGTTAAAGCCTCTTTACATTTGAATTTTTTATAACTTATAATATTGATGGAATCCTCTATTACTATAGGTCGAAAATTGTTGATAAATTTGATGAATAGGCCTATTTGAAAATCGTCATTCCCATGTAAACCAATGGGAAATAATGGGTTCGGCGCAAATCAGAAATCAGGATATCTATTCAGTAAAAGATTCAGCAAAAATATTTTTATATAGAAAATTGATTTGTCTAACTTTTTTGTACACAAAGTGTTTAGTTTACTTGATGAATACTAAAGTTACAGAGCTTCAAAGTAATTTTTGATGTGTTATTTCAATGGGAGATGTTTTTTTGAAAAATAATTTTGACTTTAAAGACCTATAACTTTGCTGATCCTGAAGAAAGGTATCAATCAACAAACAAACAAACAAACAAACAAACAAACAAACAAACAAACAAACAAACAAACAAACATATGACTTGCGGCAAACCTACAAATTTCCATTGGTTAACATGGGAATGTCGATTTAAAAAAAATCATCAAATGTATCATCAATTTTTGACCTATTGTAATTGAGAAAATTTGGAGTTGTCATCATGCAGTGGCTTATTATAGGAAGGTGAGGGACCCTGGTGCGACCTCTATCACTGAATAAAGGTATGAGAAAAGTTAACAGATCACCGGACTTAGTCCAAAAATGACCGTACCCGCAAAATTTGATAGATTGTATCTTTTTTCAAGAACACCCCTGGATTCTGAGACTTTGCAATCTTATGTAACTATAAAATGATAGGATGGCAATGCTACATGTATGAGTTAATTTTTTTTTGGGGGGGGGGGTACATACAAATGAAACACCCTAATAAGCGTAAATGGTTCCGATTTTGTTCTCATGTACTAAAGGTCTGCACTTGTATTTCCGAAATATCCAAGGTAAATTGCACAACCATCACTTCCTGGTTATTAAATGAAATGTTTATGCGCAAGGCTAAATAGCCCAAAACACACCACATGACCCAAATTATTTTATCTAACTATTCATACTATTACGTATGTTTCTTTTTATATGCATTTGTTTGATCATAACACATACTTCATTTTGGACGAGTGTCTATCATGCTTTGCTTTAGCACTGTGACATTAAGTCAGATTAACTTAGTCCTTTATGTTGAAGTTGTGGTATTTGAAATCTTCAAGATCAGCGTGGTATGACATTATCTTCTAACAAGGGTAGTAGGGCCACAAATGCCTGCTCATCATTCGTAACTGAAAAAATCCAAATTCTGCTTGACTGAAGACAACTTCAATACTTGCAATATGCAATTTGTCTTTTCGTATCAACCAATCGAATTGAATAATATAATTCTAGGAGACATTGTAATTAAAAAGCGGAGGCATTTGTGCCCAAACTGAAGTTATGAATCAGGGCAAACCTTTACAGCTGATTTGACGTAGCAAACAACTTTGATTACATTTGATGGAAATGTTTGAATCTAACCAATTCGTTTTACAGGCGCTGCAAATGACCGGTTTGAGGCAGACCGACCCAAGGTTGAAAGAGACGAAATATAACTTTGATGACGTACAGGAGAAACACCTTTATGACACTGATGATAGCAACGATGCACGAGTTGACAGGGAAACATTTAAAAAGTATGCTTTACAGTAAAACTCTCCTGATTCTGGAGTTAACTTTTCGACCAGTGTAAAATTAGTTTTGATTCATGTATATCGTAGTATTGCTTGAGCTTTTATATTGTCAGTTTCTGGAATGCAAGTTATTTTGAAGTAAACATGTCCGATTCCTCGTATTAATTACGTAAACTTGCATTTTTATAATTACACGAGACGTAATACACTGCGAGTAGAAATACTTTGATTTACGTCATTAGCAATTCAAAATTCAGTCATAGTGATATCATATTTGAAATCTACTTGTAAAATTACATCTTGTTACAAATTTGTAACATTCATTGTTTATTTGTTTAGGTGTACGCAGGACAATATTGTATTGATTGGCAAAGCTTTCAAGAATGAGATGGTTATCCCGGAATTCTGGGAGTTTACAGGTCACATAGATGAGCTGTATTATTTGTGTCAGAAAAACACTTCAGGAACTGTAAGTAATCTTATCGTTTGATCTGTAAAATGAAGCCTTCTGATTGGTCAGTTCTTGTGCTGTACCAATCTGTATTGCTACTGAGATTGTTCCCATTGATCATCTCCGTCGCAATACAGAAAATATTGGTACGGGGGGACATTCTCAGTAGCAATACAGAGGATCACACGATAAAAACGACTTCGTCTCGTCCCAATACGTAATTTCTCAGCAGAATACATCCTGTTTTGCACTTCAAATCATTCAATAACTTATATTTTTGACAGCTTTATATTCAAGAAATATACTACTATATACTAGAAGACCGAAGAACAGGTATTATATCGATGAATAAAAACCGCAGGGCTGGGTACAAACGTTTTCGTTTCGAAAGCTATTGTGACTTGTCCTAAGGTATTCATTACTCGATATAATACTTGATCTGAGGTCTACATTATACATGTAGTTCGAACATGAAAAAACTGAACTCACCAAAATGAAATATTGACTTTGTTCACAATCTATAGAAGGTGTGAATTCAGTCAAATTCGAATGCTCATTTCAAAAATAGAATTTTAACTCAAATAATTTGGATAAGATTATGTTATAAATTTTAAAATTTTATGATAAGAAAATAAGCATTGAGACAACTAACATTAACATGCATTTTAATGTAGCCTGCACAGTACATTCCACAGCTGGCTAGAGCGGATCCGAATCTGTGGGGAGTCTCAGTGTGCACAGTGGATGGACAGAGGCAAGTAATCAACATTTATAAAATATAAGAATGTTAAGTATAACAGTAACAGTACGTGTCGATAATATCCTAGACTGACTACACTGATGTAAAGTATGAAGCATTAAATACCTGTCTACAGATCCCTGTTATTTGGGCAGAAACGGGATGGGGTTGTCAAATCCCGATCCGATATACGAGGGTTGATCATAAAGTTCTCATAATATCTCTCTAATTTCTTTATTTTTCAATATTTTCCTATGAAATTTTCACAGAATGTGCAGCATGGAATGGTTTATTAATCCAGCAAACAGTATTTAGAATAACAGAAACATTAAATAAGAAATGGTTGCCATAGTAACACTTGAAATCAAGGCACCCGGGCAAATAAAAAACTAGCTAGAATAGCCCCCATTAACCATGTTTAAGCACATAATAAGTTGTCAAATAAGCTCTTGACTGCTCTTGAACTAGCATAATGGTCATGTGAATTGTGTGATCTCATAATGAATGATTGCTATGTTTCATTAGAAGTGACTGTTAGAACCCATGACTGTTTTGTCAAATATCCTGAGGAAAATTGATTTTGCCCCTTTAGTTCATTTTTAACAAGCACAGACCACACACAGGGTGTAATTTTGTTGATGTCTTAGCAGTATATTTGTTTTAGATCATGTTTAGTCTGACCAAAGGATCTTGGAAACTTAACATAACATTTTATCAGGATGAATTTTATTTTTATCTCTGCATCTATTGCATTCTCTTACTAAGTTATTTCTGATCGTTAGCTTTGAGTCTCACTCTGGTATCTCATCTAATGGAGCATGAAAGCACCCCCTATGACATCACACAATTCACACGATCGCTTTATTTAATTGTTAAAGCACTTTACAACTTATTCAAGTTAACAGTTTACTATGTATGTAAACATGGTTAATTAAGCTCATTCTCTCAATTATTTTTATTTGCCCCGGGTGCCTTGATTTCCCGTTACTATGGCAACCATTTCTTATCTAATATTTCTGTTAAGCTAAATATTTTTTTGCTGAATAAATAAGACATTCTATGCTGCACATTCTGTGAAAATTTCATTAGAATACATTGAAAAATAAAGAAATTAGAAAGGTATTATGAGAACTTTATGATCAACTCTCATATATGCGACTGTTTTTTCTTGTAACTTTACCAGCGATAATTTATTTCAGACATTCGATTGGTGACACAACAAAGCCATTCTGTATCCAGTCTTGTAGTAAACCCCTCACATATGCGCTTGCTATGAGTGAGATAGGGGTAGACGAAACACACAAATATATCGGCCAAGAGCCAAGCGGTCGTTCCTTCAACGAACTTACACTAGATAGTCGCAGTAAGTCACATTTGAGAATATGCAGGAACATATAAAGTAGTTATTAAATGAATCGGGAATGTGTCAACATAGTACATTTGTAATTGTATTTTATACTCCAAGTATGCGATAGCTATCGTATGTAACTATTTGATATTCAGATGGATAGACAGAATCTGTTTGAAAACACTATGAATTCCCGGCAGTCGCTCCACCACTTGTTGGGGTTTTGTTGGTTTCTTCTTGAACTACGCACCATATGTGTTTCAGATAAACCGCACAACCCGCTCATAAATGCAGGTGCGATAGTTACAGCTGGGCTTCTGAAGAGGAAACTTCCCATTTCAGAAAGATTCGAATATGTGAGTCTTGTATGCAAATGTCTGATTCAATTTGCTCATAACGCAATGATAGTCAGGATGTCAATTTGTACAAAAGTTTACTTTCTTATTAAGTTAGTTATGAAAATATTTTAAAGGACAGATACTTATATCATTCATATAACTTGTGATTTTTTAAAACCGACACACAAAGTCCATTCGATTTTTAAAATCCCCAGTTTGATTTAATTTTAGGCCTCACAAATGTACGAACTTTTAGCTGGTAGTGAATATGTCGGTTTTAGCAACTCAACATATTTATCAGAAAGATCAACAGCAGACAGGAACTTTGCTTTGGGATATTACATGAAAGAACATAAATGTTTTCCCAATGGCGCAGATCTGGTAGAAACCCTTGAGTTTTACTTCATGGTGAGTCGCAGTCAACAATCTCACAATACTCACTCTAACTCACATAGCACCATTTTTTTTTATATTTAGACACAATTAATGTACAACATTCTCGCGGGTGGTGAGTACACGGGATTCAGTAATCCGACATACTTAGGCGAGAGAGCAACGGCTGACAGAAACTTTGCCCTAGGCTATTACATGAAGGAATACGGTTGTTTTCCGGAGGGGTCAGATCTGATGGAAACATTAGAATTTTATTTCATGGTAGGTTAGACTAACATATTTCTTGTTAATAATTTTAACTTTCCTGGACTGTTGGGACTAGTAGTTTTAGTGGAGTGACCTCTTTCTCACTCTAGGAACTCATTAACGAAACATTCTATTTACACTCCCCTCCATAAGTTTGGCAACCTTTGCTCCCCCATTGAACTAAGTGTTAAAGCCTCTTTACCTTTGCATTTTCATTTACTTAACCTGCGGTGAAAATACTTTTACTATTAATGGAAACGTAATTTGACTTCATTTCCAATACCTCCAAATTTTCTCAATTTTTTCCTCAATTACAATAGGTCGAAAATTGGTTTACATGGGAATGACGATTTTCAAAAATCTATCAAATTTATAATACCAAAATAGTACATTCTTAAAAAATGACAGACGAGCTTGAACTGGATGCGAATCGATTGAAGGTGGTTAAAATCACCCTTCAATATCGGACATCACCGTTGAAATACTCCTTCATCCTTCATCCCATTTGCATCTTGTTTACAAATAATCTTAATTCGACCATATTATATTACTTCAAAATTGATTAACCATAATTCCGTGCAAAAACATCCAAAACAAAAAATGGTTCTGACTAAGCAAAAAATTTCCAGGCATTTATAATAGCTTGTCTTTAGTAGGCTGTATTTAGTAGTGTTTATTTCAGGACATTTTAACTCGATCACATCCATTTTTAAAATTTTAAGACGGCATTGAACATTTTGGAAACTAGTTTGGGGTGACAATAATGTTTTGCAAGATAGACTCCTAAAGACAATGCTTCATTGCAGTTGTGTTCCATCGAGATAACAGCAGAATCTGGAGCTGTTATAGCGGCCACTTTAGCCAATGGGGGGATTTGTCCCATTACAGGAGAAAAAGTCCTCTCAGGAGACGCTGTCAGGAACACTCTTTCGCTTATGTATTCATGTGGAATGTATGATTATTCTGGTCAATTTGCCTTCCACGTAAGTTGGTTTACATAGGTTTAAGAATCAGTTATCACCAATTTTGTTTTATTTTCTCAATTGTTTTACCTAAACGACAGGCATTAACTATATATGCATCGATATGTGCTTATGTTTTTCAATTTTGCAGGTTGGCTTACCAGCTAAGTCAGGCGTAGCTGGGGCAGTTCTTCTGGTTGTTCCCAACCTAATGGGCATTTGTACCTGGTCCCCTCCCCTTGATCAGCACGGCAACAGCAACAGAGGGATCCAGTTTTGTCAAGTAAGCTGTTAATTCTGGTTGAATAGCTACAATATTTCGTTTTAACGACGGCAAGATTGCTTTTGATTAAAGAAACGATCCATAACTCCAAAAAAATACTAAACTGTCCCTAATCAGAAACATATGTTCTGTGCAGGAACTTGTGAACAAGTTTAGCTTCCATAACTATGACAACCTGAAACACACAACTAAGAAGATGGACCCTCGAGTGAGGAAGGGGGATATCTCTGCAAATTCCATCGTTACCTTGCTCTTTGCTGCCGCTAATGGAGATCTGACTGCCATGAGAAGGTATTCATTTAGTATTCTTGAGATATAATGGGAAAATACTTTTGGATGGTCGGCATAATGAGTAAAATTAAAAAACGTGGATCAAATTGTCTTATTTCGGAACAATGTTTAATTTTGTAATGCACTTGTGTAATCTACTCTTATTCTAACATTTTGTTATTCCCACTCATTTAACATTATTTGTGTGCATTGGAAAATATCGACTCTATTAATTTTAACATTTGTACAATATTTAATTTGAAAATGTGGGTTGCAATATCACATTCTTTGAAGTTAAAAAGTTGAGCTACATTCATCATTATTGTTGAGGAAAGCTAATTGTGTTCTATGATCGATCCCTGTGATATACCATGATTCTCAAATACACACGGTGCCTCAGAAACATTAAATTATCCATTAACTCTAACACCCTATAATTTAAAATACATGTCCTAAGATCAAATTTCACCCACTGGTTGATCCACTCATCCTCCAATCAAGCAAATATCAATGCATGGAAGGGAAAATGCATCAAATGTGTCCTCTGCAGCAGTAAAATCCCCCGGAAGTTATTCTCTGCTCAATATGTTCAGCTTTAATGTGCTATTTATTTCAACGAATCCGAGCTAGTTTCATACACCAGCTATGGTGTACTATTATTACTTGAATTACCCTTCTGAAATAATAATGATAAATTAATTTTTGTGGAAGTGAAATGTGTGGAAGTGAACCATAAATGTGTTTTAGATTTGCCCTCTCGGAATTGGATCTAACTGTATGGGTGAAGTGTTATTCAAAGAAGTGGACAATAAATGTGTTTAGATTTGCCCTCTCGGGTATGGACCTAACTGCATGTGTGAAATGTTATTCATAAAAGTGAACCAAAAATGCGTTTTAGATTTGCCCTCTCGGGTATGGACCTAACTGCATGGGTGAAATGTTAGTCATAGAAGTGAAGCGTAAATGCGTTTTAGATTTGCCCTCTCGGGTATGGACCTAACTGCACGGGTGAAATGTTATTCATAGAAGTGAATCAAAAATGCGTTTTAGATTTGCCCTCTCGGGTATGGACCTAACTGCATGGGTGAAATGTTATTCATAAAAGTGAACCAAAAATGCGTTTTAGATTTGCCCTCTCGGGTATGGACCTAACTGCATGGGTGAAATGTTATTCATAGAAGTGAACCATAAATATGTTTTAGATTTGCCCTATCGGGTATGGACCTAACTGCTGCAGACTACGATGGTCGTACAGCGCTGCATTTGGCGGCAGCAGAGGGGCGGATAAAAATTGTCCAGTTCCTACTGGAAAGATGTAAAGTCCCTGTTGATCCAAAGGACAGGTGATCTTTATACTTCTTTGCTATCATTATAAATATTGACGTTGCTCATAAAGCATGAGTGTGTGCGTTACGTTTTTTTTACAATTTCAAGTTTCTTCTGTGATTTATATCGTTTTTGAAATATATAAATTGACTTCTATAAAAGTAGAAGAGAAAGTATCGATTTCACTAGAAAATCAAATGAAGAATATGTGCACTTGAAGAAAAACACTCTGTTAAAAAGTATCACAAAAATAATATTATTACTATACGTGTACTTGGACTGGAGAAGCCTCCCTATTTATACATAGGTGGGACTTTACTCCTCTGGACGATGCAAAGAAATTTCATCATGGTGAAGTTGAGGAGTACCTCCGAAAATACAGTCCTGGGCAGATTGAAAGTTCTGAAAACGACACTACTCTTAAAGAGTTTATTCAATCCGTGATCCTGTCAGACTAAACTTAGATGAGTAATGCGTGTAGGTATGAATGTGATGTACGTGTATGTATTCTACAGAAACAATATTAAGATAATACCATTCGTGATTAAAATACAATGGCGAACAAACAGATCATAACCGCACCCTTTGGTTCATGTATTTCCAGATGGGACTTTACGCCGGTAGATGATGCTAAGCGCTTTGGACATGCAGAGATTGTGACCTATATAAACAAATATATTAAAGGAGACATTGACATAGGGTCTCTCTCTATGGAAGAGTCTGGAATAGAAGCCGACGATGAGTCAAATTCAACATAAATACTGTAAACGAGAAAACAGCAACTCCATGGTGTAGCAAAAAAACAAAAACTGTTTTGATAAATGGCAACCATCTTTCAGATTTCCTTTTGGACAGAGCTCCCTTGTCCCAGGTATCAGCATATAAAATTTGAACCAAATCCGCCAACTGGTATTTGAGTTATCTAATATTATGTTATAGAAAAAACAGCTTTCCTATATCCCCCTCGAATTTCGTCCGGTGGGATAATAAATGTTACTGTTTAATCTGAAATGAGGAGTAAAGACTGAGTTCTCTGAATACAGGGTGGGACCATTAGTATCTAGACTTATCGTTTTGATAAGTTCAGTTGTTGAAAAGTAGTCTCTATACGTACATGTTGCAACATACATATATAAACTTGTAATCTGGTGTAAAGCAAACAGTTCGTCGTAACCACTGAATTGGATAAAAGTGACATTACTGTATTATACTGTATTATGTCGACCCTCAAAAGAATAGCATCATTCTATACATTTATTTTAGGATACAGCAACAAATATATTTCTTGCTGCAAGACATATGCTTTTAATTCAGTACGTTTATATTATGTATTTAAAGGAGTGGTACCGATGTGGAGAACTTTTTGAACACACGTTTCTCTTAAACCAGTCATAAAAAATCTAAAAATTTAACACATCGTCAATTTAATGGTCATCTTTTGAATGCTAACAATATAATTCGAAAAATATATATTTATTATTATGTATTTTTATCTATATTGTTTTAGAAATCACATCAACTTGTTTTGTTCTTGGTTTCATGTTTCCAGAGTGAAATGAAACATCTTTCCAAATTTTGTTTTAATTTTTTGAATACTTTTTTAAAATCAACCAAAAATTCCTTTGTATAACTATAATATTGAGAGGTCTAAAAACACGTTGTATATGCTATTTTGTTCCAACAAGGTTCGGAAAGACATTTTGCACTAAAAAACAAACAAAAAAATGTGAACAAAAACAGTTATATCAAATATTTGTAAATAATTTTCGCATTAAATTGTTGTCAAACAGTCAACATAACATAAAATACCGGCAAGTTCATTGCCAATAGTAAAACTGATTGCCCCTGCAATGATTTTGAACGCTGCTGTTAAGTTGGAGCGAGTCAAGCGCATCAGTTTTGCATTATTCTCAAGGAGAGGCTATCAACTGAAAGCTTGCACTACTTTTGAATGCAGCTGTATCCTCATACCCTTGTGCAACCAACTGCCCTCCCGAAACTCTTAAGTAGTCCCCAGTAGACGAGTGTAATGTTATAAATCCTGGCCAAAATTCATCTTCAACAAATGTGAATGATGATTCTTGTAGAAAATTGACATTAGAATCATGATTCTCCTCGTTCTGAAGTGAGACGGTCTGAGCAGTTACATGCATCACGTTCCCCCCTTTGTCATCAGAAATTAGCGTGACCGAGTGGTTTAACCGCGTGAGCCCTGGTGTTTGGAAATAGAAGGCTTCCAAAGTGGCCGTTTGGTTAGAGAGCCAGAGTTGGTTTGTGTTCATTACCCCAATGTAGCTCGAGTTATCACTTTTGGGCTGGAGATAGTAAGGGCCATCAAATGAGTCCAACGAGGGTCCTATAATACAGAATTGCAGATAGGCTGATATATAATGAATCTTGCAACTTTTTCAAGAGTACAAAATCAAATTCAACACTCATGCACAACTTTATACACGCTAAACACAAAGGCAATTATGGGCAAATATCCCCATCGTCAGAATGAATCGTTTTAGGTGTAACATGAAGAATACAATGTCACATAATACTTTGGAAAATATTTAAGCGTTTGAACCCATATGGGCTGAGGTTGAGATCATTAAATTAGGCCTTGTATTGGTGGAGTTTTGCACGTTCTTATTATTTCTGGTGATACCTTATATTAAATATGACTGTATTTTCCCATCTAATTTTGCTCTCGCGGTTTTTTCCTTGAATCAATTTATGATGTTATGAGTATAAGCTATTAATTTCTAATTTTTTCTTGAAGTATTGTGATGACTTCAGTAAAAATGAAATTATCCGTGATATTGTGGTCTTTGATTGTGATATTGGATTTTGAATGGTTTGGGTAAAAGGTGGTATTAATTAAATATTAGGGAGTTTAAGCTTGCATTTAAAGTCGAAACGCCAATCTCTACGTATGACCAATCGTCAATACAAATGCATCGCTTAAATATTTTTCGTTCTCGTTTAGGTTGTGAAAAACATTGCAAGCTTAAACTCTCTATTGTTTCTTTTCACATTAGATCATTGTTTGGGGAAATATTGGATTTGTTTTTTTATAACTGGTTTACATTTAGTTTTTGCTTTTTCTTGGTAAATTCCATTACAACTTTTGGTCCTTTCCCATTTGGCACTTGTGCTTAGATATCTTGGCTTGATTGACTCAAAATGTGATTTTGACCATGTAATTGGTATTTTTTGTAAAAAGGCAACATTTTAGATATAATGGAAAAAAGATAGTTACCTTGTTGTGACTCACATATAAACTGAACAGCGGATCCACAGGAGACGTCATGCCATTTCTGATAATCGGAGTGATGAAATACAACACATTGCTCACCAGCAGAATTGGGTTGACCAACCGACCATCTGAAAAATAACATTCAGACCACATAACAAACTTCCCATGTGAATGTACTTATTTCTATGGGCCTTTTGACTGATGTAATTGGCCATTGTTTACAGAATTTTACTTGGTATATGGAGTAATAGGGTGGTCAAAAAAGGTAACCCAAACAACAGTTAATAACTCAGGCATTTAGCACATAGCGCGTGGGTTGGAAGTCACAGTTGGTACAATTAAACCTCGTTCTATGTTTTTTCATTCAATTAAGTTTCATTTGGTCTAATCCAAATGTGCACGATTTTATTGCCAATTTAATTTACAAAATATCCGCTCAAAATACCTGTCTCGTCTCTGGAGGCAAACTTGAACGCATTAGGTGACGTTATTCTTATTGTTCTTCTGATTCTTCTGAATTTGACATTTTCTCTCAACAAAGTTCCTTTGTCCCTAGGCGTCAACATACAAAATTTGGAGCATATTTGTCCACTGGTATTTAGTTATCAAATATTACTTTTTTTGAAAAATGGCAGCCATTTTAATATTCAATGGCCATCATGAAAATTCCTTCTTAGCAGAACTCCTTTGTCCCTTGACATCAACATATAGAATTTAAACTAAATCCGTCAATTGGCATCTGAGTTATCAAAGATGACGAAACATGGCGGCCATTTTACAATTTTGCCACCATCTTGAACATTCTTTCTCGAACAGAGCTACTGTGTCCATGGGCAGCAGCATATAAATTTGAATCAAATCTGCTCACTGGTATTTGAGTAATCAAAGATGAGTTTTTTGTAAGGCGGCTTTTTTAAAATTCAACCGCCATCTTAAAATTCTTTCCTAAATGACGATAAATCTGCCTATTTTATATAGTAGCTAGTAACAATGACTTTCGTGAAAGATTCTTCGATTTTTTTCTTATGTTTTGTGGATCTTGGCAGGCCTATTACGATCTGTTCACTTATTCAAGCGAGTGGCTTTATTATAATCGATCCAAACAGGTCATAAAAGTCATGTGATCACTGATCACTATTCGGGTTGTTCGTTATTTCGACTTCAAAATGACGGGTTATAGATCCTTTATACATCTATCGCATTTATTACCCTTTCTAACTAACAAAATCATGATATTTTGTTTTTTATTGAAAAACTAACATTTTACCAAAAGGTCTCCCTTGGTTCTTTTACCTACTTCTGACCTCATTTTACCTCCCCCCATGTGTAAAAAAATACGTTATTCATAAGGGCTAATACGGTAGCCGGCAGCCTGTAGTTGCATTCGTGAATACAAGCTAAAACTGTAATAATCCCATCTATATTTGACTCCAAGAAGGGGAGATGGAGCTGGAAGTGGTTTGAATGTCTACAATCTAAATAATGTTATCAGCTACGTATGTGAACTACCATGATGGTAGATCGTAGTCTTGCTTCATTGAGTTTATATCGTCGGTAGCTAAATTGGTATACTTCAAATTACTTTAAAAAAGGCGATATGTTCTGAGAATCCGAACGGGGGAGGAGTATATACCAACCATGACAACCACAAAACAGTTACCTTGTAAATACGGAAGGGGTGCCATCGTCCCAAGTTTCATAAATGTTTACAGTCGGGTTCTTCTGTTTCAAGCCTATAGTAAAAAATTGTATATTACTAAATATGGACATTATCAGGGATCGGGCAGGCGAGGACAATTTTTTATTGAATCTCTGAAGTCATAACAATGACATACGATCTGCAATATACAAAACAACTAAAACTAGGCTAAACTAACTAATTCAACACTTTTAGTTAAAAATGTTAAAATGAATATATTCCTATAAAAACTTGGTACTACGATTTAAATATGGAAAGAAATTCAAACGCAAGTACTAAATTGATTATTATCAACAGAAGCGAAATAGGCAGTTCAAGAATTACAAGGAGTGGGAGGAGGGAAACCCCCACAGCTTTAGATATATTTAATTTCTTGCGTACCTCCTTTCGTTTGCCCAAATTCCCACCAGCTAGTTTTCGAGTATAACACGTCGTTGTGATCTTTTTATCGATATAAGCATAGAAATTACGCCAGAAGACGCCAGAAATTAACCATGGGCGTAGGGCTATATTTTGGTACGCACACTCGGGGATGCCACACGCGGGGGGTCCGGGGGTATGCTCCCCGGGAGATTTTTTCAAGGACGTTAGATGGAATCTAAGTGTTTTTATCAACTTTAAATGTTGACAATGGTAAAAATACAGATACGGTAGGAAGCATCAATAAAAAATTAATTAATGCATTTTAACACATTTTTAATTTTTCAAATTCATTTGGTACGCCTGTGCGTATTTTGCGTAATAGGCGCTACGCCCATGTTAACATAATATTATTCGAAGTGTGATTAGAAAATCTTAAATCCACCATTTCTGTATGTCGATTTGGACCATAAGACGTTAGGTCATTTCGATACAGATTTACATTATAGACGTAGGTCATCTTTGAACCCTGGGGTTTTCCCAGTCTTGGGTGGGAGCATTTAATCCCTGCATGCACTTCAGTCACCAAATACTATTTATCTTACCCATGTATGTGAGATAAGTTGAACCATCAAGAATCGTGTTCACAAAATTACTCTCTGCTTCATCGTTAATGGAGACCAGATAGCCATCAAATGCTTGGCAATACAGTGAGGCATCATCATAAGTCGTCAATGGAGATTCGACAAATTCATAACAATGTCCATTGTAGTTATGTTTGTGATTGGCACATGCTGGAAAATTCATTGTAAATGAAAAACTTAAGGATTTAAGCCCTGGACTCAGTGCATTGTGTGCTGAATCATTCCTCTACAGAGGTGCTGTTTTCATAATTTACATGAGCGCGTGGAATTAAAAAGGCGTTGCCTGCATTAGTTAAGATTTATTTCATCTGAATGTTTAAAAAGAACATGCAATATTTAAGATCTTGTAATATAAAGAGGCAAAGAAAAAAGAAAACTTGGCAAAGATAACGAATAAAACTAGTTTCAAAATTATTTTATTAATTTCAAAACTTTTTTTGTGCTTTCAATAGAATACTAACTTAATTAGGGCACGCGACAGTACGGATTAATAAAAGACCCTTATTAGGATCAAAACTAGTTGAATGTAATAAGAATGAGGGAAAAATGGAATTACGTTTTGCGTCACATAAAAGATTTCTTTTGTGAACATCTCTGGAGCACTTCACCTAAAAAACACATTAAATGTAGACTTATTTTAAATGATATGAGACCATAAATGGAGACACAATTTTGTCCATTTCATGGGAGCAAAATGTTTTCCTTTCAGAAACATATTGAAGAAGACCTTCAAAAAATGAATGCACAATTTCCAAATCGCGTGCATATTCTGAGACTAGACTCTCCTGGAAGATCGTGATCTGCAACTTGACTTTTAAGTAAGTTTAAGACGCAACGTCACAGTAACTAGTTTTGGAACAGTGTACATCCCATGTGGGTGGTTGTATCATCTGTATGTTATTTTTGCCTTTGTTGAAACTCCAGTTAACACTACGAATTAAAATTATTGAAAAGGCTTCATTTTGTCACAATCGAAAATTATTTTCATTTCACCAGTATAGTGTTAGTTTCACCAAGTTTAACGAAGAGTATAATGATTTGAAAATGAGAAATGATTTATTATTAAAGTTTCACATGATAAACGATTTATATCCTTGCATTCATAGCATAATACACAGCTTCTAGGTGTGGCATATTATTGTAGAACTATTGACTATCGATATCGTATTATGTAAAAAGAATACTTGTCTAAATATGTATTTCTTGATAACAACTATTTGATGGCGATCTCTCATCTCATTCAGACCGTACATGTTTCTTATTCCTATAGAGGAAATGTAGAAAAAAGAAAAATATAGTTGAAAAAACTGACTTTAGAATTTGCAAGGTGTTGTTTGGACATCTGCACGTATTGATAGTTGGTGTCATCCACTAAGGCGAATCCTTCTCCAATGACATTCTTGTTCAACACACATCGTTTGCCGCCAGCACTTGGGTCAATTATTTCAAAATTCACCGAAACACATGTATTCATTTTATTACACTCTCTGAGACACTGCAGCACATTCTCAACAAACACTGTAGTGATCTCACTATTTTGTAACATTTTGCCATTTATTATAGTCTCGTAGATTGTTGTTTTTGATGAAAACAATGTGCTCGAAGGTCCAGATTTAATCCTTGCTATGAAGAGGCATTGTATCAAAGCGATGAATACGACCTTCATTTTATTTCCTCGTTCAGCGTCTCGATCTTAAAACGCTTATTAAAATAAAGAAATGTATTCAAAATCCAGATTTAATTACGAAAGTTTATATTTATTTTCTTCTGCGTCAAATGTTACTAGTTGCTAAATTGCTAAATTGTCTATAATGTCCATTCGTGGTTTTAAGTTTCCTTCCAATTTTTCAATCTTATAATATTCTCGGCTTCTCTTAGGGACAGATCAAATGTAATCAGCCTCAATATACAGTCTTTTTAATTGTATTTGGTTGCTGTTGGCTACAACTTTTGTTTGCAATCGCTTTTGTATTACGTAACATTTCTAATTGGCTTGGAATAATCAATTATGTTCTGATCTCTAGGAAGCCCATAAATCAATTAACTCACATGCTTTTTTGTTCGATTTCAAATGAGTAATTATATAATGCATAGATTCCAATAATTACTCAGTGAGTGCGATACTAGGAACACGAAGCTTAAAAGCAGGCAGACCTTATGTATTTCGATTTTTCAATTCAAATGTCTTTGAATTCACTGGAATCAAATGGAAACGTGAAACAATTTTAGTATGCTTCCGATTTTCGATTTTCAAAAATTCATCAAATTTATCATCAATTTTCGACCTATTGTAACTGAGGAAAAAATTGAGAAAATTTGGAGGTATTGGAATTAAAGTCAAATTACGTTTCCATTAATAGTATAAGTATTTTCATCGCAGGTTAAGTAAATAAAAATTCAAAGGTAAAGAGGCTTTAACACGAAGTTCAAAGGGGGAAAAAAGGTTGCCAAACTTATGGAGGGGAGTGTACGTCAATGTTGTCGGCTAACCGCGTGTGTCAACCGCGTCGCCTAGTTGCTAGTGCATCACTGGGGTTTGCTTGCAAAAAACTGTGATGTCTTTCAAAAAAAGAATTATGTGAGTGTAGGTGCCCCTGGATGAGCTATTTTTGTTGAAAAGCAAACTCTATAAAAATACCTTCGAAATCCCAACGATCAAAATAAAAAGCAATATAAATCTTTTGCAAATCTATTAAAAAAGATGAAAAAAGATCGACTTCCATAGCGGTTCAAACTTTTATTGAAAAGAGAAAGAAAGCGATTGATGATAGGGAATTTACTATTGGACTGTTTCTTGATTTTTCCAAGGCCTTCGATACAATTAATCACTATTTAGTAAACTTGAATTTTATGGCATTCGTGGTGTTGCGCTCAATTGGATCAAAAGCTATTTTACACACATAATTCAGAAATCATTTTACAACAATGCCTTATCCGAGCCTGAATTTATCACTTGTGGAATCTCTCAAGGTTCAATTCTTGGACCACTTTTCTTTATTCTGTACATAATTGAAATTTACCTTTCTTGTCAACGGCAGTTTTTGTTTTATTTGCGGATGATACCAATTTATTGATAAAAGGTAAAAATCTAACTGAACTTGCCGATATTCACAATACTGAATTAAAACTTATAGAGGAGTGGCTTATCACTAATAAATTATCCCTTAATGCAGATAAAACAAAATATATTATTTTCACCTTAATTCAAAAAAGATATAACGCAAATAATATAAACATCTATCTTAATAAAAAGAAGCTTCGTCAGATCGACTACATAAATTGTCTTGGTATTACCATGTTATGTCTGTTAACGCTAAAATCTCTAGAACCATTGGTATTCTATATAGGGTCAAACAACTGTTAAATGGTAAAGCATTTTTGAGCATCTATGATTCCCCTATTCACTCGTATTTGATGTATGGCAATCTTATCTGGGGTAAAGCAGGTACTAGTTTGTCAAACTCCCTTCATTTTTTGCAGAAAAAATTACACGTATTGCAACAAACAGTAACTACAGAGCACATTTAAACAACTGAACATTTTGAATATATTTGATATTAACAAGCAGTCGAAATGCCTTTTCATGTACAAATGGATTAATAAACTCCATAACTATCATAAAATTTTTCAAAACCTTTTCAGTACCATCCAAGAGACACTTGTTTACAACACTCAGATAAAATTAATTATGTCAAACCCCAAATTCGAACAAATTATGGTAAAGTTTTGATATCTTTTACTGCACTATCAATTTGGAATTCACTACTTTGAAATATACCACCATCTGGAAGTATTTTTATTATGAAAAAAGAATTGAAAAAACATCTCATTAATCAATAATACCAATTTTAAATAACCATAGTGGGCATTATATGACACATAATTAATCAGACATAGATAGTAGCATTCATCACACAAGCAGATCCCAATCTGTTCATTTCCATGTATAATTATAAACACGGGAATACACACGAGTAGTGTCACATGTTTACTGTACACTTGTTGTTGAAATATATATGAATACATAAATAAAAAATAAAATAAAACCCATGAGCATGTAATTTGCACTGCAGGGCTTATTGTTCTTTTTAGTTTTACCTTGGGCGAAAACTCTTAAAAATATTATGCAATTCACTAGCACCGAGTGCATACAAAAATACAGCCCAAGACTAATTATTTGTTTTAGGTCCGTTGATTGTAAACCTGCTCAGGAATTTTAATGTACATGTTTATCGAATAGAAACTACACAACTAAAATAAATCATGCCAATAAAAAGATGTAAAAGTTAAAGTCAAATTAATTGTTTTATTCAATTGACAAACTATGTTAATAAGTCCCATCCACTATTCAATTTACAACCGACGTTTTAAAATGTATTATCCAATACATTTTTAACCCATGTTTTGAAGTCAATGCCCATTTTTACAAGAGCGTTGCCCTATTTGCAATGCTGCTGCTACAATTTCGTTGCCAATGGTAATGTCGCTGCATTGGTTTTGAACGCTGTTAAGTTGGAACAAGTCAAGCACATCAACTTTACATTATTCGCAAGGAGGGACTTTCAACTGAAAGCTTGCATTACTTTTGAATACAGCTGTATCCTCATACCCTTGTGCAACCAACTGTCCTCCCGAAACTGTCAAGTAGTCCCCAGTAGACGAGTGCAATGTTATATATCCTGGCCAAAATTCATCTTGAACAAATATGAATGTTGATTCATGCGGGAAATTGATGTCAGAAGCATAATTATCTTCGTTCTGTAGTGAGACAGTCTGAGCAGCTACATGCATCACGTTTCCCGCTTTGTCGTCACGGATGAGCGATACCGAGTGGTTTTGCCGTGTGTTTCCAGGTGTTCGGAAATAGAAGGCATCCGGGGTGGCCTATTGATTAGACAGCCAGAGTTGGTTTGTGTTCAGAACCCCAATATAACTCGAGTTATCACTTTTGGTCTGGAGATAGTAAGGACCGTCCAATAAGTCCAACGAGGGTCCTGTAATACAGAAAAATTTTGATGGGCTGCTATTACATGAATCTTGGAACTTTTTCAAGAGCACAAATTCACGATAACCCTTCTAGAAAAAACCGCCAGATATATTAAAAATAATTAATATTTGTAAACCGATGTATACACGCTAAATACAAATTTTATGTAGACATTCTTCCACTAGAAGTAAATGAATAGAAGCTGATCGACAATGATCGACACGCAATCGAGGCGTCACATTTGCTCATGAAAGCGAGACTCTAAGTTTTGAAAGTAGACTTCATTTTCAAATGTATTTACAACAAAACCGTTGGTTTGTTTAAGTTTCATATGCAGTAGAGCATATGGCCTTAAATGTAAGCAGTTTTTATTCAGATATATGTGAATCCAATATGTAATCCAAAATGTACAAACGTCGTGTATCTAAAATATGAATCCTTTTTCATTTCCCATATAATTTTGCACTTATTCTGTGAATATTTTTTCTAGATTTGATTAAATCAAATGCGATTTTGACTACTGGACAGGTAATTTTTGTGAATAGGCAACATTTTAATTAATTGATTTTAAGACAAACTGGAAAATAGATTGGTTACCTTGTTGTGACTCACATATAAACTGTTTCTTTCCACAGAGTTTGTCTTGCCATTCCAGGTCATAAGCTGGATCAAATACAACGCAATGCTGATTAGCACCAACGGGTTGACCAGGGGACCATCTGAAAAAAACATTCAGACCACATAGCATACTTCACCTATAAAATTACTTATTTTAATGGGCGTTTATTCCAATACCCTTACATGCAAAACAAGTTGACCTTGATATTCAAAATGACAAACATTTGTACAAATTTGGTGTAGATCTTTCGATATTTACTTGGTGATGCTTTTCGACAATTGAATTCAATGAAATCTATGTACTTCTTATAATTTCTTATTACATGAACTAGAGTAAGCATCAAATAGACTACATGATACATTGCTACTTATCAAAAATACAAGCTGAAAAACTAATTGGACTTACTACAAACATTTATCTAAAACTGTACATTACACATAACTGTACATTACACTTTTGATTCAGCCAAGAGGGGAGATGGGGCGAAGAGGGGTTTGAATGTCTACTTAATTTAACCTAAAGGTTATCATTTAAGGGAACTAAATCCTACTGAATTAGTACCCTTGGTATTTAATTTGGTATACTTCAATATAAAAATCACTTTTAAAAAGGAGACATGTTTTGAGAATCAGAACGGGGGTTGTATATAACTAGCAACTACAATACCACAAACTAACTAACCTTGTAAATCTAACAGTGGTACCATCGTCCCACGTTTCATAAATGTTTTGTGTTGGGTTCTTCTGTTGCAAGCCTACAATAAATAATCGCAACTAATCGCATGGACATATACATCTGGATATTCTGCAAAAGGCTGATATAAATAAGCCCGTTTAAAGCAGATATATGGTTTAACAGTGATAGAATTTGAATAGAATATAGTTTAAACATTAACATTTAAAAATAGATCTATGGTTTGGTTACAACTCATTTGAATCTGATGGGAAACTCCCTGGTTGGCCATGTACCCAGGCCCGTAGCCAGGGGGGGTTCGCAGGGTTCGGGCGAACCCCCCCCCCCCTGGCCAAAAATTCTTTCAAAATCATGCAGTTTTTTACCATTTTGAGCACTTTTCAAGTGATTTT